GCCCACCCAGAAAAATGACTTCGCAAACTTTTGCGCTGCGCGATGAACGTGCAGCCCTCACGTTTTGCTTCGAGTTTTCAGCGTTTTTCGGATTACAAAAATTGCGACTTTTTCTAAGCGGGGCTGTATCGGATGTAACGTTTCGTCCAAAAAAAAATAGTTTCATGCTTTAATCTTAAAACACAGCGTTTCCGGAAGCTCCAGAATTTCTTGAAAATTTCCCAGATTAACGCCAGTTTTTTTTTCTCGTATAAAGCTCATGAGCAATAAACGGGGCGACGCGCTAGCGACGGCTTTTTTTGAACATTTTAAGACTTTCAAGGAGCGAAAACCGAGTTCACTTTGCAAACCGGAGCCCGGGGGATTTTGGAGAGTGTTGTCCGTGGGCCCGTTCTCCTTTTTTTCTTTTTTCGGTTTGGTTGAGGCAGAGGGGGCCACTTGAGCTGTGTTGGGGATGGAGGGATGGGCCTTCGGACCCGGATGAAAATCGCGTCACGAAGGAGGGATGCCGCTGGGGGGAAAACCGCTAAACTCTCATCGGGCAAATGGGCGCATTTTTTAGGCTTTTTCCGCACTTTTCAGGACATTTTTTAAAGAAATCTACTATGAAACTTATGAAGCGCCCGACACGTCCTAATGAAAATCGTGCTGATTTTCTTACAGCAGCTTTTATTTCGTTTTCTTTAGTTTCTTAATACGTTATAGACATTCCTTAAATTTTCTTGCTATTTCCAAATAAATCCAATCGAATTTTAAGACCGCAAATCGATTGATTCCACAAAGAAACCCCCGCTAACCTGCCCGGCCTTGTCTATACGTTCCGGTTTCTTTCAAAGCTTTTCCTCAGGTTAGCCAGCTGTTCGATGTACCAAGGCCTTAATGCCCATTGACGCATAGCCTGTCCCTTTTTGCGGTCTTTTTTGCCCTTTTTATCTGCCATCACTGGCCATCAGCCAAAACCATCCTCGAGGGCACATCTCACGCTCTGCAAACATCGATGCCCCCCCTGGCCATTAATTTTATCAGTTTTCGCTTGAGAAGCTTTTCGTTTTCTTTGAAAAGTTTGCCTACTTTGTTTCAGAAAAGTTTTTTCAAAAGCCTCTTCTTTTTAATAATTGCAATTAGATTTTCATCCAATTTCACGTTTTTCAAGTCTAAATTTTAGCCGCAGAACGCTTCTTGGTTGGGCTGCTATCGGGGGAACAAAATTTTTCCCAAGTAATCACGTATAAGGAAATATAAACCATTTTAATACCATCTTACACAATTTACGCAATTTTTGGATATAAGAAACCGTTAAAAAAAGTATAAAATATACAAAATGTAAAATTTTCGAATTTGTAACTTTTTAGCAATTCAAAAATACTCAAAAATCATAATTTTTCTGAAGCTTTTCCTAGCTTTTGGCTTCTTATTTGTAGCTTTACTTGCAGTTTTATTAATCCATTTAAAGCCACAATTACTGGTTTTAAGCGTAGATCTGGTTCAGAAAATAAATATGGGTTTCTGGATTAACTTTTGCATTTTTGCTGATTTTTCGGACTCTGAAGTCCGCCGGCTTGGCTACGTGCGCCTGGTCTAGATACTTTTTGTCCGTTGAGAGAATGGGGCGAAGAGGGACAGACGAACAGACAGACACAGACAGACAGATGGGCCAAACGGCGCCTGTCCAGCCCTCGATTCACATCGATTCGTTTCGTTTCACTTTTCCCGGACACCAAAAAAATGGCTAGACAGCCAGCCGATCGCTTATACAATTCCTTGTCGTATAAATAAGCCACTAGTGTCTATAAATAATCTCCATTGTTGCATTTGTTTTTGAAAAATACTGTTTTATAAGGAATTTTTTGGTTTTGATTTTTTACGAATTTTAAAGTTTTTCCTATAAGTGCCAGAAATTCCTAGTAACTGAATAGTGAATATTTTAATAGTGCTTTACTCAAATTTAACTATATTTGCAGTAGGAAACAACCAAAAATCTAGCACGAAATTTTTAGTTGACTCGGCGATCATGGTTGTTCGCAAAAAAAACAGCATTTTTGTATTTTTTAACAAAATTTGTAAATTTTCGTCGTTTAGAAGCAGTAAAAACACTCTAAAAGCCTTTTAGGCAAATACCCATATATCTCGATCTTTTGGAAATTCCCTCTATTTTTTCCACTATTTTTCATCCCTCGATTCCTTTTATTATTTTCAAACCCCGAAAACCCGGCCCCTAATCCGTCAAAATCGCGAAAAACGAGATTCAAAATCCCCTAGATAATCCCGCGTTAATGGCTATTTCTGGATCGGGGCCAAGTGGCCGGGGGCCACTTCTGCTCTTTTTCGCTGAGGCCCAAAAAGGGCATCCAATCGCATTACCGCTTGCCAGTTGCCCGGGGCACCAATTTAGCTTTTTTCCGCGAAATTGTGGCGCCTCCCGTTCTTTTCGGGAATTTTTTGAGCGTGTGAAATTGATTATTTTGGGGATTGCTTCTCAGAAGATGAACTAAAAAACTAAGTAATTTAGCTGGTGTTTTTAGTAAAATTTAGTAATATATAAATTGGAAAACATTTATAAAACTTGGAAAATGTTTAGATTTTGAAGTTCGCTCGAAAAATCTAATTTTTGTATGGCTAATCAAAATGTGTGGATTTCTAAAAGTCATTTAGCTGGGGGTCTTTAGTAAAACTAGGCCATTAGGAAGAAGCCCTTTGCAAAGAAAAATAAATAACTGATTTAAATCAACTTCTAAACTTTTAAATTTCTAACAAATCCCGTTTTTTTAAGAATTTTGGCCGATGGTGAAATTGACTACTTTTTCACTCAGGTGTTCTCCTCATAAGCCTAAAAACTCATTTAATCCCTAGTCCAACGACCACCAGGAAAAGCTCATTTCCGCCAGTGGCCCAAATTCGATACCTCTTCCGTTGGTCGGTGGTGGTAGTCGATCAAAAAAGGGCGGTCTGCCGGCCGGCTACAGCCCATATAATGGACCTCTCTACTCGGCAATGTCTCTACACCCTCTCTATTTCCCCCACTCTCTCACCCCCTCTGACCCCTCGCATCCTGATAAAAACGGACATCGTCTCCACGCTCGGCCTCTGCCCACTTGAGACGTCTCGAATTTTTTTGTGATCCCTTCGTTTGCCTCGAAGTCTTCTGTAGGTCTACCGCCCGTCTCGGTTGGTTCGTCATCTCGGAACCTAGGGGTTGAAATTTCAAACCTAAAGGAGAAAAAATTCAAGACTAGAGGCTTTTTTCTACACCTAACATGTAGAGGTTGTCAGGTCACAAGCTCCAAACCGGCTGAAAATTGGTGGAAAAATCGAATAAAATACGGGGAACACGATACGATAAAAATTATCTGCTAATGGGCACTTTTGTTTAATAAACTTTTAATTTTAAGATTTTGTATGGAAAACCCACGTAGAATCGCAGCGAGCCTGGCCAGAACCGGGGCGCGCAGGCGCGAGCTCTTCAAGCCTCCCCAAGGGCCCCCTCCGCCGGTCCGGTGGTGTAGGGGTAAGGTGCTGGGAATAATAGGCCAAAGGTCACGAGTTCGGTTCCCGCGTTTTTTATTTTTTTGCTTTTTGCCGTTTTTGCTTTTATTTTGTAGGGAGCGCGTCTAGAATAGTTTTTATAATGTTTTTCGGTCCTATTAATCAGTTGCGGCCGCCTCAACAAAAAAAATAAATTACAAAATGTTGGAAGTTTTTGCAAAAAAAGGCCTACCTACCTATTCCGACTCCATGAAAATCGACAGGATAGTTAATACAGATTACTTTTTGTACAGGTATTGTAAAGAAGCAGTCATTATCGGAATCTGGCATCTTTGGGCTCTGATTTTAAACACCTGGGGCCAGAACTATCTTTTTTAAGCAGCTGCTTCCCCACCTAGCCGGCCAAAGCTATGCGATAGGTCTTCAAAAATTTCGGGAAAAAATTTTTTCAAATAAAATTTTTTTCTGGGTGTGGGAAAGTACCTAGTGTCGTACTTTCCCTGGCAATTCGATCGAAACATTTATTCCGGGCCGGAAAGCCCGGTTAATCCGCTGAAAGTCCATTTTACCTTCATTTTTCTGACTTAAAATTAAAAGTTTATTAAACAAAAGTGCCCATTAGCAGATAATTTTTATCGCATCGTGTTCCCCGTATTTTATTCGATTTTTCCACCAATTTTCAGCCGGTTTGGAGCTTGTGACCTGACAACCTCTACATGTAAGCCAGTAAATGCCTGAAATTCTATTTCATGTTAACGTACAGTGAATACTGCCATCGATACTACTTACCTTTATTATGATTAACCCATTATCTATCGAAATTGCGACCCTTAGAAGCCAAAAAATTAAGATGAGAGGGTTTTCCCCTAAAACTAAGTCTGTAAACTTTTGAAATGTTATTTTAGATACATCTAAATACAGGCTATGACTTTTACAACTTACTTTTACGATAATTAAATTATTTTTTTACGAAATTGCAACCCCTAAGAAGCAGTAAATCCAAGACGGCGTCCTAATTTGGTAGCCTGAGCCGGATAGAACCCGAAATTTCCTTTGAAATTCACGCAAACACAGATCTACCACCAATACTAACTATTTTTATTAGAATTAAACTATAAAATGGCAATAGCTGTAACTTTAGAAGGAAAAATCCAGATCCCCGGGCCTTTATTTTGTAAAACGCATAATTTTATTCTAGAAATTTTGTTGTGGATGAGTAACGACCCGATTCTTTTTTTAATAACATGACTAAAATTGTTTTTTCAAATCCCATCCGATCATAACAAAACCGACAAACAATCGGCAAAGCGAAAAAGGCGATACCTCGTCCCTCACGTGCCGCCGTTCCCCCCTTTTTTCTCTGACCCAACCGGATCCAATGTCCAAATGCCAGGTCCCATCGGCTCTTCGCTCAATCGATTCGTATGTCTAGTCGATTGTTGCTTATTTCTTGTCGATACTTTCCTTTTCTTGATCGATTGACTCGTTTTTCCGTTAATTCCATAATTACAGCCTCGATGGTCGAGAATCAGTCGGCCATGTGTGTTCGGTTGTGCTCGCCGACCACTGGTATATTTTTATCTATTTAAAAAGCATCTAATAAACCGTACGACTTTTTGGCACTGTACGATTAACGGGGGGGGGGGTCTTTTAACTGGGCTGAAAAGCTGTCCATAGCAGTTTTTGTATTTTTTAGCGTTTTTAGGTAACTTTGATTGCTAAATTTGCTGCTAAAAACTCAAAAACATTTAAAAACTACAAATTTGAAATTTCGACCATTTTTATACACCTTTGAGCGAAAAGCTAAAATTCGAAAACTTCCATCTTTTTTTTGGCATAAAACACCGTAAAATAACTTAAAAAGAAAAGGATTAAAAAGTATCGGTTTTAACCTTCAAATAACCAAAAACCAGATTTCCACCCACCGCTAACAGTCCAGTACCTCTTTCTAGCATGCGCCGGCGAGCAACTGCCCGAGAATCGGTGGAAAGAATCAAAGAAGAATGGCGAACGGGTCCGCGACGAGCAGGGTTTCAGAATGCGCGCTGCTGGCGTCTGTCTGAGGCATGGACCGGCTGAGACACAGGTTTTCTTTTCCCTAAAACAATTATATCTATTACCCAGCAGGTGCTGCTCGTTTCGGGCGGAAAAGACGGGACGCAATGGGTGGTCCCTGGAGGTGGTATTGAACGGGATGAGCTACCGGAACAGGCTGCCAGGTAAAGGTTTCAAATTTTTTGACACTATCTCCCAGCCGGGAGCTCGAAGAAGAAGCCGGTGTCGTCGCTCAGACGAATGGGCTCATCGGTGTCTTCCAGGTGAGACCCCGTTGATATTTCGTCTAGTAGGCGAAGATATTTTAAAAACTAGCCGGAGTAGCGCATTACTTTCAAGGCTTTATCGCAAAACAATGCCAAATATCTGTACACACACGAAATCACAGTCGAAAAAGATTACCCGTTATACACAAAAGTTCTAGGACGACAACCGTAAGCACCGGACGACCGTCTTCCGGATGCGCGTGACGGAAGAGTTGCCAGTTTGGGAGGACGGCCAGAGGGTATCACAGTTTCCTAAAAATACATTTATTAACGCTGTAAAATTGTTAAATAATATGGAATTCCGCCCGAAAAAGCAAAAAAAAAACTTTATTGCAAACTTTAAGGGACGACGGCGAGAGTGGATGAGCCTGAAGGATGGGTTGGAAGTCGTGAAAGCCAGCCAAAAACAAATTCTCCAAGCCGTAATGCACCAATAATCTCTTATTACGAGGTAAGAACCATTTTACGAATCAAACTGTACTTTAAAGTGCGCCTTCAGAATTGCTACGTCAGCGCCGATTTACACAAAGAGACACAAACGTAAATGGGCGCTTTCGTTGCATTTTTTTGAGCGTACGCTATCGAAAAAATATTATTAGACCTTTACCTCTACAGTTCAAGTCGCCGATCCGTCTGCTGGAGCGAACGGACGAGCCACCGCACACATCGGTCAATATTATGGCCTTCTAACGCCGAAACGGGAAGCACAGCCAGGTCCGAGCAGTGTTCGTCATCCGACAGTAGTTGCCGAACCTAAATGTTATAAATTAATCTGCCAGTTAGGATATTGTATTTTTAATGTAAAAGAGTTGTTACTCCCTCGTGTGTATTTTTCTCGCCGCACCCTTCTATATATAAGCAATTAATCGGTTCTTGCGCATCATCGGGGGGGGGATAACTTTTTCTAGGATCAAAAGTTTCGAACATAAATATCGGATGGGTTTCTAAACCGTTTTTTTATTGTTTCTAAGCGTAAAAACTTTACAAATTTCCATTAGAAGTACAAAGATAGCGGGTTTTTTTCCACCGAGAATAGCCGATTTTTTATCAAAATTTAATAGCCAGCTCTCAAAAATTTTTTAGATAATGTTTCTAGTTTAAATAGTTTGATTTTACTAAAAACACTAATAAAATAGTCCCTATTAAGTTACAATGTATTTCTAGACTTAAACAAAAAAATAGCTCCCCGATAATGCGACAGAACCAAGCAATCAATTCGTGTGACTTCCTATATGTGCATTTATAGCGATTGATTTCCATCCCAATGCTGGCAAAGAAAATGCCGACAACCGAAATGGCCATTTTAGAAATACGGTAATAATTAAGAAAAACGAAACCATTTTAACTGTCACAATTTGGGCTAGCTTGTCGGCATTTTAGCTCCTTCCCCCATATCGATTCACCATATCGGTACCGCCCCCTAAAAAACAACGAACTTCATTCGCCGACACCGCCCCATCCAATTCGCTCTTGTTGACTGCCACGAGTACCGGTATTCGTTGCACGAATTCGGATTTCATCGCCTCGCCTGCAAACGGATAATTCATACAACTAAGACGGTGTCTGATACATGGTTTTCTATTAAACAGAGACGTATCACTTTAGCCCCCATCTTTTTTTTAGCTCAAAAGGGCTACCAGAAACAGCCAATTTGTAAGACTGTAGTTCTAGTATCAGTCGGGTACCCAATGCTGTATCTATTAATGCTCAATAAAACATTAATAAAATACATATTCGCATTGTGCACAAGAAAAACTCACTAAAACAAGACGCAACCGTGCCAAAAAGATCTCTGCGAGTCCCGTCGACAACGAATATCACGCCGCTTGCCTCCTAAAATTTATGAAATCCAGGAACTTTCGCATTATCGGGGAGGGGGGGGGGTCGTGGAAGTCCAGAAAACCTAATAACGTAAAATCAAGCATCTAGACGATTTATTTAGTAAACTTTAGCTATATTTCATGTGGAAAACCATCTAAAACAGCAAAAAATAAGTATTGGTCGAAAAACTAAAAAATTGTAATGTTTTGCTTAGGTACAGTAAACAAATATCTTTAATCGAAACAGAATTTTGAAATTAGGTCTAGTAAAACGGCGTCGAAACACTTTTTCGATTCATATTAGCAAAATTGGTCACTAAGGAAAAGGTTAGCCCCCCCCCCACGTTCCTGCGAAAGCGCCAAAATACTACATCAGCTTCTTACCGCGTAATAGGTGCCCCACAATTCCCGCAGATCCTCCTGCCCTCCAAGGTCCCAAAAGTTCAGCCGCACTTGCCCAACCTCCACTTTTCCGACTAAAAAAAAACAATTAAAAAAGTCCAATTCCTCCTACCGTTCATCCCGATAGTGCTCGTGATCTTGGATGGGTTGAGCATGCCATAGTCACGGATGAACTTTGCCTTTATTTGCTCGAGTAGCGTCTAAAATCAGATGCTACACGCTAAAAACAGCCGCTGACCGTTTTCCCGGCATTATCGAGCCCTATGATGACGACAAAATAGTCCTGTTTGGCAAAGAACTGCTCGTAGAGGCCCACCGACAGCGTGTACATACGATTGCGAGGCCGGTATTTGCGGTGAAGTGATAGGAGGGGAGATTACTGAAATTGAAAAGGTTCAGAAAAGCGTTCTCAGCAAAAAATATAGAACCAGAGAACGATTCTGAAAGCGGAAATGGAATTGAAACGAGCGCAAAAAGTTTAATCTCGGTTCTGACTGCCGAATTTAGTAAAATCTCGTAATTTAGATTTTTAACGTAATTTTTTATAGCATTTGGACTATCAGCAAGTATCTTAGCAGCTAAATAATAGATATTGGTGCCAGAATTCCCGAAAACAAATGTTTTTGCCTATTTTCCGAGACGAAGAAAGGCGTGGGAATGGCGAAATGGCAGGAAAAAATACGATAAAACATAGTTTCGAGACCTTAGATTAGAAGGTTTAGTCTCTGTTTTTGGCAAATCAGCAAAAATAGAATTACAAAACGATTACGAAAACGCTTTAGGTTACTTTGATGGTATAACATAGCTAATTGTATATCTACTATATATAAATTTCTAATGTCCGTACGTCCGCCCGTCCAGGAATTCAGCCAAATTCTGCATTCAATTTCAAAATTCAAATTGTGTGGAGAAGGGAAGCCAGCGCTGAAACCCCGCGTAGCGGGGGGTCAGCGCTGGTTTATTATATACTATTTGATACCATTAAATATATAAACAAGTCTGAAACGATTGGTTTATTTTTTATTTTGGTTTTACAAACTATAGTTGCGCCTCGGGCTCGAGCGCTCCTTGAAAGCTGGCCGACTACACGACCATCCAATTGTCGATTTCTCTGCGTCTCTCCTCTTTAGTATTACCTCGCCCTCTTTCTTTTCAGCGCTTACGCGACGTTGCCCAGATTTTTTTAAATGTTTATTTCCATTTCCATATTTTTCATTTTGTTTGTAACGTTCTAAAGACACAATCAAACTTTAGATGTTCTTCCACTTGGCCCTCGACCACGAGGTGTCCCTCCACCCCAAATACTTCGGCCCGCAACTACACGACACGATCAAGAACAAGCTGTTCAGTGAGGTTGGGTATATTTTGGCGCACGTTCAGGTTTCTTAAATTCATTTTTTTTCTCAAAAGTAATTTTTTATTGTTTGGTTCAAACACATTATTGGGGGACCAACTTTTTCTTAAAGTCTAATGTTTCAATATAAATAGTGGTAGCGTTTCTTCCCAAGTGATTTTTTACTAATACTACACGTGAAAACTGTAATCTTTTATTGAAAACTGACAAAAATAGGTTTTTCTACACAAGCCCATTTGGTACTTATCAAGTTGGGGGGGGCCACTTTGGGTACCTATTAGGAGACACTTTTTTATCGCTTTTTTGAGTCTTTCTGGGGTAGTTTTTTACGCTGAATGCGATTAGAGTCGCAACAGCATGTCAAACCGTTGGGTTTATCCAGAAAAACAGCGTAAAAAATTTATTAATAAAAAGTGGACTTATGCACAATTTGGGCATGCCGCATCGTCAGGCAAGGCGGGCCGTCGCTTCGGATGGGCTGCCGCTCCACTCTTTCAAAATCGGGGCGCCTGGGCGCTTCGCGCTCCTCGGGCGCCCCGATTTCGAAACCCTGTACGAGCTCGCACCCATCCGAAGCGACTAGGCCCCGGGTGGCACGAAGCCTTATTTTTAGGCTCAAACTGGGTAGCTGAAACTCTAACTCTTAACAAACGCTTAGATAATGATGTTTTACTACTCTGATTTCGGTATATTCGGAACCAGCACAAAAAACCAGCCTAGAAAGACTCAAAAAGTCGAAAACCAAAGTGGCCCCCCCCCCCCCAACTTGATAAGTACCGCCCATTTTTTTAATTTTCACTTTTACGAAGCTTTTAGATGGTTTTGCGCTTAAATGTAGTGATTTTTTTACTAATACACTATCAAAATAAAAAACACTAGAGATTTCTATAAGATATGGAGAACGAACGGATTTCATGTATTTTTATGCTTCTCTGAACGTTTGGTTCTGACTTGTATAACTTTTCTTTTTTAGGTGGAGGGCACGTGCACAGGCAAATACGGCTTCGTGATCGCCGTCACAACAATTGACACGATCGGCCATGGTATTATTCAACCAGGTAAATGCCCTTTTCTAGATGAAAATGTCTTGTTTAGGTCGCGGCAGCGTCATCTACCCAGTAAAATACAAGGCCATCGTCTTCCGGCCGTTCAAAGGACAAGTGATGGACGCTGTCGTGAATCAGGTATGGAGTTTACGAATCCTGATAGATTTTTTAGGTGAATAAACTGGGCCTTTTCTGCGACATCGGACCGCTGCAATGCTTCATCTCACGGCATTGTATCCCGCCAGACATGCATTTCGAGCCCAACGCCATGCCCCCATGCTACAAGACCACCGACGAGTCGCAGATCATCAAGACTGATGACAATATCCGGGTTTGCGCAGTCTTTTAAATCTATTATGGGAAATTTAGGTAAAACTAATCGGCACTCGTGTTGACGCCAAGGAAATTTTTGCAATCGGCACGTTGATGGACGACTATCTGGGACTCTGCCCGCCTGAATGATTTCTTTTCTGCTCATGTATAGCCTTTCTAATTATTGCATTCTTTCGGTATAGCCTTATCATTTCCTGTTTTCCCGTGATTATTCGGTTTGATCTCATTTGTTGAATTTGATAAACCTTCTCCATTTACTTTGAGCGGAACTATTCGGGTTTGTATCCCAACCGAGATTTTCTAACAAAATATTTGCAATGATTGTCGAAGTTTTTTTAAGCTAACGTATTGCTTCTAATATAACCCCAGCATTTCGATGATTTCAATCCACGAGTGGATACATGGTTTTCACTAAAAATCCCCAAATTTGAAGGTGAAAGGCCCGGCTATAGTATTTTCCGATTTTGACCGAAAAATCCAGGAGGGATTCTAGTTTTTCAAACGTGTCGTGAAAAACTGTATTCGGTTCTAATTCGCCTCGTTTCAGATGGCAATCTTGGACTGGGCAATATTCGATGAAATCCGGCGCATGAATGTGCGCCAGGTGCTGTACCAGATCCTGAACTTCGCGATGGTGGTCTCGTCAGCGTTGATGATCTGGAAAGGCTTGATGTTCTTCACGGGCAGCGAGTCACCCATCGTCGTGGTGCTATCAGGTTTGCGTTGATTATTGACAAAACCGTCCTAGGATCGATGGAGCCCGCCTTTTTCCGCGGCGACTTGCTGATGTTGACGAACAATCAGGTTTCGATTTTCGAGCCAAGCTTATATTCTTATCTTAGGAAGACCCTGTGCGAGCTGGAGACATCACCGTATTCAAGATCGATGGAAGGGATATTCCGATTGTCCATCGCGTTATTAAGGTTTTATTTTCATTTTTATGACTATCTTGTTTCTAGGTCCACGAGAAAACGGCTCACGACACAAAGATTCTGACGAAGGGCGATAATAATCAGGTTTGTTTAGTTGTTCAGTACTTCAACGGTGTCGGGGCGGGAGAAAGTTTCTTAGCTGTCCACAATGTCTAGCAACCTAAATCTGACTATTTAAGTGACAAAAACCTCTAACTATCTCGAAGACTAACTTTTGGTCAAATACACCATTTTTTTCTCGAAATATCCCTGTTGCTTAGATTTTTTTAACAAAACATGATTTTCGTATTTTTACGTGGTTAAGAGGAAAAAGCTGTAGAAAATTGCTTCCTTCCAGGTAGATGATCGCGGCCTATACGCTCCGGGTCAAGTCTGGCTGAACAGAACCGATATCGTTGGACGCGCGAAGGGCATCGTTCCATACGTGGGCATGGTGACGATCTTGATGAACGACTACCCCAAGCTAAAATATGCCGTGCTAGGTGCCCTCGCACTATTCGTCATTCTTCACCGAGAACAATAGTCGGTAGTGCCTCGAACATTTTCTCTGTGTACCCTTATTTATTGTCTCTACTACTTTCCCTCTACACATCTTCTCTACTGTTGTGATCGCGCCAGACTTAATATATTGTTACCGTATATTGGGCGTGCATTGTGATTTTTCTGGGTATTTTTCTTACTAATGCTTTTGGAGTTGATGGGTTTTTGCCAATAAATGCATATTTTCTTTGAGAATGTTGGCAGCATTTACAGGGTGGCTTCTCCGAAAGTTTAATCTAGTGTGGAGAGAAATATAATTTTACACACATGCAATCGTATCCGTGATTTGCAAACCGACAGAAAACTTGTTCGATTTTGATAAACCAAAAAAGAATAGATTTTTGGCGCCTTTTTACAAAAACACACTTTCTAGATGGAGCCATCTTCGTCGCAATTCCAACCGTCTTTCTCGCAGCAAGTCCGGCCCCGTGCGACCCAAACAACAATTTTCCAAGAGACCGAGTTCAGCTCAAAGGAACTTGACCACGAAGCATTTCTAGTAATTTTATTCCCCGGGGGCTAGCCTTTATTTAGAATGCGATCGTCAATCTCCAGACACAATTGACGATTTTGAAGAAAGATGCGGGAACGACCAAAGGAAAAACCCAACGACAGCGACAGGTTTTGTCACTAGCGCTACTAAAACACTTTTCTAGGAAGCCAAGAAGGTTCTGAAGCTATTGCTACAGCAGGTCTCTGGGACGCTTTTTGCCAATAAGTTAGAAGCGTCTCTCTCGCTGGAAGATATAGTGCGCGAACTTACCCAATTAACCGAAGAGGTTTGCCGCTGGTTCACTTGCTTTTGCAGGGCTTTAGGAGTTGATTGACAATCAGCAAAAGTATCAGAAGAACCCGAATGCTCCAACCGACTTTCAAGTCACCGATGTGTGCGTTGGGCTTGTGCGTGCGGCGATAATTGGTAGCCCATAGATTTTCTTTGAAAATGTCGGAAATTTAGAAGGTGCTGCGGATGCGAAAATCGATGTGATACCGCTCTGTATTTTGCTGATTAAGTCGACTTTCGGATCGGTGGAGGGCAGGTTGAGTGAAGAATTCTTCCGCGTACTATTGCACGCTCAGGTACGAAGGGGCAGTCTGTGAACTTCTTCAACGGTACTCTGAAGCTGTTCCTGTGATGAAATGGAAACAAGAACATTACACAGGTATCGCGCGGTTTATTGTTTCCAAAAATCCCTACTTTTTCAAGCCCTGCTACGGAATGCTAAAGCGGAATTGATGGAACGATTGGCCTGCAACATAAAGCGAAAACGAGCTGATCCCTGGTTAAAAATTGTCTGCCTCCTCTACAAGAATATTTCGTGGAAAATGTTGGTGATTTCGTCATGGCAAAAACTGGAAAATTCAGGTTGCCGAAAGACATCCACGAGACGGTTCTCGACTGCTTTGATCAGGTCATAGCTGCGCTTTGCCCACTAGACTATGAATAGTTAGTTTTTCTAACAGTTTATAAAAATTTCCTTTAGCTTCCAAAAAGAGACGTCGACCTCATCGCTGATCTTCCAGCTATTTTCGGTGTTCCTCGACGAATGGGGGCTTCTGAAAAGGGATCATTTCTTGGACAGGTATTTTTCGTGGTATCTTGTAAACCTTTCTTTTTTAGCTTGATCAAAGTAGCTTCCGCCTCTGTGAATCAGATAAATGGGATGTGGACGAGTAGAATTGCGATACAGGACAAATACGCGATGGAAAATGCTGGAGTCTGTGCTAATTTTGATAATTTAGGCTAAAACCAGGGTTGAAAAGCCGCTTCGCGACTTTTCAACCCTGGCCCCGTTTGGACAAATGAAACGGTAAACTTTCCATAATTCAGCCTCGATCAAGCTGACAAAAATGAAAAGATTTTCTTCCATAGGCTTTTATAAGCTTCTTTTACTTCCGGAATATGCTAATTGTTTCCTACCAAAGAGGGTTCTCGAAAAATTTAGAAAAACTTATTTTTAATATCGAAAATAGCGTATTTCGATAATTCTGTTATGCGTGCAGTCATCGCAGAGCCATTACGCACCTAATGACGTATCATACGTACCCTAATCTTCATCCCCTATTGAGTTATCCTCCGGACATAGAGACGGAAGTTGCATGCAAATCGACACACACACACACACACAGACACTACTTTTTTATATATAGTAGGATTTAGGAACCACTTTGGTCGTTTCTCGAAAGAGTGCTCGCTTTGGCCGCTCCAAGCTGTGAACTGCTTGAAAATGCGCTCATCAGCCCGATCCATAATTTGGCCAACGATCTGATTGATGCGGTCATTTCGGATTTGATCCGAGTCACAAATAGTAATGCGGTAAAAGATATGGTCAAGCAAGAATTATAGAATTTTTAGCGCACCCTGTTCGAGCTGCCCGACTCGCGGATCTCCCTATTGGGCCGTATATTGTTCCTCAGCGAGCCGAGCCTCGTCTTTGAGCACCAGGATGCGGTGAAACGGGCGCGCGTCATGTCTCCGTTAGCGGTGAGTTATAACCACTCACTCATGAAATCATTAGGCGTTCTGCTCGTGTGACTGGCACGTCACCCCTGTTCCACCCTCCTTGGTGTCGGTGACGGTGAGGGCATTGAGCGCCCTCTTCTCTACGTACCATAACCAACTCAAGCAAAGTGGTGAAGCTTCCAGATTTCTCAACATTCTGTGGAGAGCAAAGGCCGAATTTTCCGGGTAAAAATTGTTCGAACATATGAATTGTGGATGCAGGCAACAGCTTTACATTTCTACAGTTTTTCGTTATTCAACGGAATTCGGCTTTTTTCGCGTGGCCACTGTAGAACTTTTAGGAACTTTGAGAAAACCAGTTGCAGGAAAAGTCAGTGAAAAATGAAGGGAATCCCGAAAAAACCGTTTTTCAGCGCCGTCGACCAATTCTGCCATATTTTTGCGGCGTACGCGGAGACGTGTCAAAATGGCGAATTCCCGAAAGAGCCGCGCGATCACGAGATCTTCGAGTGGCTGTTGATGGATGGCGGATGGCCGGCAGCAGCACGGTTTTGCGCTACGTATATGGCCAGAATACAACCGGTGAGCTTTCGCTCATATCTAATCGTTGAAAAAAAAACATTTTTAATGGTAAAAACCAGGGTTGAAAAGCCGCTAACGCGGCTTTTCACCCCTGGCCTTCGCGCACGGAACTCTCAAAGTTGGACACTTTGCATAATTCGAGCGAAGAGCGAGAGCGAACCCAAAAACGGCAAAAGCAACCGGCCGCTAGTGCGGCAAAATTCGAAATGAGCCTCTTAGCGCCTCGTATGCAAATGAGGATATTTCCATATGTTTTAAAATAGCTAAAATAAGGTATAAATCGTCATTTTATTAAAAATCTGATAAGCTTGCAGTAATCTACGCCCTCGACTACCCCTAAATACCTTTCGACTGGGCCCTAAAATTGATCCCCCTTCCCGAAATCTTGGTAACCCGGTTTTTTCGAGCCATTTATGCAAAGTGTCCATACACACACACACACACATGAACTATTTTTTTATATATAGTAGGATACCATTAAAATCGCTGAAATTGGCAGTATTGAAACTTATTTACCTATCAAATCGTTAACACTTTGCTTCAGAATTCGCGCCCGCTCTCTGCCGTCATCGACTTACTGTCTAGAATTGGCATAAATTCAGCAAACGAGGAGCGGCTATTGTCTATAGCTTTGAACAGGTGAAATTTAGTTAGGTGGATAGCTCTCAATTTTTTTAGGTGCTCGTGGCATGATCTGGAAGAACTCCCCCAATTAAAACGATGGCGTTTCCAGAATGGCAGCGAGAATTGGCGGTATCAAAACTCACGCGGTATTTAGTTTTTCTAGATCTCGCGAAACGATTGTCCGCTGGCTGATCGCTAGTGCAACGGTCGACTTCTCGGGGATTCTCTTCCAGTTGACTAAGCATAATTTGGGGCAAGAGGCCGCGGCGACGAATGGTTAGCTCAGAGACCATTTTTTCTGACATTTTTTCTAGGTATTTTCTTGCAACCGACTCTTGAAACGAGGTTAATGGATTATGTTCTTATTACCCAACAACAGAGGTTTCACTAGCTATTTTAGTTGAGTTATTTTTATTAGGATTCCATCTGAGCCGACTCCGAACTACTCTTTTATCGTCCTGACCGACGTGGCAGCCCTGATCTTGCATCATTTTGACGAGTGCTGGGAACAAGGTGATTTTAATTTTAGTTGTTACTACTTTCTAAAATCGTGCCCGGTTCTTTCGCCTTATCGGGGGGTCTAAGGCTTTTTTATTGTCTCCCACCGAAAATATAGTTAAGCTTTGCTAAAACTACTATGAAAACACTTATTCTGCATTTTGGGCTTATAGGATAGGAAGTGGGGCCCCGCATAATTCGAAAGAACCACGGATCCAATTGCCGAAGAAAAAAAAAATGCTTTTTAGCAGGCTCCAACACCGGAAGAAAGGTCTTTTTATGGCGTCAATTGATCGGCTACATCGACTTGTTGAAGGAGTTCGTGGAGGAAAAGACCTATCGCGCGTTGCTTGACGTAATTCGCGATTTTTTAAGCATTTTCCTTTTTTTCTAGAAAACATCTGACTGGGTGGCCAGGAATCTACGCCGATTCGAAGACGAGTGGAAGATGTTCGACTTTTCGGGGTATAAAATTATATTTGTTCTTGCGACGAAGATTACAGGCGTCATTTGCTATTCCCGTCTACTTTGTATAACGCAATTAAGGAGTATGCCGAGAAGGTTTGGCCAAAATCTTTCAATTTTAAGGCCATTGTTTAGAATGAATACGCATATTACTGCTTGATCTGCGATGAGGCGATCCTGGATTTGGCCTTGGAACCGGAAACTATGGATGTACGGATTTTTTGGCGCTTTTCTTTTATTGGGGGGGGGGGCAGCCAGTCTCCCTATGACAAAAGTAGCCAAAAAAGGAAAAACTCTAACGAAACTTTTTTGTTGGGTTATCGAAAACCACCAAAAAAGTAAAATAAATTACCCGTTAAGACTAGGAATTGGGTGAAACCAATAGAAGTTGATTAACGTCAGCGACGCGCTAAAATGCCCCCCCCCTGATAAAAGGAAAGTAGAGAATTTTTGAGTTTTTAATCGATGTGTTTTAGAAAGTGCTATCCCTCTGCAACACGAAATGGCGCGCGGATCAGCACTGGCTGACAGCCCCCAGCCAGCTTCTCGCCCTCAAGGCATTTCAACTACCGTTAGAAGCCTGGCCAACAGAGATCTTTGCGGATTACGGTCATCTGCTGACAGAACAGGACAAAATGGAGTTGTTGGAGCGGTTGCAGTATGTTTTTTTCGGCGTTGACCCGGTTCTGGTGCGTTAGCGGGGTCCTGTTTCCTATTCAGCTTAACTTTGATAGTAATAAAAACAGATAATTTTTTGTTTTTTTTTGTAGTTTCCGATTAGTAAAAAGCTTAAAAAATTCAATTTTTGAAATTTTTTCTAAAAAGCTGATTTTTTAGCTTTCAGATTTGCTATGGGTGTGTTGGAGATAAAACTGAGTAAAACGCGATGAAAATAGTCTATATTGGACAAAATAGACGCCAATGGGAAGCTAAGGAAAATTACCCCCCCCCGCTAATGCACCAGCTCCGCTAAACCTATATCTAGCTCGCTACAACAAGACCATGGTGATGATCCGATGCGATTGGTCTACGCAAACGTCATGTTACGATTTGAAAGTGTAAATTTTCGGTTCTGATACTTTCTACGTCTTGCTTAGACTGCCTCCCTACAAATTCGATCGAAGCTCGAGCCGCTCACTGACTTTTGCCTCGTCCTTGATCGTGTTGATGAGCTGCACCCAGCCGCCCTAGAAGAGTACCTCAACAACTTGGACCACTATTTAACGCCATCAATTTTTGCCCCGAAATTTGCCAGGTACGGTTATTAATTTGCGAAATTCTTTTAAATTTTAGAGCCGTGCTCGAAAGACGAATTCTTTGGCCCAATCACCTCAAGATTTTGCGGTTTCTGTTGGAAAATGCGGAAGCGTTGCAGGTATTTCAGGGTCGTTAAATCGGTAATGGACGGTTAGCGGGGGAGGCTAGTTATTATTTTCCGCTTGTGATGATTATAATTGATTTTTATATTGTTTTTCGCAATTTTGAGTACTAGAACGTTATGCAAAATGATTGTTTTGTGTTTCGTTATAGGATCGTGCGGAATTACTGTGAGAAATTTGCCCCCCCCACCCCCGCTAACAATCCAGTACCGCTAAATCTTTATCGTCTTTTATAGTTGTGTCGACGATGGTGGCCACAAGTTGACGCTTTTATCGAGTACCACAGCCCGGCCCTTTTGGCGAATTTTGGTCTTCGGCCCGATTTTTCGCGATTCAAGAGGTTCGACAGCAATTCTATGAATTATAGAATCTACGTACTTTTAAACGATGTTATATCCGTGTTTTTTTTAGGTTCACACCAAGAACGGTACCCAACGACTGGATCGAAGTGGTGCGAGCTTCATGTAAAGGTGTCGATTCCGAAGAGCTGTCACTGAATTGCGAATGCTTCCCCTGGGCGCTGCGTTGCGATAGCGGGTCTGTTAATTTTTGCCTTTTTAAAACGGAAATGATTCTGAAATGCCTGTCGGGCCCCTTTGATAAGATATCTACTATTTTTAGCCTTTTTTACCGTTTTTAGGCATAGACGTGGGTTTGTAAATAGAAATAATTTATTTTCTGCTCAATAGTGTTTGCAAAACGGATCGGTGCTCGATTCGAGTTGTTTACTATTTAAATTTTTTTATCCTTTGTAACCAGATAATGTGAAAAAACTATAAAAAATCATAACTATAATAAAAAAGTTCAGGCTACATAAACAAAATCAACTTTCCTTTCAGCCTGATGTCCAGCGTCTCGATCTATTTCGTCTCGCAACTCCAGTCGATGGCCGCTCTCGATTTTTTGGCTCACCTCCGCATGGAAGCGGCATCGGCTATCGCTACTTGCCAAGAAATTCGATACCTCGAATTTTTGGTTGTCCTCGTGGAAACGGCCAAGATGGTAAGAATAATTAATGAATCCCGGAATTAAGCCTTAAAATTTCAGTCCCCGGTCTCAAACTACCCAAAAGTGATGAAGCCGCTGTTGGAGTTGCTCGTCTCTTGCGTGACGCTTATCTGGCAGAGTGTTAACAGGTTTTAAGAGTTTTCAGGGTGAAAGGAATCGGCAAGGCACGGCTATGTATTTTGTCTTTTGCGGCGCCCGCTACACGCAACGCGCACGCGGCTTGACCGCATGCACGGAAAATAACAGAGATAATTTACAGACAAGTTTTGCCGCCTTTAGAAACGGTTTTCCTAGAAATACGTCTTGCTTCGACATTGCTGAACTTTCGACGCAACGGATGCGTATCCTCAAGCTACTGCCCGAGGAATTTTCCCTGCATTCCGTCTACGCGTCCAAGGAGTTTTTGATGAGTATGTTTATTCCGCATCACTCTATCCTCTTTTTAGGCTATAAAGGAAATGCCCTCGACAACTTTCCGGATACCTTTCACGCAGCTGCTGACGGGTTTTTGGACGCTATTGTAAGAGCATTTAGAAGTCAATATTTTAGTTTTTTTGGGTTTTTAAGTACCTGTTTATTTTTTACGACGATATGTTGATGATTTTTCGTTCCTTTAGTGGCCAGACGACGAGCACGTCTTCTTCTGTACGGCATTCTGGAAGGCAATGGATGAAGCCGTTCTATTGAAGCTAAAATCGAGAGATTCCTGGGACCCTCGCCTGCGTCGATGCCTGGAATATCTGATTCTCATCTGGGATACGGTACCCTGGCTGCGACCGTTGATTACACCGAATATCGTGCTGCTCAAACAGCTGGTAATTTTTTAATTTTTTTTCATGAAACGGCCTGGAAATTTTTATAAATTAGTTATTATTTAATTATGAATTTATTGATTTTTTAATCACATTTTGTTAAACCTGTAATATTGAACTGAATTAACGGACCGTTTTTCAATTTGATTTTAATTGTTGTTAAGATAGTTTAATTAAAAATTATCCTGTTATTTCACGATTTGAAAGAACATTAATTTGCTCCAATTTTTAGAAAATTGATTTTATCGAATGAAGACCCTTTATTTTTAATAGGTCTCGCCAAATCTCCCCTACACCGTGGAGTTCAACTACCAGGATGGCGGTGGTGATCAGGCGATGCTTGGATATCTCGGCCGGGTCTGCAAGCTAATGCTGGCCGATTATCGGTAAGATATTTTATTATTAGTTAGTGACGTCGTACTTTTGATATGATATTAAGTATTAATTTATTATTAAGAAACCTAGTTCCGGATTTTTCAGGGAAACCAGCTTCGATTCAATCCGATTCGCCCTGCGGCTGCTGATCTGCCCGGAATTCGGAGCGATATCGATTTTGTCGGTGGAACAGGCTGCGGACAAGGTAGCTCAGTTTTAAATGGCGGAAAAGCCCGAGAATCGACCTCCAATGTCGGCTAGGTCTGGACAGTTACGTGACGGTCCTAATGACGTCCATTTTTTGACAAAACGTAAAGTTGTACAGCTATGAAAGTGGGATATTTTTGGCGTGTGGCGTAGCTGTCGACACCTAGTAGACAAAAGAGGTAGGTCATCGCATTGCCGGCCCCTTTAAAGGGACGGACAAGGTGTGGCAGGTGGACACGCCCTCGACACGCAACGCGCGCGCCGTCTGCCCCGAATTTAATCGATTACGCAACAGAACTAAAAAACTCTCGCGCTGCGTTGCGGTGCGAACTGACTTGATGTAAAGCTGTGTGATGTTGCTGTTGCTTGAAGTCCTTGACCCGGTTCTAATTCTCTAGGAAAACCAAGAGCTGACGTATGAATCGGTTCCCCTCTCACAACCAATGAGCCAGTCGGATACTTCTCGTGCTCGAGACGTCGCTGACACCCCAGACGCGTGCTACCGACTCCTGAAAAGTCTCGACATTGGCCACGCTGTGATCAGGACTCTGGCGAAATACGTGCTCGTCAAAATGGTACCTTTTGTCTAGAATCTGAAGCCATCTATTTCAGCGCAAAATTTGCCCGGGCCTTCTCCCGTACATTTGCGGACTCGACCATGAGCCCGAGATCATACAGCCGGCGATTCGAGTCATATTGGCCTGCCGGGAATGGGACACAGGTTTGGGTTCTAGTTCGTTAGCGCGCGGGGGGGGGGGGTAACAGGGCCCACGCTAAATCTTTCTCTGTTTTCGTATGTCGAGTTATTAAATATAAACTAGTTTAATAAATTATTTAGATTTAAAAAGCCGCTGCCAAATATTGAAAATCTCGAAAACAGGGCAAAAATTATCACATTTTTGAATTTCTGAAAAATGTGTTTAAGCTTTTTTGCATGAATTTTACATATTTTACACAATATTCCGTTTTTTTTTTTAAAATTAAAAAATTAATTGTGTCGCATTTTTTAAACGGATTTATGGAATTTTTTCCTCGATCGGAAACCACTATAAACACTATGCATGAAAGATGAATGGGCTGAATGAAGGAAATTAGTCCCCCGCTAATGATCGAGAGCCCTGGGTTTTTTTTGAGCCGTCTTACGGGCAATTTTGAGAAACTTTTAGCGGACGACGCCGAAAATCCACGTTCAGCCCGCTGTCTAGCCGAGTGCCTCGACGCCATCAACATTCAATACTTGACGGCCAATATTGAAAATTGCGATGATATTGATCGGTATTTTATCAAATATTTTTTTATTATTTTTTATTTTTTAGCCTTCGACTGCTGGCTGATTTTCTGGGAAGTAATGGCTACACGAACCACTCAAAGCTGCTCTATCATTTGTTCTGCGAGACGTAAATTACAAAAAACATTTCTATCCTTTTTTAGGGTCCTGGCACGTCTTCGCTCGACAATGGGTCTCAATCTGGGCTCCAATTTGTGTAAACTGCCAAAAGAAGCTCGCCAATTCGCCGCGGATCTTTATTTACGGACCAGCGACGCGTCGGTGCTGCGCGTTCTTCCTGCAGATTTTCAGACAAAACCGGCGATACGGTAATATTTGAAATAGACCCACAAGGCAAGGGAACGAACTTGTGGCTACGGATTTTCGGTTTTTTTTTTTGCGTTATCGGGGGGTTATCATGGGAACCGAATTTTTTCCTACAAGACCAAACATGCCTGGCAGGGGCGTAGCCAGAAAAAAATTTCGGGGGGGGCCCCGAAAATTTTTTTCCGAAAAACTCAAAAAATTAACGAAAAAACAGCGCCGCAGGCGAAAAAATTTGGAAAAAAGGCAACATAGCTCTATAAATAGCAGTAAAAACGTGAAAAAATAGCGCCGCAGGCAGCAAAATTTTTGAGAAAATAAAAATCATAAGGGTCCCCCCTTATGAAATTTTTGGGCCCCGGCCGATTTCGGGGGGGGCACCGGGCCCAGGGGGCCCACCTTACGCTACGTCCCTGATGCCTGGCAACTGAAAATTAATAATTTTGATAGTGTGTCAACTATATTTCAAGTGGAAAACAACGAAAATTTGTAAAAAGTTTTTTGTCGAAATTTTAGTCGAATGTCAACCATTGCTGGTCGAAAAGTCTACTATTGTATATTTTTAATAAATTTGTGTACGCTCTTACATTTAGGAATATGAAAACAACAGTTTAAAAAACAATTCCTCATTTATATTATAAAATTGTATCCTGAGAAAAACGCTGGTTCCGTGCGCCGTCAAATCAGTAAAAAATCCATAAACAAAACCGAATTCTGATGCCTTGTACGTCCTTTTATTAGTGTTAAAACCGAATCTTACAGAAGTGCGATCAACTATGACCTCTGTGACTGGGCCTCACTCATAAGCGATGAAGACCCGAAGCTCAAGGCTGAAGCTCATTTTGCACTCGGCTCCCAGCAAACTCCTAGTAACACTTGATTGCCTTTAAAACCCCATATTTTAGGTGGCTCTGCATTTGATGATGCGATGTATCAAGAAGCATGGAGACTCAGAAACTGGGGCTCACTTCCCCTCCCAAAACCGTAAATCCATTTTTTTTTAAGTTCTACAGTTTTGAAATTAGCGAATGTGACTTTCAACTGAAATCTATAATTTTAATTCACTCTCAAATTTTTGGTGTTGTTTTTTATAGAGTTTTTGACGCTATGATCTTTTTTAGAGCATCATCTCGTGATGCCCAACTCTACTCGCATTTCTACATGGAAAGTTGCCTGAATTTGGATAGTATTGGGGAAGTTCGCGAGGCTAAGTGCAGTTTATGTTCAGATTTTTTTATATTATTGTTAGGGTAAAATTGGAGCACGAGTACGCGAAGCTCGGTTGCTCGACGACACAGCTACTGGCACAAAGAATCGCTGAGCTGCGAGCTATCGAAATTGGCAATCAAGAGGTAAGTTGCTTCATCAGTTTTAAATTTTCAAAATAAATCTTCCAATCTTCATTAAATCCTACCTTATATAATTTGGTCGCGTATCTTTGTGTGTGTGTGTGTCCGGCGCCAGGGAGGGCTACTTTGCATAATTCCAAAAAATACAAATTTCCTCATTCTTGCAAGTTGCACGCGCGGGTGTGGTCGGATGAAGGGAGGGGTCCGAAGGACCCAAGCTATCGGAAAGTCAAATTTCTCATGCAAAGGCCGCATTCCAGCGCCCAAGGCCCGCGAAGCGGGTTTTGGGCGCTGGTAACATAATTTGATTTTAATAATTTATATTTAATTAATTAACTTATTTCAGACAGAGCGGATTTATCTCGACTCGACACTGATCTGCGCAAGGGCTTTCGAAAGATCGCAGAGAGCTATTGGGTCTGTCGTCGGCTTATTTTCTGATTTTTTTATTTTTTTAGAGATCGCCAAAAGCTAGACCAGCGTGATGTCGATTCCATTTTTGCAGAAGTCGAAAGTTTGGCCAAAAGAAAGATGTACCGGGTATTTCCTGCCGTTTTTAACCAGAATTTTTCTATATAATTTAGCCGGCGCTGAAAACGCTGGGAAATCTGAACGACATGGTCAATCTGTTGCCCAAAAGTGACGACCAGCAGCTTCTGGCCGCTCAGTGTGTCCTGGAGGAATGCCGAATTCTGCGGAAGACCGATATGAAAATGATGGCCAAGGAGAAGCTGTTCAAACTGATCGCACAATCGGATGTGGAAGATCAGGTCTGGAAATTAGGATTAGAATTTATTCTTTTAGCTTGGAGCCGAAATCGCCGTCCGAGCGAGCTGTCAGCGCGAGGAGTTGGCGCTGGAGGCGGATTTTGACCCGGAAAAGTCGATTGCGTATGCGTTGAAGGTAAGCGCTTCATATATAAATTCCAGAAAATGACATTATATTAAAAATATTGATTTACAATGGATTTAATTAATTTTAGGCGCGCGACCTTTGCGCGAAAGCCGATCCCCGGAATTCCGAATTGTACACCCTCGTCCACCGGAAGCTCTTTGAAGCCTCGTGTAGTCAGCTGGAAAATATTGAGGTGCGTCTTTTCTATTTTTTTTTTTATAGAATTGAATTACATTTTTAAATTAGGCGTACCGCGAGTCAAAAGGATTTCGGATGAAGCGGGAGGCCATCGAATATTGGGACAAGACGCTGAGTGAGCAGAATGAAAGGTTAGTTTTAGCGATTTAAAATTATAACTTTTTTCAGGAAGCGCGATCCTGCATCGGCCGCGATTGATTCAGCCGCTGTGACGAGACTTCGTCGCGAACGTCGATGTGAAGCTGATGCGGTTAGGCTGAGAAGCAAGTTGAGCTTGAACTTTTTTAGATCCGGGCCACATACACGAGGCTGTGGGAAAATGCGCAATTGGCGCTCGATTCGGGGCTGAAGGCGATTCAGTATTCAAGCCAACGAGATGCTACGCAGGTGCTAAAATTCGCTCTATTTCTCACTCTCGCTCTCTCTAATTTCCGTTTTTCAGATGCTCTTCTCGGTGATTGATCTCCTCTTCCGATACGGTGAAGAGAACCCAGACTTGGAACTGAAAGATGACCTAGAAGGAGAAAGACCCCTTTACCTTGGCATTGTCGCGTTATTTGAGGTAGTTATCTAGCTTCTAACTTACAATTTTTGCTCTCCAGCATCATCTATCTGTCCTCGACACAACCAAATGGGTATTTGCCGTCAGCCATGTCTGCAGTCACGCCTTCAAAAATACACCGCTTGGAAATGCGATTAAACAGGTGGAACTTTGTGTGTGTTTTGCAAAGATTATTTTTAGTTGATGACCAAGCTCGTCATTGCCCATCCATATATTGCAACGAATGCCCTGTTGTTTTACGACGATGGCGCGGAAAAGGTTTCGTAGTTTTTTAGGCCTGTTTTATCGTGCTTTTTAAGACAAAGACGATCATGGTCATCCTTCGAAAAGCCACGGAGAGCAATCGGGCCCTGGAGCCGATTTTGCGTGACCAACGAAAGGCCCGGCGTCTCTATTCGGTACGACATTTTTTCTGATCCCTTTTTACATCCAAGATTTTTTCTAGCGTTTCTGCCAAATCGAGATCACGCGGGACCCGCGTTTTCGCACGCAAGGAAAGATTGGTATGTTTTTTTTTATAAAAAAACGATTTGTCTGTTTTAGATTGCTTCATCGCCGATGCTCAGCGTTGTGAATTGTTTGCCGACCAGACGTTTCTCTCCAAAATCCCACTGCCAATCCTCGATCATTCGGTATTTATTTAAATTATACATATTTTCAATTGATGGTCTTTTTGCATTTTCGGGGGGGGCAACTTTTTTCTCTAAAGATCGATTTTGCTTAGATTTCTAATATTTTTTAAGACTCCTAATACTTATGATAACGTTGTAAATTGGCTTTTAAATAAAAAAATCGATTTTTTTTACCAAAATGGCCAATTTTCAACCAAAAGTTGAACTAAAAAATGTTTTTCCACTTCAAATATAACTGAATTTTACTAAAAACACTATTAAAATACTTACTTTTGCGTTACTAGGTATTTCTGGATTTGTAGAAAAAGTTCGGTTCCCCCGATACTGCGAAAGCAATTATGAAAATTATATCATTCAAATTTGGGTTTAGTTGGACCCGTTCGAACCAGGTTCCGGTGCTGATGACATCGTCTGCTGGGGCAGAATTGATCCTCTATGTCGCAAGGTTAGATAGATTTTAATGTTTCTATTTTTTTTCCTCTAGGCTGACGGCCAAAGTCGCCCGATCATCCTGGATGTGATAGGAAGTGACGGCAAGAAGTATCGCATGGTTTTTAAGGCATAATAAAATTTGTATTTTCTAGTTTTGCTTTTTCTAGAAAGAAGACGTGCGTCAGGATTGTCTCGTCGAGCAGCTCTTCTCTGTTGTCAACAATATTCTGTCCACAAAAAAGGCACCGCATCCGCTACGTACTTATAAGGTATATTTTACGGTTTTCAGGTCGAGGAGGTCGATTTCAGGTCGTCCCGCTGAACGAGAAGAACGGCATCATCGAATTTTGCAGCAACACCATTTCGATGAGTATGTTTTTTTAAATAATTTGTTTTCTATTTATTATTTTTCTCTTTTTACCTCCTAATTCTCTATTTTTAGGAAACCTCCTTTGCGGTGAGGACAAGGCTTCCGGTCTGCACGGCGAATTTTATCCAGACGATATGCCAGCAACGGTACGGACGCTATTAAATTAACAGTACCTTTTTCGTAGGAGGCAATCACGCTGATGTACAAGAATCAAAATGCCCCGCCCAGCGAAGCGCTGCGAGTTTTTGAGAATATTTGCCGAAAGATGCGACCGGCTTTCAGGTTTTTCAATTTCCCAATTGGCATACCGTATTTAGGCACCATTTCTACCGTCAATTCCCATCTGCAGCCGAGTGGTTGGCCCAGTTGGATGCGTATACGACAAATCTGGCGCAGTGGTGTATCGGTTGGTACTTTGCTATGACGCTCCTTTTTAAAAGACGGAAAATATGGATTTTTGGGTTTTCTGGACCAAAGTTTTTCTAAGCATCCATTTTTCTAAAATAAATGGCGGGACATCTCTAAACTGTTTTTACTATTCCTAGCTATTCTAAACTGATTAAAATCAATAGGTTTAGCGACCAAAATCTACTATATATAAATTTCTAATGTCCGTGCGCCCGTGCGACCGGGAATTCAATCCCGCCGCGAATCCCCAAACATACCGTAGCTGGGGGCTGAAAATTTTCACCGGAGCCGCGCCGTTTCGCATTTGCCCCCCCGGGAGGGCCAGCGCTGAACCCCCGCGGAGCGGGGGGTCAGCGCTGGTTTCACCTAAAATTTTTTCTTGGTATTTTTGAATTGTCTTTCAGCTTAAAATTAAAGCTAACCCGTTATTAAACACGTACTATGACCTTACTAGACATTTCTGATTTGTAAAAAGTTGGTCCCCCGTTAATGCATATTTAATTTTGATACTTTAGTATGCTACGTGGTCGGGCTGGGCGATCGCCATGCGTCGAATATTCTCTTCGAGGAGCACTCATCAAGATTTGTCCACATTGACCTTGGTGAAAAGCGCATCCTTTCCAACGAAATACGGTGTTTAGGTATGATCCTGGAATATTCAAAACGAACACTGCCCGTGCCCGAACAAGTCCCGTTCCGGCTGACACGCGACTTGACGGATCCATTGCTTCCGGATGGAATGGGACGACTGCTGGATCGGATGACCGCCACGCTCACAGCATTGAGAAGCCATCATCGGGTAAGATTTTACGTGTACAGGGTTTAGTCGTAATGTTTCGAACTCGGTCATTCCTGGGCCATTTTTTGCAATTATAGCAGCTAAAGTGATCAAAATTGCCCGTGAGGGTTGAAAAATGACACCAGAATTTACCGATTCAAGCGTTTCCACGCCTAAATATAGGCTAAAAATATCGCGTGCCGTCGCGTTGCGTATGTGCCCGGCTTTTTGCCAAGAAACAGACTTCATGGTCCCTTTAATGACTTGTTGCAGACAATCCTCGGCCTCGCTTCCGTTTTCCTGCGAGAACTGATGAGCAACTTCAAAGAAGCGGTAAGGGGTCCGAGCACAATTTTTACCTTTTTCCCAGCACACCTCGCGCTCGTACACGTCCCTGGTTGCCATTGATCGGTTGCGAGACAAATTGAGTGGCCGTGACTCGTCCCTTACCGCCTTGAACCCAGAGCAACAGGTTAGGGTTTTTAAAGACGATAAAAATGTTTTAAACATCTTATTTGAAGCGATTAGTTCTAGTATTTAATTGTTTGATTAAACAAATCAATCACGATTAAACTTTATTTATTAGGTACGCCGTCTCATCAAGGAAGCCACCGACGTCGAGAATCTCGCGCGCATCTACTGTGGGTGGATGCCCTTTTGTAAAAAATGTTTTCCGTTGAATTTTTTCACTTTGTCATAGCTAATTTTTTGCTTGGGTAGCCTCAACTTTGCCCGGTTCAAATGTATTCTTCATTTCTTGCATGTTTACAATTTCCTATGCTTTAAACCCCGTTATACCTCAAAATTATCGTCGGGTAGCCACCACATATTGCCTTCCGAATAAATACTTTATCTATACACCTATGATAGCACAAGCTCAAACCCGTATCTAACCAGAACTTATTTGACTTTTCGAAATCGCTTCTTCGGTGCAACCCAAACATCATGCGTAGCTGGGACATCTAAAGTTTTATTAGCTTCTTGGTTTACTGAGTATTTTACCAATAATGTTGGCGAGTTTCTGAATTATCTTGGCGTCTAGCAAGTGTCCCTCATCCTCGATCGTCTGCCGCAGCGAATTCAGCGTTGCATCTTTTTCTGAAATTCTCTATACCTTTACGGGATGAAAAACAAACCCAGCATTCGACTATTTCCCACAAGTACGAATTGTCTTCTTGCCCTTGTCACGGCCACATTCATCCGGCGGTATTGGTTCAAAAAGCCGAGCTCTCCTGAACATTTTATGGAGGTGAACCAATTCCATTTACCCCGATAATTATCACGAACCATCGAAAACACGATCACATCACGCTCCTGGCCCTGAGAATCATTTTCACTGGGCAGCTCAACGCCCAAAAATTACCTGGAAAGAATCGACCGTGTCCACCGTAATCTCCTTCTCATGCGAAAAAATGTTTCGCAATCGGCTGACCTAAATTAATAGGCGTTATCGATCGAAATAAAAGACTTGAAAATCATAATAAATAACCATACCTGCTGAAAATACGGTGTAATCACCCCGATTTGACTGGCTGGCACGCCGGCTCCGAGCAGCTTCTGCACATAGTAGGCAATGACTTTTACTTCCGCTGGATCAGGGAATATAACCAAAAAATTTCCCCCGTACCTTCATTATAAAACGAGTAGTTGCTCTTGTTCTGCTGCTCCTTTGCATTCATCGTGGCTGTGTCAAGCATTAATAGCGGCGAAGAAAAGACGGAAGTCGGCTTCACAGCGCTGATATCACTAAATAACAGATAAGTTTTTGTTAAAAACCAAAATACCTGATCGATATGTCCCGATTCTTCTCACCAGACAGCAGCTCCCCATTGTAGAACGTTTTATTGGACCAGCTAGAAACGTCAAAATTTCTTGATAAACCAAGCTAAAACCTCATAATCTTCTCATTCATCCTGTACTGCGTGTTCAGCATAAAATTGATGTTGGCGTGTTGAAACTCTCTCGTCACGCGCTCCATCAACGAGACGCCAAGCTTTGCTTCGTATGCCCTTAAAAAAGCTTTCCGTGATTTCTCAATATCGGGCAGTCGGCGATTTTTTTCCCCTATAAGCTTAGATATTTCTAATAGCTTATTAGCGCCTACTTTAATGTTTGTTAAAACTTGCTATATTTCAAGTGGAAAATATTTATAAAACCAACAAATTTCTAACAAATTTCAACTTGGTTGAAAAAGTTTTTTTTTGTTTGTTGGGAAAAATGTTTTACGTTTCGGGATAATAAAAAAAATAGTTTAGGAACACTTATTCCATTTCGATTAAAAAACTCCTCGATATTGCGAAGAAACCGGAATTTCATAATAAAAGCCGTACTCCTTGCTGAAGATGAGCGGACCAATCTGCTGGTGATCACCGACGAGGATCACCCTCGGCGCGTGCACGATCGGGATCCAAGTCATCGGCTCGAGGCACTGGGCGGCTTCATCTAAAAAAAGTCCTAATTTGCGACATCTTCGGTTTTCTTACCAATAATCAACACATCCGGTCTCCAATCATATTCCTTCTCGAGGCACCATGAAAGTCTCGAGGTGACTGTGCAGAACATGGCCAAATGTTGCTGGTAGACCTCCTAAACAAAGGTGGTTTTATTGTCACACTCCACTCAACCCGTGTTATCTCTCTTTCCATAGCTCGTCCTCGTTTTCTCCACAGTCTTCGATCAGCCTCCGACATCTTGTCCGTATCCTAAATTTATTAATTTATTTTAAAGTAACACCGATACAGCTCGTCTATAAATATCTTCAATCTCCGCGTATCCGCGGTGTTGAAGCACGGCCTCCGGCGTGGATCCATCAGTGCGTAATCGGAGCGCCACCTAAAATCTGGATCACAAGGTAGCGCCTAAAATACCGATTTATCGCGCACTTTCTCGAAAACATTATCGACAGCGGCATGCGATTGGGCACAGACCAGGACCCGCTTCTTCTTCTCCGTATGCAGCCTTATCAACTCGGCAATCACTTTGGTCTTGCCGGTGCCTGGCGGACCCTGAAAAATGAGGTAATGGTCTGTTAGCGGGGGCCCTTAGGGTACGAATAATGAAATACACAGCGGCTATGTCGCTTTTAACGCCTTTTCGAACACAAAAAAATTCATATAAATCGTAAAAAATCCGAAAATTTTTGCTAAGCGAAATGAACATGAAAAACTCATAAATTTATTTTTAACGTGTTCTACAATGTTTTTCTGCCTTTTTTTCGCATTCAAAAATTGCTAATCATAGTTCATTAAAAAACAGCAAAATATCCAATTGGCTTTTTGGCGAAAAATGGATTGAAAGTCAAAAAATTCGACTTGCTTTTACATTCCTAAGAACTTTTATCGGAATTTTAGCTATCAAAAATTAACAAAAACACTATAAAACGCTGAAAATCAGGCCAAAAACGCCTGAATGACGACACTGCGAACCTGAATCGAAATAAATTCCCGTTTGGCGTTCATCCCAGCCCGGAGGGCCCTCAGCTGCGACTCGTCGCAATCAGTCTTTGAAATTCGTTTTGGATCTAAACCGGTGATACTGAAAACCGCAGGGCAAACCTACCGTTCTGAACGATCGCAAAAGCTTTGTCGCGAAAGATTTTGGAGATGATGTGATCGCCGGGCGCGCTGTCGGTCATGTTTTTTTCGCGAAACTAAATGGCACTAGTGAGATTCCAGAAAGTGCTACCTCAAGATAATCAAGCATTGAGCGATAGGTGCCTCTCGTATGGCTGAGAGCGACGGAATACTGTTCCCGCGAATCGATGGAGATCTGTTGGCCACCGGGTGGTCGAAGTATTTTTAGCTAAAAAAATGAACGTTATAGAGCAAAAAAAGGAGGAATCCACCAATAATGTCCTGTTTTCCACGTCAATATTCCGAACAGTCGCGTCCGCAGCGACAGCCCCAAAGCCATTACCCTTGTACAGAGAAACAGGACTACCTAGAAAACATCTACCTCAAAACTTCCCTAAAACATACCAGGTTTCAAACAACGCTGCGCATTCGGGGAAACATTATTACGAAGAGCGAACGCGCATAGGAGACCCTAAAATGGGAAACCACTATGTACAAAATTTTCCGAAATACCTGCTGTGCCGTATTCCGCTCGTACTCCTTCTGAATGCCTGAGATCAGATGCCCTCTCGCCTCCAACACCTCGATCCCCTCGCTGCCGCTTTGGAGCGCAGTGTGAAACTAAAAGGGTTATTTTCAGATTATCAAAAATAGTCGCAATTTATATAATTGATATTTTATTTTGAAAGAAATTCCAAACCTGTTCTGCCTCAGCATCACAATCCGTCTTGAACAGCACGGCCCATTCGCGCAGCTTTTGGTGGACGTTAGGTGAGAGAGCGTTGATTTGGGCTACGGAAAAGGGTTAGAACTCATTTAGGAAAGTACTTTTCTTTCGCTTTGTCGGCTTTTTGGCGGTTGTCGGCTTTTTAGAAGTCGGCAGGCGTGTGGCGAAGAATCGTTGGTGGGCGAGGCGCAGCACACGGCACAGCATTCAGCAGGGAAACTGGAAAAATGCATTTATGTATTTACTGGCCAATAAAAATTCTAGGAAAACTTTTTCAAAGCGCATTATAGCAGACGGCCAGTAATTGAGAAAGCGGGCTGGAAAATGTTTGGTGACACCCTAGAAAAACGTAAAAAGCTCTCTAAACGTCCCCTAAACCCTAAAATTCTAGTGCTTCGAGGAAAAAAGGCAAGGTTTCCTTTTCCATATTACGCCGCCGGCCGGTCTTGAAACGTTATAATTCTAGTGCTCGGTCAGAAATTCTCGCTTTGCCTTTCGAACCGAGCTTCGTTCGCTGCTGACCTCGAACCAGTATAAGCCTAGTGCACGTGAAAAAGCAGCCTTCCCTTCCGGTCGCTGCCGGCCTTGAAACGCTAAAATTCTAGTGCTCGATCAGAAAAAACCCGCTTTCCTTAGTTCAGCTTCCGCTTGCGCGAATTAGCATCACACAACGCTTCGCGCACTTGTTCCAATCGCATACCGTTACCACCACCATCCATTCGCGGCCTTTTTTCGCTGCGGCCCACCCAGCATGTCTTTTGTGAGCAGCTGCAGGCAGTTGTGAGAACCCGCCTTGGGCGGCTTTTCCCTCGGTTGGTCGAACCGTTGTCGACGGCCGCCGTGGGGGAGATGTTTAAAGGGCACAAAGAGGAGGTAAAGACGAGGAAAAGGGAAGGAAGAGACCCGGGCCATGCTTACACCAACCAGGGGCCCCACCCAGTCAGTCAGCCAGCCACAAGCCGCCCCTCTGGCTGCTGGCCCCGGGTAAATATTGATCATTTCATGATCACCGTCCCGGATCAGATCTTTCCGGTTAATTAAGGACGTCGTCTTTAGCTTCCGTTTCGACCGTATTCCTTTCGGCTCAATTTCTTGATCTGGGGCTAGTTTAATTGTCTACCTACTCGAAAGTGCCTTCCGGTCGGCCTCAAAATTTGCACACATCTAGATCCGATGATGCTGACAATTTTCTTCTTTTAAAGTTGCTAAAGTCATTTAGGTACTAGTGTGTTAGCAGGGGGAGGGGGTTGCCAGGGGAGTTTAGTTGGTAGGTAAGTGGGCAAAAATTTTCGAATCCTCGAAATTTTTAAATTTTTTGGACTTTATGACGATTAAAAAATCACTAAAACAGGAAAAGCACATTAAATCTTATCACAAGGCGCAAAAAATTAATAGATCCCCTGGCTAACAGTCCAGTACCGGCATTTAGTACGCGTGATATGTAAGCTTAAAGTCCGGGCTTAAAACGAAAAATCCCTCAAAATCACGACGATACATCTTTGTGTTTTTCGCCGTTTTTGCCTAGTGCAGGCTTGCAAATCGCGAATTTTAAACGGTCGCTACCAGAATATTGTGCTCTATATTTGCACCAATTTCGCGCTCAATTTGAGCCCTTCCTAGCAAGCCTATCCTCAACATTCTGTCTTCTAGGATGCGGGCAATCCTCGCTTGGGCCCTTCTCGGCCTTTTGTTGATAGGCATTGAGGCGAAGAGCAAACGGGGGAACACCAAGGTCAGAATTTTCCGGATATTTTAAATGAATCGAATTCAGACGACAGCTGCGGAAGAGATACCAGTACCGCCGACGAAAAAAACCGGAAAAACCGTTTGTTTTCTAAAGCTGCAAAAAATTCTAAAGCTATTCTTTGCTTATAAAGCCTATTAATTAAAAATTTAGAAAGCCGCCCCCGAGCCGGTGGTCGAGAAAAAGCGCGCTGGGAATAAGCGAACCGAGGTGAGAGCAGTTTGCTCGTTATTGGGGCTAGTTCGTTAGCGGGGGGATAATTTTATACCCGAGCTTTCCATAGGTTATGAAAAAGTGATTTTAACATAACAACATTTTAACAATCTGAAACTACTAAGCAGCCCATAAAAAACCTTTCTTTTTTTATTACTATAGAGGCCGGGCTGAATAAAGAACTTTAGCCCCCCGTTAGTGAATTAGAAAATGTTGCTACAAAACTGAAGTCCGATTTAGCTAGACGAGGACAACACGATCGAAGATGTTGACGAGGACAAAATTGACGAGATCCTGCGAGACGCCACCAAGAATTTGGTCATCTTCTTCTGTAGGTTTTCACGTAATCGGTGGCACAATTCCATACTCCAGATGACGGCCGATCGTCTTGCCCAATGTGCACCGAGGCCTTGACAAAAATTGAGGAAATTGACGATGATATCGAGGCGACTGGCTATATTCAGGTTTATCTTGCCGAGGGCGCTGTATAATCTGTTGATGATCTCTAGGTAGTGAAAACCGATGACCGTGGCGTGGCCAAGGAGTTGGGCGTAACAACTTTCCCAGCCTTGGTTTACTATCGGCGGAAAAACCCCATCATGTATGACGGTGAGTGCAACCTGTTCAACCAGCGCAGCGCGCCCGCGACGCGTTGACGTTTTTGCACTGCAGAAAAAGACCCTAGACGAAAAATAGAAAAAAACTAAATACGGTGGTTTTGCGTTATCGGGGGGCAATTTTTCAGCGGGATCCAATTTATAAAGCAGATATATAAGGTATAACATGAAAGGTTTGCAAAATACAAAAACACACTTTTTCGACAAAACTTACTCGAGATATTCTCCCCCGATAATGCAAAAGATACTTTAAAGGGACAAAAATTTGTGATTTTTTAGCTTTTGGCAACTAGCTAATTTTTCCAATTGAGATACCCTCCCCGATAAAAAAAGCACCCTCCGCACCTAAAACAATATATGTAAACCACCGAAAACTCCAATCCCAATTTCTAGGTGAATTCAAGGATCCGACAGCCGTTCTCAAATGGGTTCGCGCGCACGATGAAGTGAGTTAAATGATGTTTGGAATCGATCGAAAGCGACTAAATACCGCATTACAAAAAAGCTCAACTGAATCTCCGAATTTAGGTTGCAACCTGGGAGCTAACCGACGACAATTTCGAGTCGCGAACCGATGCGCATTCCCCGGATGAGGGCACGCTTGATTGGTTCGTCATGTTGTAAGTCGAGTACTGGGAAAGCTATATCACTTCCCGTAAAGCTACGATGCCGATGAGGCGCCGTGCAACTCTTTTGTTGCCGTACTGGAGACTGTCGCGCACAAGTAAGTCACAAGGCTATTTTTTTCTTATTGTTAACGCCTTTAAAAAGCCAAAATTCAGGCTTCGCGGCCTCGTGCACGTCGGAAAAGTGGAAGTGTCCATCAACGACGACGTCACCGAGCGGTTCCACATTGACGAAAATGAGTGCCCGACGTTCTTTTTGTGAGTGCTGATTTTCGAGCAGTACGAATTACCGGCGCTCCAGGTTCCACCGTGGCAAGATGTACCGCTACAAGGAATCCGCAAAGGACGTCCGCTCGTTGACAAACTTTGCGCTCTTCAAGTTCAAGGAGCAGAGGTAAGTAAGTAGGTATCTACAGCTCCTCAAAACGTCACCAAAATGCTGTTAAATGTTTTTTTTAGTGAATTTTAATAATTAGCTATAAGCCGTTCAAATAAATAATGTCTATAGGGGGCACCGTGTCCCAGACCCGCCAACAGCCATCGAGCACTTCTACGAGTTTGCCAAGGAGAAAATCGTGGACGTTATGGTTAGTTCCAAATTTAAATATTAAATTAAATATGATTCAATCAAATTAATTAATTAAATAATTTAAACATAATAACAAAATTACAGGAAGACAACCATACCCTTTCGGTGATCGGAGTCGGGGGCCTTGTGCTGATCGTCGCCACAACAATCTTCCTCAAGGTGCGCGGCGTCTAAAAACTCAGAATCTGACCTTCTAGGCCCAGCGGATCCGCCGAGAGGAGAAGCCGACAAAGAACGAGTAATTTACACCAAAAACGGTTTTCACAGTCACAAAATTTGCCTTATTTCATCATTTCACAAAATTCTACTGCCCGGCTCGCACCTCATCCGCATCTCAATCCCGGTGATCCGCCACGCTTATTTTCATTTCGTTGAAATGTTATTTTGTCGAAATTTTAATTTATCGAGATATCATTTTTCGAGATTTCAATGCCTTTTCGACAAAATAAAATTTGGAAAATAGATACGTTGACAAAAAAATTTCGGCAAAATAAGATTTCGACAAAATGAAAATAAGCCGCTCCACCAGTTATTTAGCCACAAGCAAAAATATTGTAAATCCGAATCTCGCCTTGTTGCACAGAACAACCGCTCAACAATCGGTTCGATGGCTAAAAAATTTATCATTTTACAAAATGTCTATATATATTTATGAGAAATGCAATAAAGCAAAGATTTCTAAGCACATGGAGATCAACGGGGTAGGGAGGGCTGCACACGTAATTTCACAAAGTGAAAAGTAACAATTTGAAAAGCAAGGATAAATAACAACAAATTTCACAGGGACAGGGATCAAAGGAAACGCGAGAAAAACAACACAACGAGTTTTTGGTGGGGGCTTATTCCTCCATCGGTTCCGGGGCAGCTTCGTCGGCTCGGACCTCGGCCATTAGCTTTGGCAACGAGTGCTGGAAAAAATATTATTTTGGATATTCTAGCATAAAAATATAGCAGCCTCTTTAAGGCCCCTACCAAATTTCAACGACTTCGAAGTCGAAAAATGTTTCAAAAATATGAAATGTTGATCATTTAGGTTCAAAAATTTGATCCTATAAAAAATTTCAAGGTTTCAACCTTTAGATGCTCCGCGATCGGTAAAAACAATGCAGAAATATCAGGTTGGAACGAAAGTTCTGTCGCCGAGATTTTGGAAGGCGGGCTAAATTCGTAGATAGCTCCATTCTGGACATGCAATATGTCATTTTGTAGCTCTCGACCTGAACCGTTTCGGGTGGTGGGTCCTGGGCCGTCAAAATCAATAACGGCCAAGATACAGGCCCAAGGCGATTTTTCAAAAATTACGAGAAAGTGTTTTTGCAAGTTATCTCTGCATAGACACATTTGCATGCGATACCTTTAACGCCAATCGATAGCTCTCGAGGAGTAGATATCGATAGATGTTGAGATCATCAAAATTGGACATCGGATGGCCGAGATATGACCCCTTGAAGTTTAGCTCATTTCTTAGAACTTTTCCCGATTTCCCATACATTTCCAAAAATTTGACGGACAGGTGCCAAAAATTACCGCTTTATTTTTGGACTAGCGGAGCGGATTTTGAAAAATTGTATAGGAAATCGTGAAAAGTTCTAAGAAATGGGCTAAACTTCAAGGGGCCATATCTCGGCCATCCGATGTCCGTTTTTTATGATCTCAACATCTGTCGATATCTACTCCTCGAGAGCTATCGATTGGCGTTAATGGTATCGCATGCAAATGGTTCTATGCAGAGATAACTTGCAAAAACACTTTTGGGTGATTTTGTGAAAAACTTCTAGAGCGTGTATCTCGGCTGTCCTTGATTTTGAGGGCCCAGGACCCACCACCCGAAACGGTTCAGGTCGAGAGCTACAAAATGACATATTGCATGTCCAGAATGGAGCTATCTACGAATTTAGCCCGCCTTCCAAAATCTCGGCGACAGAAATTTCGTTCCAACCTGATAGATCCTATATTTTTACAAAAAGTCTAAAGGCCAAAATCCCAACAACCCGTTTTTTTACCTGTAGAAATTGCGCCAGAAACGGGATATCCTCCTTCACAAATCCCTGGCCGGCATCGCCATCACGGTTGAAGAAGAGGTAGGCCTTGCCGCCGTGGAACTTTCCCGAAATGCTCACCCAAAAGCCCGCGCGCTGCCCCTCGGCTCGGGAAATACGGCGCGTGATCTAGAAAAACGGCGTAATAATCATAAAAAACCAAAACGTACCTCGCGCTGCATCTGATATCCAGACGGAAGCGGTTGCCCATTGTCGCGGTGTTCCTTGCGGATGGCCACCATATGGTCGCGACGCTTCAGCCATTGACGCTGCTTCACCAGAAATCTAGATAAACAAGCACTCAACCGCGACTTGAATCAGTCTCACCGCCCCAGTGACAAATCGACGTGAACAGCTCCGCGATGCCGCTTGGCCGGCTGATCATCGGGGTCCATTTGTAGCACCTCGGTCAATATCCTCATAATGCCATGCTCAAACTGATCGGGAGATAGATCGCCGAGTTCAAAGTCACATTTTGCAGCACATTCTGAAGAAGTTTATCATCAGTAAAAATGCATGTGGACTACCGGGTAGTTCTACCGGAGATGCCGGGCGACTGGCCTCTTCGGATTTGCAGAGGTAGTAGAACGAGCCCTGAAATTGCAGAAAATTCATTAAAAACCAAAAACTCAGTACCGGGTGCTTCTTGATGGCGCTCAATGCCTTGACCATTTTGTCCCGCATTCGGGAGAAGTCCTTCTTGGATACATTTTGCGCCACGTTATGACTTCGCTCGATCGGGTCCTAAAACATTAGGTAAAAATTTGACTAGATGATACCTCAATCTTGATATCGGTCCAGGCAAAATCCGGGTTCTTTTCCCGGAAATTAGCGTTGCCGTCCATCAATTCATGCAGCACAATTGGCTCGCTGAAGTCGAGGCGGCACACGTGCGTGAACAGACGCTAAAAACCATTGTTTTAAAATACAACGCCACAAACCCTAAACATCTCGTAAAGGCTCTGGCCGACGAGATTGACTTGCGGTTGCTCATAATCAACGCGCCAGTTTCCGACGTATTTCGGGGTCTGCGAGGGCCGCAATGGAGCAATGAGCTCTAAATTGGGAATTAGTTACCAACACGAAAATCGACCCACTTTCACTTATCAAAAAATGGACGGCCAACAAGTAGATATTGTACGAGTTGAGATGATGGCCTTGCTGTAAAAAAAACAAAAATTAAGCACTAGTCTATTTCGAGGGGAGGAAAAACCTCCGCTAGACCATTTCTACCTAGCGTAATACATTTTTTGCCGTTTCTCAACACAAAAAGCGCCAAAATTTAAAAAAAATCGAATTCCGATGCTTAAAAAACTTTCTAGGGGCTTCCATGAATATCAGCAAAAACTAGATAGAAAAAAGTTCCAGTGCATTGTGATACCCTACGCTCCTTACAAAGAACAACAAACCGGCTCGTTTGGGTTCTGCTTGAACAGCCCGGCGTTGAGGGCCCAAAAGCGGAAGCCCATCAAGAACCTGCGCAGCTTCCCAGTCTCGTCTGCTTTCACCAAATCGCGGATGTAGGCCGACTTCGTGTAGCTGAGCTCATTATCAACGGAGAGGTCAACCATCACAGATCTAAAAGCATCATTGTTGATAAAGCAAATCTCGCCTATCCGCCACAAATCGCACGAGCGGACATCTGGCGTGAAGAACAGGGTGCTGGCCTCCCAGCCAAGCCACATTTCGACGGATGTCGTTCAAGACGCGCAGCAAAACGCGGCACCGCTCTATAAAAAGTTGTCCTAAAAATGAAACCGCTTTAACCTTGCACGGACAATTTGTGTAATTCTCGATGATTGATACGATGACGGATGTATACGGAACCATCGGAAGTCAGCAGGGTTTCCTTGTTCCGGTCCTCCTCCCAGTTGGGGATGTCGTGCTCCGGAAAGAGGATCGTTGCATCCTAAATAAACACCATAAAACATAAAAACTAATCATATACCATATCCGAGGACAGGATGCCGAGATCAGTGATCGAAGAACCAAATAGGCGCACCTCGCAGCGCACAAAATATTTGGATAGCTCGGTCTGCAGGCGCAAGCAGATCTGCTGCCGTTTTTCGATCTAAAAAATGATATTCATTTACTTCGAGAGCTTACATCCTCGGACGATAAACCCGTTTTCAGAATCGAGTGATCAAGTTGTTCATCAAAAGCGCCGAGCAGAAGAACATCCTGAAAATTTATTGACGAAAAAGCGTGCGGCATCACTTCAAGAACAGCCGCACAATCCAGCGGCACTGGCTCCGGCGCCACGTCTTTGAAATTTATCTTCCGGGGCGCGATCGAAAGGGTGGCCTAAACTTCGAATAAAGAAATACGAGTAATCCATACCTCCCCAAATTTCACTTCTTTGCCGTCGAGAATGGCGTTGGCCACCGTGGCGTCTTCGAACTCGAATACGGCATGATCTGGGGCGTCCGACTTCCAGAGGACGCGCAGGATTTTTCCACGCTAAACACCCAGTAAACCAGAAAAAAATTGTAAAAATTACCTGGGCGAACAGCTCCTTGAGGCCCTGGATATCGAGAGGCTTCTTGTCTGTGTCCCTGACGAAGACGCTGGAAGCAGCCAAAGCCACGGCCGAGTCCAGGGTGGCTTGGGCACGTACGTGTTTCTTGCCATTCTAAATAACTCTTTAAAAACATCGGGAAGCTCTAATCGTTATGGACTGTTAGCTGCGCTAAAAACATTGGTTCCTTGTTCTCATAGAATTAATAATTTAATGTTTCATTAATTGGGACGCGCAAGAAAAAGTGCGCAGAAACCGTACAGAACGGTTCAGCTTTTACCTTGTGAATCTCGAGCGCATCCACCCCATCCGGCACATCCGTGCGACAAACGTCACAGCGTACCATACCCAAAACGTTCTAAATCGGCCAAAAACAAGCGATTATCTCCTCTTTCCCTATATTGCGGTAAAGTGAGGGCCAAACTGTCAAAAAACGTGTAGATCTTCTCCAACCAGAATCTTTATTCGCTTTACATATTTATGGCGACGGCAATGCATTGGAAACACACAGATGAGGAGGAGGACCAGATTCAATGAAACTTTAATGCAAGATACCCGACAAGAAATGAGATAGTGGAATATCAATCGTTCTCGGCTTCACGCATCGCGACCAGGATTTCGAGGGCCATCTAAAAGATCGAATAATTTTTAAATGTTAGAAAAATACCTCGACGACGCCATCGGCAAGCTGTAAGGCCTGCATATTCTGGGCCAGATCGTTGAAGCCAAACTCGTTGAGCTGCGCGAGTTGCGTAGTATAACTGAAAAATCACGATTTAATATCTTTAATTATATTTAAAAAAAATAAAAGATCTCTGGCGGTCCGGAGAAGCGTCCGATTTTGATGATTTGGGTATCAATCGGAAGCTCGGGGCAATGCGAGAAGATAGGTTAATATAATAGTATCGAAAGTCGAAAATCGAAACAATGATTTTAAAATTTTGCGCTTTTTGAAGACTTACGAACCTTTTGCGAACTGGCTGGATTTGAATTTTCTATGGGTTCCTGACTTTAAAAAACACAATTGCCTAAATTTTTCTGCACCTTTTTCAATCCATTTGAGAAAAAATAGCCTGGATGACGCCCAGGGACGTAGCGTAAGATGCCCCCCCGAAATCGGCCAGGGCCCGAAAATTTCATAAGGGGGGACCCTTATGATTTATGCTTGTCGAAATCTACCAAAAATTAGAGCGAACAGGAGTGGAATTTCGAAAAGAGAAAAGGTACATAACTATCCCTAGAGCTGTCTCTTGATACATAAATCACACAAAAAACCACATAAAGTTCTTCAGACCGTTAGAGGGATATTTTCGAAACAGCCTCTTGAAAAACGAACGTTTCTGGGGCGGGCGGGCGCTGGACTTCCGGAGCAGCGGGAGCCGGCGGTGCTGGGTTAGAAAGATTGGCAAACGCTTGTGCCAACGGATTTGCACCTTGGACACCTCCGGCAAAAGCTTGTTGCATAGCCTGGCGCAATTGTTCCTGAAAAAGAGATGACTTAGCGTTCAAAAAACATGTCTAAGAAGACGTTGACGCCTAAAAAAACCTACACTGGTAATCTGCGGAAGAGCGGCCGCGGGAGGAGCCGGCGGAAGAGTAGACGATCCCCTGGGATACGACTGTAAATCGAAATTTTTGTGGTATGGACTAGGATTACCTTTGCAGCCCCAAAAGCGGCCTTGACAATGGCACGCGCGCTGACGACCAATGCCGGATGTTTGGATAGCCAGTCGACCAACGGGTTCTGCGGATCGAAATACGTCTGCAGCAAATCAAAGTCGCCGAGTATGGCCTGCGCCTCCGGGTCTTTACTCAACGCCGGGTTCTCTTTCAGCTGAAAAGATAGGGTTGCAAAAATTGGATAAACCAAAATACCTGTTCTTTTAGGTAGGTGCCCTCCTTCATCTTGGCCTCGAAAGCGCGGAAGACCTAAAACCGGATATTTGCTGATAGCAATAAGTCACCTACATGAAGCATGTGCTCGGCCCGCATTTTGTGGAACCACCCGGCGACTTGCTCGATTTCTTTCCGATCATGCACCTGAAAAACTGTCTTGAGAATTTTGAAAAAATAATACCTCTTCAGGAGCTTGAACTGGCGTGTTTATGATTCGAAGGGTGGCACTTTCAGCGAGGTTCAATTCTGACAGTCGGAAGTCTTCAGGAAGCCGACGACCCATGTATGAAAGAACTTAAATCAAAGCATTTTTAACCTTTGAAACCTAACCTTTCGAATTTTTTGTCTGATCATTATCAATCTGCCCGATGATTTCACCCGCCGTACGTTCCTAAAAACGGATGAACATGAAAGGAATTTGTAGCATACCGTAATTTCTGACAGCTCGACCACGTGTTTTGTTGACCCGTCGTACAGGTTGACCATCCCTGCAAAACGAAATTTATTATTCTAGCCTCACAAAAAGAGAACACATAAGGAAAACAAAATCAGTACTAATAATGCGCTACACTAATTTATCACAGATAATGGAATCTATCTAGCTAGCATAAAGAGTAGGAGGCCCAATGTGCTGAGGGAGAACATCGCCGCGTAATACTTGGAGGTCTCCTAAAATGAGGTCTACCTATAAAAATCAATCTAATTACCTTTGCGGCCTCTTTCCTCTTATTTTCTAGCATCTTATCCAACGAGTCGCTTTTGAACCTCGCTTCAAATTGCTCTCGGCGCCGATTAATTTCGGCCTGCATCTCGTCCATTTCTCTAAATACCTTGTAAAAGAAGAAAAAAATGTTGTTACCGGGCGGCCGCACGCGGATCCCGATAGCGTGAGTTCAACTTTGCCGATTCCTCATCCCAATCGCTCTGAAAAACAAGCTAATTAAAAATCAAGACGAAAATTGCCCGAAATTCTCGCTTCTTTCCGCCTAGACCTTCGAAAAATTCTTCTGGGAAGTCAAAGTGAGGGTGAGCACTTCGGCGGCGTCGCGTAGCTTTCTAAAATTACATTTAGTCGTGATTCATCAGGTAAGAGGTTACTGACTTGAAAATGTTCAAAATCTTTATAGTCGATGTCGATATCCGTGTACTGCTTTTCCCGGGGATAGTTCCTAGCTTGATAGCGAACATCAGAGGCGGTGCTTGGTGTATTCCTTACCCGTGTCATATCGTACAACTAAAGAAGCGGTAAAAATACATGTCAGAGTTAGCTACCTTTCGCTGCTCCTCACTTCCGAGTATTTCATAAGCTTGGGAGACCTTGTGAAAGTTTTCGGCGCTGGCATCCTTTTCCCCATCGGCAACGACGTCTGGGTGATACCTATAAAAAGATCGGAAAAACCAAAAAACCCTCACTTTTTGGACAAACGATAAAATGCAGACTTTATTTCTTTCGCTGTCGCATTGGGGGCGACTTCCAGCACCTAAAAAATGCTGAAAGAAACAAATAAAGCTCACCTTGTAATGATCAATGAAGGAATGTGACGAAAAGTACCTAGCTTCAACAAATGTGCAACAACACAACCGATTTGTTCCTAATCGAGCCAATACCATAAACTAAAAGAAGTTTTCAATTTGCCATTTAATATCTCTAAATAGCAATCAGCGTTTCTAACTACTCTTTGTAACCAGAATTCATGCAGGTTTTCAAAAATTTATTAGCTAAAACTTACAAATACCCGAAAAATGATGACAAGCGATATGATACAGTTGGAAATAGTACAAACTCTAAGCGTTCAGTGGATTCTGGGGACTCTTCTTCCATTCCTTCCACAAAACTTGTTTCAGCTGCGTCATGCGATACGTGGGGTTTTCTTTCTTCAATTCCGGCAAGCGCACCTCCTCATATTTTTGGTAGGCGGCCTAAAAATCGGATTAGACGGGTTTAAATCAATTAATTTACCCTCAATCGTTTTTCGGGGTGCTTCTCCGGATCCGGCTCATTATCTCCCAGCACGGCAATGGCCTCCTCCACATTACGCGCCACAGATTCGTCAAGCTCCAGCCGATTCACGTTCTCTTGCAAATGATCAATTTCCTAAAAACAGCCCTGGGTCTGTAAAAATTAAATTACGGCTAAGCGTCTCGCTTCCATATCCTTGGCGCGTTTCTCCTCTTCGGCCGCGCGTAGCATGGCTTCGGCGCGAGCAGCGAGCTGGGCGCGAGTTACCTAAACGAAAATATAATACCGAAAAGGTAATATAGGCCCTACCTTTTCTGACTTCTTGACAGCCACGTTTGGCTTGACAGTTGCGTTGGCCATATCTTCCTCGTACGCTTGACGATTCTCCTCCTTTCGTTTGAGTTGCTCTAACCGTTTCTTCTCATCTTCTTCCTAAAATATCGTCTATTAGAAGCCAAGAAAAAGCCGCATTACATCACTGGTTTATTGCGACCGGGTCAAGAGCAAATGCGAAATGGTGGCATTGAAAAATCGCAAACGACGTAACATATTCCTCCTCTACCGATACGATAGCAAATCCGATACCTTCCTCTGCTGCTTCTTCAAGACCTGCTTGTCGTCGTCTGCCCAAAGCGCATCCTCGGCTGCCTTCTGCTTCTTTTCGTTTTCATTCCTGTAAAAACTACAAAAAACTAGCGGAATTGCTTACTTCTTGACCTCGGCCTTGCGCTCCCGCGCCACAGCGGCTTTCGAATTTTCGCCGACAAACTTCTTTGGCATTGTTGCCCTGAAAATCTAAGATTATGGCACTTGCAATCGGGGGAAATTTCTAGGATAATTTCGAGGAAGAAAGGAAAGGGAAAACTGAACTCCTTAGTGATGGAGTATGACATGAAAATGTCTGGGCTATAAACTACAAGAGGTGGGGGTCGACAGATGATGGCAGCACACTAATGAAGCAGGGAAAAGCCCATTATAATGTGGGCATGTTTTGGGTACAACATCGAAGAAAGAGGGGACTGGAAATAGGGATTTTGTGGCCCAAGTAGATTCTTGAGACGTCTCATACTTTGAAGTACCGTCTAAAATACTGATACCTACAATCTTTCCAACCTTATCAGGTTTTTTATGGCCTTCCCCCTGACCTTCATCATCGTTTATCCCCAGAACCTCCTCCTTTAATTGTCTACCACCCATGGTTTCCAGTATGTCCGACTTGTTTACGTTTCTTTCACAATGCTGGGAGTTGTTTTTCCCGAAGGCGGCCCCGCATGGTGAGAGAGTGGAGGATGTGTAGAGCACCCAGCAAGCATCGACCATTTCGGTTGGTGAAAACAAGGCTAGCCCTCAGTCACCCGGGGCTCGCCAACCACATTCCGTTTGGCAAGCTTTTCCATTGTATTGATTCGTCTCTAAAATCGGCTGAAAATGGCGCACGGCACTCTCTATAAGGTAAGCTGCCTAATACAGAGCGCGGTTCTTTCGCATTATCGGGGGTCCAACTATTTTCTTAGGGGGCCCAATGTGTCAAAAATAAAATGTTTAAACAAAATCCAACAAATCCAATTTTGGCCAACATTTCGCCTTTTAATTTTTTTTTAATTTTTTCTACTGGAAATATACTTATTTGTTACGAAAACAAAAATAAAGTAGTTATTACTACGTTGCTAGGCATTTCATGAATTAAATAGAAAAATTGGTCCCCCAATAATGCTAAAAAAACCCAAAATCCCCACTTTATAGGACAGAGCTATTGCAAATTTTTTTTCTAGGGCCTTTTGGGGCTGAGCGTGGCGGTGAATGCACTTTTCTGCCTGCTTTTCACCTCCATTTTGGTGTGGAATTATGTGCAGAAGCAGCATTTGCCCACCTCGGTGGCCATTTCCTTCATCAGCTTCATTGGTAAGAAATAACGTAATACTAAAACTATGGAATTGGTTTTTAGTCCTATTCATCCTATTCCTTGTCGCTTTCCTGCTCTATATGACGAGGAAAACGGATGCATCGATCTTGTGGGCCGTGGTACTTACGGTAAGTTGTTAATAAGCGCGTACCCTACGAGTCCTTGGGGGTAATTTTTAAAATATAGGGTTTTATATAGTTTTTAGCAAATTTAAATTATTGGAGTACCAAACTTTAAAAAATATAGAAAAGTCAAAATAAACTTTTTTAGTAATTTTTGGATTTTTGATTCAACTTTGTAAGGGGATTGAGGTCAGGGATAGCTAAAAAATGTGCAAAAAGGAATTCGGAATCACTATCACCAAATAACTGCATTTTTGGAAACAAAAAGTTTCTAAATTACGTTTCATTTCTATTTCTAGATTGCTCGCTTCTTGGTCGTCCTTATCGGCTCGTTCTCCTTGATGTCGACCGACACTTTCGCGCAGTACGACCGAGACATTGAGCACGACGTTGTCAAATGGATCGAATGTGGGTATCCATGAAATCGGGAGAGATTAATTACCCAACCGCGCAGCAATTCGGGCCACACGAAACCAGTTTCAGATCGTAAGATGCTCGTGATCGGCTTTTGCGTGCTCTATCTCCCACTTTTCCTGATCGAGCTGTTTGTGCTGAACAAGTGAGTGATCAAAAAAAGCGCAACATTAAGGTGACAAATAGTGCTGTTTTCTCTAGAAAATTATAATTATCGCGGAAAAGTTAAAACGCAACTTCTAAATCAGTAATTCCAACGTTCTAAACTATTCAAACTATCAAAGAAGCTCGAAATGGACGATTGTAGATATCACGCAGCCCAAAGAAGCGGGTATGAACGCCCCAACGAGCCCCACGTCTACGAGACGGCAAAGGTTTAGACGACCACCTGAGCTTCATAGCTTCTTACCGCCCATGAATCTCATCTGCCCGTTCACCAGAAAAAGCTGGCTAGAAAACGGCATATTCTTTTATCCCATCGCACCTCATTGATTACGTTGCCTCGATAATTTGCTTGTATAATTTACGCATTTGAAGAATAAACCCGATACTATCCTATCGCTATTTAGGGCTCAAAATACGACAACAAAACAAAATAAAAAACAACAAAATAGTTCACCAAAAGTACTTTGAATTTGGAATATTCTATAAAACACATTACCATGACTTCCACGGGAAATCACCTCAGATTTGGATCCAAATACAACTATGAAAAGAACCGGCAACCCGCCTAACGATTCACTTTCCCAGCCATATTCGGCGCCTCCCCGAAAGGTAGGTCCGCCCCCCCTCGCCCATGCTGATCATCTTCTTCAGCGACGATGGCTGCCAAGGACGCGAAAGGCCAGCCACAACCCGGTGCTAAGGCCGGTGAACCGCCCTTCCAGATGAAGGTTCGTCCAAGAAGTACAGAAACATTCAAATTGTGCTACAGATCGACCCGGAGAAGTACTTGAACATCAAGTGGAAGCCGGAGGCCGTCAACGTCGAGGTGAAGATCGAGAACATCACCAAGGTCCGCCAGACGTTCAAGGTAAAACACGCTAGAAGATGCCTAAAACCCTCCTTTTTAGGTGAAGTGCACGGACAACAACATCTTCCGTGTGCGCCCACCTCTCGGCTTCATCAAACCGGGCGAATCGACCAAGATCAAGATCACGTGCACATCGCCCAAGTTGCCCGAGAACAACCGTCACCTCTTCGCCATCTACCACTTCAAGTCGGAAGAGACGAAGCTGACCGCCCGCCAAGTCTGGACCCCAGACGTTAAGCCCGATGGCGTCACTCGCATCGTCGTGCTCTTCGACGACAAGAAGGAAGACAAGAAAGAGGAGGAGAAGAAGGAGAACCCGGCCGTTTCTCCGGTTTGGCGTCATGTTCAAGCTGTTCAATGAAAATTTAGGATAAGAAAGAGGAGAAGAAGGATGAGAAGAAAGACGAGAAGAAGGAGGAAAAGAAAGACGAGAAGAAGGACGACAAGAAGGAGGAGAAAAAGGACGAGAAGAAGGATGAGGAGAAAGACGCTCAGGACGACAAGAAGGATGAGAAGAAAGAGGAGGAGAAAAAGGAAGAGAAGAAGGAGGTATAGATCTTATTTACACTTTGCGCTATTTTTGGCTATTAAAGCTAGAATAAAAGCCCTGTTTTCCTAATCTTCCACCTTTATAGGAAGAGAAGAAGGATGACAAGAAGGACGAGAAGAAGAAGTAGCCCCGATGCTCGTCAACCCCCCAGAAGTCTTCGCGATGTTCGAGAGCAAAAGCATTCCCTCTTCTTTGTATCTATCAAATCCAATTCATTTGTGTGTTTTCCACTTGGGTCCCAGAATAAACGGATTTGAGTTTTTGGTGTTCAACTACAGTCGGAAGCGCATGCGAAGTAATGAACGGGCCCACGCCGATAATCTGCTACAGCCATTTGCGGACAAAATCAATGGGATCACGATTTACTCGCATGGTACAGAATGCCCGAAATGTAAAAATACACAAGAATACACAGTAATGCTACACAACACTATAATTTTTCCAATTACATGGCGTTGATGCGCGCCTCTTGGTCGTCCATCTCCTTGCGAATCGGGGCCGGCAGGTCGGCGCCAACCTGTACACAAAAATATGTGGGTCTCCAAAAATACGGTACCTGCGACTCGAGGAACTTTCGAACCTCCACCGCATCGGCCTTCCAATAATCGGAAGGCAGCGACATCAGCTCGTCCCATCTGACCTCATCCATGCCTTCGGTATTGATGGAACCCTAAAACGAGACTCGTTGGATTCCAGGTTCTATGTTGTTATCGGGGGGGTAGCAGTGGGAAACTAATCCCCAGTAATCCCTTACGGCCCTATAATAAACAAACCATTTTCTACAGTTTTTAGAAGGAAAAACATTCAAAAATTTTAGAAACATGTTTCGAAAGATTTTTTCGATCTGGTTAGTGACCTAAAACAACTACAGACGCTTTAAAAATATACAAGATCAAAAGCATCGAAAAATTTTGACCGTATGAAATGTATGAGGTTAAAAATGTATCGAAAATAACCAAAAATCGACAAATTAGAATTTTTATAACTTCTAGCAATTAAAAACAACTGAAAACCCGTTAAAATCTAGTATATTATCAAAAAGAGGCATAAGCGGAAAAATAAAAAATTGCCCCCCCAACAGCCCAGTACCGATTCCACAACTAAATCACCAACCTTTGTCGGAATGACACCAACGGGCGTGTCGAGGCCAATGCCCTCATCTCCATCGAGTCTTCGGATGATCCAGTCGATCACACGAATATTGTCGCCAAAGCCGGGCCACAAGAACTTGTTGTCCTCCTTGCTCTTGCGGAACCAGTTGACGTGGTAGATGCGAGGCAGCTAAATCTAGATATTTGAAAATCGTTTTAGTAAAAACCTTGCGGTCCGGCGTGTCGAGCTTCATCCAGTGCTCCAGGTACTTGCCAAAGTTGTAGCCCATGAACGGACGCATCGCCATCGGATCGTGCATCACATTCTTGCCTAGCAACGCTAATTTCAAGCAAGGAATTTGCAGGCAAACCCTTGTGTTCGGCAGCAGCGGTAGTTTCGGACTTCAAGCAAGCACCCGTGTAGATACCATGGTTCCAGCCGAACGTCTCGTACACAAGCGGAACTCCCTCGGGTCGACGGCCTAAAAGGATAAAGTCAAGGGATCTTTGGCATTATCGGGGGGAAGAGTTATCAAATTTCGCTTTTTTTATTACCCCAAACTACAAAAAAGTCTTTGACTCTTTCGAGCGAAAATGGCCGATTTTCTACAAAATTTTTTGACCTAATATTGACCAATAAAATTTCACAACATTTTCGTTAAAAAAATAACAAAAATATCGATTTTTCGAACGAAACTGGCCGATTTTGAATAAAATTTCAACTAAAGTATTTTTCTAAGTTTTTATTGTTTCTCCCTCTCAAATCCAATTACATTTTACTAGAAAACTATTAAAATGCCTACTATTAAATTAATAGGAATTTATGGACTTTCTCGAAAAATGAGGTTTCCTCTCCCGCTAATGTGAAAGAACCCAGTAAAGCCAAAAGAGCATGGTGGATTACCTCCAAAGATGATGGCCTCAATCGGAACCCCCTGGGGCGTCTCCCAATCGGGGTGGATGATCGGACATTGACGGGCGGGGGCGGCAAAGCTGTATTTATTTTGTTATTATAATTAAGCAATAATTTCTGATACCGTGAGTTCGGATGGGCAGCCGGTGTCGCATCTCCGAGCTTCCACGGATTGCCCAGCCAATCGGTAATTTCGACATTCTAAAAAGATACCCGAAAAAGTTGACGTTCTTGCCTTGTCCTTGATCTCATCCTCCAGCCCTTCCCAGTAGTAACGGCCCTCGGACGTCTCGGCAACGTTGGTGAAGATGGAGTTCTTCTGGAAGGTGGCGACGGCCATCGGGTTCGTCTTGTCAGAAGTTCCTGAACAGGTGAGAATTTATAAAAGCGTGAATCATGACATACCAGGCGCCACTCCGAAGAATCCATTTTCAGGGTTGATGGCGTAGAGTCGCCCGTCCGGGCCGAACTTCATCCAAGCGATATCGTCACCTGGATTCATCATACAAATGCATAAAATTGAAAACGCACCAACGCAACGGACTTTCCAGCCGGGCAGAGTCGGCTGAAGCATGGCCAGGTTGGTCTTGCCGCAAGCCGACGGGAAAGCGGCCGCAATGAAATGTTCCTGAACGAATTTATAGGAAATTTAAAAGAAGAATAAATAAAGAATAAATTTTAAAGAATTTAAATTAATATTTGATAATAGATTACCCTTCCACAAGGCCTGCTGACGCCCATAATCAACATATGTTCGGCTAGCCAGCCCTCATCCTTGGCAATGTTCGACGCGATGCGAAGGGCAAAGCACTTCTTGCCTAAATTAGCGATTAGTATTTAGCCATTTCTGAAGAAGAGAAATTTAAAAAATAGCAAAAAAGCTTGAAAAATTACATTAAATTACATGGTCGAAAATTAATAATTTTGTATGTTTTACCAAAAATTTGTAAAGTTTTTTTCTGCGTTCTGAATAGTAAAATACAGTGCCAAAACAGTTCCTCCAGGAACATTAAAAAATAAATCCTAAGGAAAAAGTTGTGAAAGAAGCAAATCAAAAATTTAAAACTCACCAAGGAGCGAATTTCCACCGTAGCCCGACCCGAACGACCAGATCTCCCTCTCGGGAGGGCGGTGGGCGATGAACACTTTGTCCGGGTTGCACGGCCAGTGGTTGATCACCTTTTCTAGAAAATTATCCATTATCTGGCAACACACGTGAAACGAACGTTTCACGGGGCGGGGCAGCCCAACAGAGTGAATGCAGCGGGTAAAGTCCTGGTCGCCCATGATTTCAAAGACTTCCGATGTGACGCGAGTCATGATTCTCATCGAGATGACGACGTAGTTCGAGTCGGTCAGCTGAAAATTGTCGGTAAAAAAAGTGCATATTAAATTACCTGAACGCCAATTTTTGACAAGGGACCACCGAGCGGACCCATCGAGAAGGGCACCACGTACATGATACGGCCTAAAAAGAAAAATTTTTGAATTTTTTTCACGTTGGGTGCTAATTTGTATTATTTTTCTATAGTTCTTCCTCCATTTTCCGCATATTTTCTTACGAATAGTTAGTGCACCTTGCCCCGAACCTGCCAGCGCCTTGTTTACGCCCAAGAGCGCCAACCGGCCCGGATTGGCGTAAACAAGGCGAGCGGTTGATGGGTGCAGCCGTACACTGATAGCCCGCCACCAATAATAGCTTTTTGCGCTCTCAACGAGATATGGAAATTTAAACAACGGATATCATGTATAGGACCTTAGAAAAATGAAGGGAAAGCTAAACTACAAGATCAACAGTTTTTTATCAAGAAAAAGTTATAAGAAACCCTTTTGAACATTAGGAAAATCTTAAATTTCCGTTTTCCGGTCTAAAGATGACAATTTTTGCACGTCTCAAAATTTTAATGGTGGGTCTATAAGTAAAAATTGGCCTTAATGCTAAAGAAATAGAGTCATAGCGGATCAAACGCGCCAGAGAAAAAAAAAGATTGATTTCCACTTAGGTAGTCGTGAGCCGCATTTTACGTAAAACAAAAAAGCAAGCGCACCCGCCATACAACCCGGAAAACGCGAGTCCAGCTCGTCGCTCATCTGCTCGGGCGCCATCCAGTGGCCCATGATCGGGTCGACCCCTTCAGCAGTTCGGCATACCTAAATTGCCCGTAAATTTCTTGAACAAACAGCACACACCGTATCGTATTTGTCCTTGGTAACCATCCACGTCTTTGATTCGACACGAGCCACGTCCTTGGGGTCGGTGCGGCAGATGTAGTTGTTCTCGTAGGCGCCCAGCGGAGACAGCATACCGCGCTCCACCAACTTGTCGATGATCTCGTCGGCTTCGTGCTGGGTCCCGTCGCAAATATAGATACCTAGAAAATTATTGCAAGAAAATCCGGTTTATTCTACCGAGAGGGCGCATCAATTCGGCCTTTTCCGCGATGAAACGCTGGACTTTCGGGGGCAGGAGGTGGAAGTCTCCCTAAAAATCCGGAAATTACTTTTTTAGTGCGGAGGGACGAACCTTGTAAATCGGAATATGGCCAAGTCGCTTGATGACCACCTCGTTGACCACGTAGAAAGCATCTTCCGAAATCTGAAGCGAAATTGACCAAGCAAAAGACAGAATAAAACCTGACGCAGGGAAGAGTGCCCGGGTTGCGTGGACTTGAATGGCTTCAGTTCAGCCGGATCGACGGACATTGCGCGCTGGTTTTTCACAAGTTCTAAAGAAGTCATAATTATTGTCGAAAGTAGAAAAGTACTGAAAAGGGAGAACGAGAAAATGTAGGAAATTCGGATTCTTAAAATCTCATCTAAACGTAAAAGCGTTACAAATTTATATAAAAAACACTGATAGCGACAGATTTCCGCCGAAATTTTGAATTTTCACGTTTTTCAAGCTTTTTAACTAGTTTTCCTTTTCTTATGGCCTAAGAATTCATTAAACATGGGTTCCGGCCACTTGTGAACTAATCCCCCACTTTAAATGTAGCTAACTTTTGATTAAAAATTCTTTGAAAAGGTTGCTATTAATTGGAACGTATGGAAAAAGTTGGTCATTGTTTTAGAAATACTAAAGAACGGAAACTGGCAACATCAGTAATATTTCCGCCAGGTAGGATCGGTCTCAAACTACTGAGCCGCGTTCGACAGAAAATAAAAAAGCCGGTCGAATCTCCTGACCCGCCAGATCAATGCAATGTTCGCGGCCGCATTGAAGAGATTCGGACATTCAGCGAAGGGGGAAGCAAAAAAAGAAAATGGGCAGGAGGAGGGGGGAATGGCTGTTTATTTGTGCTTTTTCCCCTGGGCGGCGTGTGGGAGAAAAAACGGACTGGCAGACTGCGACGAAAGGGGGGAAGGAAGGGGTGAGGCGGCTCCCTCACAAACAACCCCCGTGATGTCTCCATGCTACGGCGAGCGAGCAATCGGGTGATTTGCACGAAAAGATAGTTTTTAGGCGTATACGGCTCCAGTTCTCGAGTCTGTTCGTCTCGCGCATCAAGGCCAGGGCTCGCTGCCTGGAATCCGTTGTCCTTTAGCTCCAACGAAAAACGTATAGTGTGACCAGCATGCTGCTAGCAGGAAGGGCTGAAAAAAGGGTTCTAGACTTCTAGCGGGGGGAGGGGGGGGGCGGGTTTAGCAGGGGGGAGCAAATCTTTCCCAGTAATTCCGCACGGCCCTCTAACGATTTAAATATAAACGATTTTTATAGCATTTTCCGCAGTTTTTAGATGTAAAAAGCTTATCAAAAACTTATAACATTTTCCAATTTTTGGAATTTTTGGCCGAAGTGAATGAAAAACAATCAATCAAGGTCAACATTTTCGAATTTTGTATGAAATTCGATTTTTCTATTTCAAGATGTTCCGCGGGTCTATCAGATTCAAGAGATGATTTTTATTCATCATAAAAGTGATATATTTACTGTTTTGTTTTCCATACACTTTCTACCCAAAAATAACTTTTTCTTAGGTTTTAATAAGCTTTGCATACTTTTTAGCTCTAAAAACCGCAAACTAATATAAAAAAACTTGTCTTCCATCATAGAGCGCCAACGGGAAAATAGGAAAAACTTAGGTCCAGAACCCCGCTAAGGAACCATAACCCAATCCGTTGTCCTTTCGCGTTAGAGAAAAACATATAGTGTAACCATCAAGAAAGGCGGAAGGAGAAGGCCCGCGGGAGGTACTTTGCCAAAATGGAGCGGAAGTGCGGCACCAAAGGACAGCCGAACCCCGAAAGCTCACAAGCTGTTTACGGGGTTGCTCCGGCGGGTTGTGCCACCGACAAATAGCGAGTGTGCCTAAAGAAGGGGCGGGGCAAATGATAAGGAACCTTGACCGGTGGGCGAGATCTACATAGAGAGCAGCCTGTTCCAATGACACCTAGAAACCAAAGACCAACACCAACTCCTCGAGGAGGGCAATTAGTGCAAAGTCCGATTGGGCATATTACGAATATAAATAAGATATTTAAAAATAAGTAAAAAAAGTAGATTTGAAGGAATCTGCCGACTTATTGGGTTCGTTTTTACGGATAGTTGTCTCGGAAATTGAACAGACCGAGGCCAGCCCCTTATCGCGGGCAATTTCCCATGGCCTGAGAATGGAGAACAACAGGCGTTCCCCGGCCAGTTGCGAACAAACCGACTCAAGTGGCCTGATCCGTAAAAAGCCCCCACTATAAATAAGTATCGGTATGGTTTTTTTGCATCATCGGACAAAAAAAAGCGCTTAAAACGGCCGGGCAAAAAAGTAACGGCGAGAACTTAAATCACATCTACATTTGAATAAAAACTGAAATCTGTCAAGCCTTAAAAACCCTTTAGCCAGTAAATAACGCCATTTACTTTTCTATTATTTACTAGCGGTCAATTATCGTCAATGTCTTTGGGTCAAGAGAGGTCTCAGAATTCCAGTAAGTTTTCCTGGCCAAAAAAAATCGTTATTCGAGACTCTATTTTTGCTTCCCGCCTATCAAATTCACAAAGTTTTGCAATTTGCGCAAAGAGACATCGCGCCGGAGCGCTACAAATAACACCAAAGTACGACAATATCGTAGTTAGGTGTCGAATGGAGCGATACGATTCGTCATTTGTTTTGTTTCGTTATAACTATATATTTACGGAGCTTTCTAAAATCGATAATTTAATTAAATTTTCAGGGTCGTCGCGGAACGCCACGCCAAACGCGCCCCATTCGACGGTTTCGGGCCATCGCCGCGAAGTGGACACGGCAAGCTTGGCAAGCACCCAGGCTTCACCCACTCATCTTCACACGGCTCGCAGCAATGCTCCAAGGGTAATGGCTATGCTTTTAATATTTAATTTTAACGTTTTTCATGTTTTTTATATGTTTTAATGATCATCGCTGCTTTTAGAGCGGCTATTCGCCGTTCGTTTCGTTACCGCACAACCCCAGCCGCCCCGGTTCGCCATCGTCGACGTCATCGTTGGATCGGCGAGCCTGTCGTATTTGTCAATCGGAGACTGGAGACATGGTTCGCCCCTGCGGCTGTGCCGGAACAGTAAGTCACGTCTCGCAACGGCACGACTGTTAGCGGGGGGAACCAACTTTTTGCAAGTGATCTCGTACGGCCCTATGGCGAACGTGCTTTAGCAACGAATAACTACCCGAAAATACGATAAAAATACGCTAGGTCTTATAAAAAAAGGTTCTACTAGACGGAAAACCAAAATTATCCCCACCCCCCGATAACCGTCCATTACCTCAAAATTCCTGTGAACCTTTAGATGGGCGACATCCACGAGACGTGCCTCTCGAAATGGGTGACGCAGAGCCACCGGGATAGCTGCGAGATTTGCCATGAGGTAAGATGTAACCTATGAATTTTTGGATTTTGCCTGAATTTTCAGAACTACGCGCGCAGCGGTGCCGTCTTCAAGCGTATCCGCCAATGGGAGAAGCCCAAGTTTGATGCGCTGGTAATTTTGGTGCATTTTAGCCTGACAGCCATTTTCAGGATGTGATCTCGTTGGCTATCCTGGGCGGTCTCGGCTCGTGCCTCTACTATCTGTGGCTGCTCATGCAGGAGCGTCTTTTCAAGGAGCGCATTTTCATCCATGAGCTCCCGATGCGCAGCGACGATTATGGACGGATTAGTAGCGGGAAACAATTACGTTTTGTGAACCTAGTTTTCTTTCAGTTCTCAGCCTGTTGATCGTGGTGCTGATGTGTGGGATGATTGTGCTGTTTGTCTCACAGGTTCGGAACTCCTAAAGGACGGTTAAAGGCACTGGACTGTTAGCGGGGGGGGGCAAATTTTCCGCCGTAAGTCCGTATGGCCCGATAACGAATATAAACCAGTTTTATAGCATTTTACCGAGTTGTTTTAGATTTAGGAAAACGCAAAAATATGCAAATTCTCAAAATTTTTAGGTTTTTGGTCAAAAATGTGAATGATCAACGATAGTCAAATTTTCTAAATTATAAAAGTTTTAAAATATTGTTTTTAGGTTTATTTGAAACAGAACCCATTAAAAATGCCTAGAAAACGCTGGAAATCTCGAAATTTCGGCCAAATTTCTCTTTTTTTTTTGGGTTTAAAACGATTTTTCAGATTTTCAAGCAAAATTTGTCTCGTTTTTTGTGTTGGAAGTTGTCAAAAAGTCTAAATAAACTTGAAAACACGAGGAAATGATTTAATTCCACCGCCGCTAAAGCAAAAGAACGAAAACCTCTGATCAATTTCCCGAACAACAAGTCCTATTCCAGCTACTCGCCTACGTCCACCGCCAGCAGGAGATCCGCTTCATCAACAAGAAAAGGACCGATATGAGCTGAGCGCCATTATGTTCTTCTGTAAATAAAGGATATTACTTTACTATTGTGATGTCTTTATCGGGTACATTTTATACAGGAGGGTATACAGGGTGTCCCAAAAAAAAAGACCCCCCCCCAAAATTTGAGCCAGAGGGCACCTATGGAGCTGAAAATTTGCACAGAGGTAGCGAAGCCAATTTCCCATGTATATGGAAAGTTTGAGCCATATCGGCCGACGGGTTTTAAAGTTATAGCGAAAATACTTTTCATTTTTAATTTAATATGGGGATTTTTGCAATTTACATCAAAAATATGCGTTATTCTTGAATCTACGAGCCGATTTTGCATAAATTTTGCCAAAAAATGCCATTCTCTTGCTGGAGCATGGCGCGAACGATTGCGTATGAAGAGTAAAAAGAGTGTGAAAACAACTATTTTATCGATCCAAACCACGCCTTATTGTGCATTTTGACAATATGCTTCGCGCTAGCCCCGAAACAGAGTTCGATGAGCTTCCAAGTGGTGCTTAAGTTTAGATTTGGGCTTGGGTTTAATTCAGTCCAAAGTCTAAGCGAAGTTCAGGCGCTGAACGATGGTTTCAACCAATATATCTTGTACTCAGCGGTCTTGCTGATTGTTTTCACGCTGCATGAGCAATCGTTTTCCAAAAGCTCCAGCAAGAGAATGGCATTTTTTTGGCAAAATTTATGCAAAATCGGCTCGTAGATTCAAGAATAACGCATATTTTTGATGTAAATTGCAAAAATCCCCATATTAAATTAAAAATGAAAAGTATTTTCGCTATAACTTTAAAACCCGTCGGCCGATATGGCTCAAACTTTCCATATACATGGGAAATTGGCTTCGCTACCTCTGTTCAAATTTTCAGCTCCGTAGGTGCCCTCTGGCTCAAATTTTTGGGGGGGTCTTTTTTTTTGGGACACCCTGTAGTTCGAAGGAGTTATTTATGCTTCAGCCATATCAATTTCTTCGCGGGCTTCTTCTTCACCTTCGTCGGCTTCTTCCAATATTCTCCACGACGACTCGCTTCGCCGGATTCTCCGTTGAATTCCGAGATACTCCAATCCACCGTACACCACCAGGGAGAACAACACCGAGAATAGCATTGCCAGCAGCCAGCTGTGTGATGAACCCTGAAAGAAAAAGATTGTTCTAGTCTGTAAATATTTTTAAAACTACAAACTTGACATGGGAGGACCGAATTTTTCCTACAAGTTTAGAAATGTAAAGTGAAAATACGTATTTGAATAGATTTTTAGTAAAATTTAAGTATGTTTTAGCGGGTAAACGAGCTAAATATTTAGAAAACAACGTCAATTTTTGATCAAAAAACTATTTTTCGCATTTTTAGTAAAATTGTAGTTTTTACACTTAGCAACAGGAAAAACAGTTTAAAACATGTTCTTTAGCTATACTAGCAACATTGTATGTTAAGAAAAAAGTTGTTGCCGCAACCTGAATAAAAATAAAGATAATTTGTTAAATATATCGAATTAAAACTATTTTTTACTACGAAAACTTACCCCCGCTGCCGCTTCATCCAGCGAAAACCGTTTAGCCCTCGAAAATGACGGCTCAATTGTTCCGTGCAGGATTAGCGACACGGCCAAAATTTTGCCGCGCTTCTTTGAGGACTGAATTTTGAATTCTCGGCGTCACTTACTATGCGTAACTTACCACTTTATCGTCGAATTCTATAACCCAATCTCCGGTCGGATCTTCGCCCCAGAAATGCGAAATTGTGAAATTCCATTCAAGGCCCGTGGACGTTGTGTCGAGCGGTCGACGCTCGAGCACGGTTACCCATGTACCTGAAAGGAGTGTAGGTTGCGTATTTATTTATTTGACCAGCGCCCAAAACCCGCTTCGCGGGCCTTGGGCGCTGGAATTGGGCCTTTGCATGAAAAATTTAACTTTCCGATAGCTCGGGTCTTTCTCTCTCTTCATCTTTCGGACCCCTTCTCCCACCGACCACACACGCGCGGGCAAATTGCAAGAATGAGGAAATTTGTATTGTTTCACATTATGCAAATTACCCCCAAAAATGAATAAAACCGGCTGTAAATTTGTAAACTTGTATTTTATCGAAATTCTGAGAACGTAACAGAACGTATCGTAACAGAAGGGCCGATTCCCCCAGGTGACTGAGAATTGGGGCATTTTATGCACGGGAAGGCCCTCAAATCGGGCCTCGAAAGTGACATCCACACACACACACACACACAGTCACACGCCAAAATTATATAAGGTAGGATGAATTGAAGTTATATCATTTTAATCATTCGTTTATGATTATAAGCTGAATATATAAATATGATTTTAAAGGGAAGAAGTCGCTCTAGAATCCTTGAAACAATGCGTAGAGGTCACAGGGCTATACTATGGATAGGCGCGATGCGTTGGCCAAGGTTGGCGAAGTCCGGCGCTACGGCGGCTCCTATCACGCCTTCACCAGCTGCGTAGCCCGGTGATTTTTACTTTTCAAGGAAATTCTCGCAATTTTTGGTATTTCAATTTTTCTTACAGTGTGGGCTTGTTTTTTTGGGATTGACCAAGAATTTGAAACTTGAACTGGAGCTCGACGATTATTTGAGCTATTAGTTATTCGATGACTACTTACCAGCAGGCGACCGCAACCGTATCCTGACATCTCCCCTCCTCGGATGCACCAACGTGACGCCCACTTCCAAATGTTCCAGATATTTCATATCACAACTCTTCACGCTCAATTGTGCGGCCAGTTCGCCAAAAGTGCTACAACGGAATTTTGCGAAGAAATTATTAACGAACTTTGATCCACCTTGAATCTGGAACCTTTTCACGCATTGTAGATGTTCTGGGGCGGGGTTTGCGAGAGAGGACACCAGCGCCAACATCCGTTCCACCGAAAATACACCGAATCCAAGCAACCTGAAATGTTTGGTCCTTTGGCATCATCGGGGGGGAAGGGCCCTCGAAGACCAGTTATGCCTAATTTCAAAGTCTTTCTGGTAGAATTAAACTACGTCTAAAAAGGAACATGGTCTAGATACTAAATGTCGAAATTTTATGGACATTTGGAAAATGTTACGCTTAGAAAAAATAAAAATAGCGCTTCTAGTAAAATGTACCTATAGTTATAATGGAAAATTATCTAGTAAACCTCGAAATGTTGAAAATTTTAAACTTGGCCGAAAGCCTATGGTTTTAGGGTTTTTTTTTGTAAAATTTGGAAGGTTTCTTTTTACTCTTTTCTTAGTTTTCCCTTTAGACAAAATATCAACCTGTTGAAATTAAGTCCCGCAGCGTTCTTCGTCCAGTCCGAAGCTGCAAACTTTTGGTAGTGCTCAGCGTTGGCGCCGTGTACGATCAGGTGGTTGATTTGGCGGCGCGTCAATTTGGGGCTAAAATCGTAGTTTTTATTACGGTTGAATAAATACATAATCTTATGAAACGTTTAATGTATAATCCTTACTATTTTTCAAGTAAAATCGCGAGGCCAGCGGCCACCACCGGCGCGGCCGCCGAGGAACCGTAGAAAGCGGGTGAGCATTGCCCTCGCGAATCGACGGAAACCTAACGTTTTTCAGGTTAAAAAGCTGAATTTGGAAAGGAAAAACGTGAACAAACGTTTTTTTAATGATTCCGAATGTGTAAACTTTACAAACTTTTATTAGAAAACCAAAAAACATCGATTTTTCGCCCAAAATTCCAAACGTTCAAACGTTTTTCGGTAAGTGATTTTCTACGTGTTTTTCAAACCAAAACTTAAAATTTAAGACTTAAATAATTAAATAAGGACTTAAAAACCAAAAAACTATACAAACGTTTTCTGAGAAACGCCAAAATTCAGTATAAATTTTCTATAGTTATGTAGCTATTTTTATAAGTTTATAAGTATTTTATACAATTTTCACCACCTGTTCGCCCAGATTATCAGCAACAACGGACGTGAGAATGGCCGGGCAACCCTCGGAATCCGGCGGCGCCGTGCCGTTCAGATTGCTCCAGCTGACCCCTGACAAATTAAAATTGTTAAAGCAGGTTCCCAATATCAAATATCATTTTTTGCTTCTTTGCCCCTACCAATAATCATCGGATTCGAGACGAAACCGTCGAGTGCACAATCGTCAAAAGTTTTCCCGCCATTACCGGCGGCCCAGACGAAGAGTGATCCAAGACCGGAACGACCCTAAAATGCGGATAATTTTTGCTATATTTATACGTAATTTTCATTAAAAAAATTGAGTGACCTTTTCGGCTTGGCCACTGATCACTTTCTGGGCCAACGTCAAAGGTCCCAACGCGCTGATGCCATCATCCGGCGGGCCCCAGCTGCATGTGAAGATGTCGGCTTGCTAAAAAAGTTTTACATTCACGTCCAATTTTCCTAATATAAATAGAGGAAGCGTTTCTAAACTGGTTTTTTCGATTTCCAAACGCAGAAATTTTTTTACAAATCTTTATAAAAACTTTGAAAAAATCCGATTATTCTACGAAAAATGGGCAATTTTTGATCGAAAATTAAAAATTTTAAATTCTGTCTAAGCTTTTAGATAGTTTCCGATTTAAATTATATCTGCATTTTTCTAAAAACGCTATTAAAGATGATTAAAGAGATAGGGGCGGCATAAGTCAATCGATTACGCGAGGGAAAGAAAATGTCTCTGCGCCTCTCCCCTGGGAGCCCTCTCTCGAGCGAGATCGCCGCGGGACCTGTTGAACCCCCCGCCCTCCTCAAGGGGGGTTCAACAAATGCATCCTCATCTCTTTAAGAGAGATCGAATTAGCGACAAACGACAGTTTTGAAAAAATAGTGCTTTAGGGAAAAAGCCATGAAAGGTAAAACAAAACCCAAGTCACAAATTCACAAAGGTTTAATAATCGCTTAGCCAAAAGCTACGACGCCCCATAAATAAGTTTTATTTTGTTGTTAATAAAGTATAAGCAAAAAGTACCGCCGCTAATGCACCAGAACCCCCAAAATACTCACCTGGGCCATCGCCACCGATTCCGAATAGTCCGTAGTGACGCGAGTAAGAAGTGGGGTATCTAGAAGTTGATTAAAAACTATTGTAATTTTGTGATACACCTTTGAATCGAAAACTAACCGATAATAGTCGCACCCGGCGCAGCCCCAACGCCACACTCCGAATTATTGCCCTTCATTGCGATGACTGAGGCACAAAGTGTACCGTGTCTGGCCTAAAATATGACCCTTTCACGGGTACTGTACTCACCTGTAATTCTCCCCATCAGCGGGCTCCATTCCAAACATTTCGGCCGGGATTCGATCATGAGTAGTTGAGGTGAGCTCGGGGCTTGCTGTGAAGGAGACGCCATCGTCCTGTTTTTGTAAAATAATAAAGTAAAAAAATCCGTAATCATAGAAAAGGGATAAAAAAATGCAGAGTCAGAAACGGAAAAAGTACGCTACGCTACTCCGCGCTGCGTAGCGTTTTCTTTTCGAAACTGGATTTTTTGAGACGCAAGCAGCATCAACGAAGGAACTGTCTTACCACGACGGCTATCCGAACACCTTTGCCGGTCAAGCCGAGCTCCCACGCCTTTGTGAAGCCCATTGTATCAAACTAAGAAAATAGCGGTATTATATATTTTCAATTACCTGTTCAGCCTGCCTGCTAAAATGCGGATCATTCCATTTGCCCAGCGGTGCTCGTTTTACGACGGCTAGCCGGGCGAGCGGTTCGACCCATTCGAAACGACTCTGTAATAGACGAAATATTTTTAATTGGGAAAAGTTAAATTTTACCACGGAGATTTTTTAATTACGAAATTCTACGATGACGATTTTTAAGGGAACATCTTCGACCTCAAATCCCTCCCAACTTCGCATTTCCCTCTTCTCTCGACTTCGATACCCGACTCGGGCGGCCAGGAAAATGTTGGGCAAGCCGGGGTGCTGAAGTTTAATGTTAAAAAAACAGAAAATCACAAAGCAAAGAAAAGGCGAAAGAAACAAAAACAAAAAATACCTGCGAGACCAATCTGAAGCCATTTTCGTGGAGAATGGCCTCAACTTCTGCCCTCGGCAATCCACCAGTATCGACCGCAATTTCCGAGTAATCGGTGATTGGGTCTTGCTGCCAGCGGGGTGGTTGTTGACGCCTAAAAATCGCTTTTACCACTAAAATATTGAGCTTAATAAAAGCCTGTACTCCTTTCCATTAAACTACCGGCTTACCGTAACAATTCCTCTTCAAGCTCGAGAACCTGCCCCTCGAGTTCCTCGAGAATCACTTCGATTCTCTAAAAAAATGATCCATGAGGGATTAATTTTTTTATGGATCCAGAAATGCCTCGTAATGTATGTATTTTAATAGTGTTTTTAGTAAAATTTCACGATATTTCATGTGGAAAACCGGCCAAAAAAACTTTCAACTTGAAATTTTAATAGAAAAATATAGTTGTTTTCTTTGATGTAACTTTGTAAAGTTTTTACGTTTAGGAATAGTAAGTTTAGAAACACTTCTTCTATCGATATTGGAAAAGTTGGATCCTAAGAAAAAAGAGTCCCCCGATAATGCGAAAGCACCCCGAATTTGAAAGGTTAAAAATTCAACTTACTCAAACCGAAAGGTGGCCAAGTTATTTTATTACTCTTTCTTTATTAAAATTAGCCAATTTAAAGCTATATCATGCTTTTTTTAAAGATTAAAACGTTTAAAAATACACGTTTCTTTTCAAACACAGCAGAAAAATGCGTTACCTCCCGATTTCTTGAATCACCTTGCACAAAAACAGCTGAAACCCAGAGCACTAATAGACAAAGCGTCGGTCTAGACATTTTCCAGCGTTTCATTTGGCAAGTTCCGGTTTCAAGAATGGATAGACCGGAAAAGGTGCGTGCCGAAATAGGGCCAGTGACGAGGTGTGTGGGGGTCCTGAAGATGGACAATCGATCTGATAACGGGCCATTAGTCGGCTTATGCTTTTCCTCCCCATTCGCTCTCCATTTTTATGTCCCGATGACGCTAGGCTCACAAACTTTACGGCACTGTTTTTTGCGGAAAGAAATTTTCGGAATTTCGGAAATTTAAAGGGGATCGGAAAGCCAGGACTACGGATTTTTTTGATGGATTTTAGCTGCCGCGACGCACATGCTATTCGTCGACTACGCGGCGCTGCATTCAAAGCGTTGATTCGGTGCGCTCGTAGCTAATCTTCTGTATTCACTTTTACGGGTGTTTTCCAGGTTTTTTTTTGCTTTAGCCGCTTGAGCACCATTTGCAGTCATTTTCAGGGTTTTCTTAGCTATTACTAACTAAGCTTGGACCACGATGCGCTCCTTTCCACGGATTTACTCCGTGCGCTCGTAGCGGATTCTCATACAATAATCTTTTTCAGAGATTTTCTCTATATTGTATTACTTTTCCACTGGACCTATAGTATGCACCTACAACAGCACAAATTTATTGTTTGCACTCTTCATAAATGGGGAGAAGGAGAAGGGTCGTCGCCGTGTCGGGTGGTCTGATCACAACATAGAGGCGGACATTTTGGAGGGGTATACGGTAGCGTGTACACGATATATCCCCCCTAATGTCCATAGCTGATAGGAGAATTGGGGCGGGGCTAAAGGGAAAGTGAAGGAAGGATTGGCGGGTGGTGGTGGATGTGTCTTTTTGATGGCCGAGATCGTGATAGTCATCTTTGGGGTGTTCCTGGAATATTACGGTAGGTGGGGCATGATATAGTGAAAATTCTGAATTCTTCAGAGCTTTCAAGCCAATTTTTATGCGTTAAACTGGCCAGCGGTTTTTAGCTCTTTTGGTAGTGGGGCGGGAAATTCTTTTATTTTTTTGTAAGTGTTATAGGGCGGGTAGGTATTCTATCTTGTTTCGTAAAATTTAGCTCTCCCTACAGGGAAAAACTATCCAAAAAACCCCAAAAATGTTTAAAATTTGGCTGGAAAATCGATATTTTTGTAATTTTCAACCGAAAATTTTGTAAGTGAGGTTCAGGAATAATAAAAACCAGTTTCTATACTAACAAACAAAAAGGTAGCTTACCTTAAAAATCGTCGTCCTATTACCTCCTGTCGAACGCGCTGAAGCCGTCGTGGCCCTGGAAAAGATTATTGTTAGGTTTTAGAGCACCTTAGTGCCGATTTTGCGCTTTTTTGCACATATAAATTCAGAAACGCCTTTTAAAGCCGTTTGCAACAAAGTAAACACTTTTCCGAAGCATCTGCCCTCTTGTGGTGGCCATGACCCCCAATTTGTTTTGTTGTTTTCCGTTTGCCCTTCTATTTTTGGTCTCAAAATGCATGAGGCATTTTCCGGTTTATTTTTACCTAGAGTCCAGTTTTTGGTACATTTTAACGCGGAAGAGACGTGGCTTTTCATCGCAAATTGCCGCCAAAATTGCCATTATCGGGGATGCGCTAAATTTCCCAAAAATTCACGTGGAGCCCGGAAATGGCGAAAAACGGCTGATTATTCCTCAAAGACTCTCTGCTAGCCTGCCCTCCGATTCCTCAAAGAATCTCGGCTAGTGCTGCAATTCGCAAATAATCTTTGCTAGCCTGTCCAGTGACGCCCAAATAATCTCTGCCAGCCTGCCCACATTTCCTAAACGATCTCTGCTGGCGTTGTCATTTCCCAAAGAATCTCTCCCAGCCTGCCATCGGTTTCCGAAATAATCTCCGCCACCTGCCTTCAAATTCCTCAATGCCCTGCCCTCGGATACAATAATGACCTCTGCTAGGCTGCCCACATTTTCTAAACGATCTCCGCTAGCCAAAAGCAGCCAAAAACGTTTTTCCCCTTTTTTTGGTATTGAAAAAGTCTGTCCGCTCTTCCTGGTCCCGGTGTAAAGCCAAAAAAGCCCCGGGATTTACTTGTGGGCAGTGTCTCGAAGTGCGCGGGGAGGTTGCCCATCTGTTGGGTTGAAATTGCTTTCCACAACCCCCTCGACTCGACCCCCAACCAATGGAGGGCTACACGCCATTCCCTAGGGACAGACAGGCACACACAGAATATCCAACCCGTGGTTAGAATAGCGGTGAATCTCACCCCACAAAAAGGGCACCTGTTTAGGGATTGCCGCGTGTAGTCGCCCGGAATAGCCAAAAACAACGGCTATTTTTAGGGCTTTGGGCGATTTTTTGGGAGAATTTCGCCCGGTACACCCTGAGGGTCACAAAGTGGATTTTTAAAAACTAACAATCGAGTCGAAGGCGCGTTTGTCGAAGAAGCCAAAGTCGCCGAGGCCACCGTAGGACATTGAATCAAACGCTCGCTTCTGGAAGTTTCGCCCAAAGTCACCGGGTACCTGCAACAAAAATACTAGGTTCTTTCGCGGTATCGGGGGGAGGGGCGAACTTTTTTGTAGAAGTCTAGAAATGCCTAGTAACTGAATAGCAGCGTTTCAAAAGTAGTTTCAGTAACATATAACTGTATTTAAACTAGAAAACTATCTATAAACTTTAAAACAGTGGAAATTTTGGCCAATAATAGGCCATTCATTTTCGGTCGAAAAATCGATATTTTTTTATACAAATCTGCTGTTACGCTTAGGAATAGCAAAAAACCATTTACAATCAGACATTTCCCGCTATTTATACTTTAAAAGTTAGCCCCTAAGAAAAAAAGTTAGTTTCCCGTCTGAAAATGCAAAAGAACCAAATCCTAATAAAAAACAGCTTTCGTTTCATGTTACTTCCGGTCCCTTGAAAACCCAAAAAAACCCACCAAGCTATCAAATGCCCTCTTGACGGGGATGATAATTCGTGGTGCTGCCCGTTTCTCGAAAGCGTTTTGGAAACCGCCGGAGCTCTGAAAATTGGTTGTTTCTTTCATTTTGACTTCCTATAATATACACCCTCTTTTTTCTACCCGCTACAACGCAGGAATCACCGATTCCCTCTTGGCGACAAATTGCCAGCAATGAATTCGCACGGGCAAGGCAAATGAAAGGGTTTCTGCAGCGTGGGCCTTACCCCCGCATTTTTTCGGTGATATACTCTACATTTTTATTGGTTTTACGCGGGTATTTTCTTTTTTTTATTCAATGGTTCTTGGCTTATTAAAAGTCTCTATGAGGTGTAGGTATCTAAACTTATTGCATTATCGGGGGGGGGGGGCAACTTTTACCTTTGGACCCAATTTTGCTAATTTAAATAAAGCTAGTATTTTTTAAATAGTTTTTCCAATTTAAAAACACTTAAACTCTCCTAAAAGCACCTCTAAACAGTCTGCTAAACCGAAGGCACGTCTGCTAAACACATAGTCAGACATATCTGGACTTATAGTGCAATGTTTTGTTACGTTTTTTTATTCAGCTGTGTTCGCGTTATTAAAAGTATTTAGCCAAGCTTCATTTATAGTTTTTATATTGGATTCTCGAGAACATTTATTTTTCAGCGTTTTGCGCTCAATTTTCAGCATATTCAAAGTATTTAGGCACGTTTAATTCATTTTAAAATCTCCGTTACATTGCCTTTTGAAACCCTCCAGCCATCTTGGGAATTGGCCTTTTTGTGAGGATTCCAGTTCCGGTTCTAAATGCTAGAGGGACCGGCCAGTGAGGGTAATTGGGTCGAAAAACGATTAGAAACGGGCGTAGAGGCATTACAGGGGCCAGCAGAATACGGAAATTCAAAACCACGTCCACGCCTTCAGATCGCGTCAAAGTCCGAAACGTTCAAAAGTCAATTGCTGATTCCAATATCTTACTACGTAGGCGTCTATTTACGCAAGGGATACACAAACGTAGTTTGGCACGTGCGTACCTTTTGGAATAACACGAAGGAGACTGTCTATAAACAAGAAACAGCCTCTGAGAAGCCAATGATAATATACGACAAGCGCCTATGTACGTATGCAGGGACGTAGCGTAATACAGGCCCCGGGGGCCCGGGGCCCCCCCCCGAAATCCGCCGGGGCCCGAAAATTTCATAAGGGGGGACCCTTATGATTTTAATTTTTTCAAAAATTTTTGCCTGCGGCGCTGTTTTTTCGCCAATGTTTTGAGTGTTTGGAAAAATTTTTTGGGGGCCCCCCCCGAAATTTTTTTCTGGCTACGTCCCTGTACGTATGCGATCCGAAAACGTAAGTAGGCGCTTGCGTAGCTCTTTTAATAAAGAAAAGAAGAAAAGAAGAAATAAAAAAAATTTAGGAGAGCTAAAACTAAAAAAAACGCCCCAAAAACCCGTCCAACCCCGACCCACCAGCGCGTCAAATGCCCGTTTCTCGAATGGCTGGAAACCGCCCGTGGAGATGGCGTCGAAGGCTCGCTTGTCAAACACCGTGAAATCGTTGCCCATCTGAAAAAGCGGTTTAAAATGTAGTTTAGAGCATAGTTCAAAGATCCTCCAAAATCCGCACGAATTCCGGATCTACACATCAGCCCCTATCATTAATGCACGGGGCGTGAAACTGGTCGGAAAGGACGGCCGAACATCCCCGATAACCTCGACCCATTATTCAGAAAGCTCTCTCTCTCTCTCTCTCTCTCTCTCACTCTCTCTCTCTCGCTCTCTCTCTCGCCCAGCCAGGCTTTTCTGACGCCACCTGAATTTCATTGAGAAATTGAAAGGCGCCTCCATTTTGCGAACTACAAAAAGCAAAAACTCGGTGTGAATCGGTAAGCAATTCGTCGGCTCGCATTACGAGATTTGCGTCTGCTTCGAATGTACAAAATAATAGACGTAAACTCTGAAAGCTACAAGCCGGAATTTTGTGGTTTGGTGGATCGAATAGAAATAAAAATCAATTTTTGTTTTTACGTAGTACGGCCGTAATTTTGGTAAAATGGCGGCGTTTCTGAAGATACGACCCCGGGATACCGAAAAGAATTCAGTACTGCCGAAAATTTGTAAAATGCGCCAATTTGTTCGCTACGCTCCGGTGAAAATAGCGGAAAATCTGCCGCTCTATCCTAAATTCACACGTTTCCGCCTGGGCGTCACGAGCATAATTCGCCGATTTTATAAAAGTCAAGAAATTTATGAATCTCCTAAATCCGGGATATGAAAAAAAAAATTCCGTAAGGTGTGACCGAAATTTGTAAAATTCGCGAATTGACGCCGATTACGCCCCGGAGAAAATAGTGAGCAAAAAGAGGAAGTCCCATGATACAGGAAGTCATTAGTGAATTTTTAACGTTTTAAAAATTAAAATTTACTCACCAAAGTGTCAAGTGCGCGTCTGTGCCGTTGTGGGACGCCTGCCTCAGCGCTCTAAAAACAAAAAGAGCTTATTATATAGCCGTAAAGCAGTGTAGTAGTACAGTTTAGGCGCCGACCGCCTATATCTTTTGTATCTCGGCTCCCCGTTGGCCTAAAAAGATGAAAAGTATACCAAAAAAAAAACCCCAAAAAGAGACGAACATTTTGATGTACCATACGGCCCTGTAGGCCAACGGGGATCCGAGATACAAAAGAAAGAAAGGGCGAGGGCAACCGTAAGAATCTCAGTTTATAAAATACCGGTACTAATGCAGCGACGGCAATAAGGGCTGAAACGAGGATAGACAGTAGCCTCGTTGTGGTGGTAGGTTGGGGCATGAGGCCGTTGAGGGCCATTGCCTTGAAGTGAAGGGCTGTAGGGGAAGAGGAGGCTTCTCCCCCCTCATCCGGCCCTCCTCCTCCTACACTACCAGGGGGCGGGGCCACCACCATGTCTTCTACCCACACCTGCAATACAATGCAATCATTCTGCTGCGGACATAAGCAACAACTTACTGAAAAAAAGAAGTGAAAACGTGAAGAGGATCTTATTGAACTAGCTAGGGTTTTATATCCGGTTTTTAGAGCTTTGTTCTCGAGGTGTTTTAGGGGATTGAAAACTGGCAAAACCTTCAACAAGCCTTTTTATGCCAGTAAAACTATTTGTAGGTTTGAGAGAGCTTTTTGAGAGCCGTTCTTCGGTGTCATTAGAGGTTTTTAGGGCTTTCCGGCGACAAAAATCTCAAAAAAAAACTTGCTATATGATCTTTTTAGAAGCATAAAACATAAAATTGTTGCTGGATTTCGGGATTTTAATGTTAGAAAACCTTTTAATAAGCTTTTTATGAATCTAAAACGATTTTTTGCTAGCGCTAGATCGAAAGAAAGTGTGCGGATAGACGATTCGACGACTAAAGGGGCATAAGAGTTTTGAAGGCTCCGTCTTCGTCTAAAATACCAGTACGGCGCGCTACTCGGCACAGTCCTATCCTGTGCGCTCGTTGCCTTTCCTCGACTTTTTTGAAGGCTATGCCGCTTCAAACCCGAGTTTTAACCAGTTTAACAGTATTTTGAGCGAGTTCTGCGAAAATTTTGAGTAGGAACGCCTGTTTTAGCTATACAACCTAAACCTATCAAAAAGTGGGACTTCTGAGCCATCAAATTTCAAAATTAAAGTCCATAACCCAAACTCTCCTCCATCTACCCTATTTCCAATCATAATACTAACCGATTCTACGTCCCACTATGAACGGCCCCCCGTCCGTATTTTGGATAGAGCGTAGCGAGAGACAAAGCGCAGAGGATTCTATGATTACCCCAATGAGTGCCCCCTTTCTAAATAAATGATCATTGAGTAAGAAGGGGTGGTGAGTTAGAGGGTTGTAGACATCCACGGAAACAGCCAGCCCCGCACGTGTAGTTTTACGCTCGAAGCTCGGACATCGACAGACGGACAGGACAGACACTCTAATGCCTGGTAACCAGATTGCCCCCCGTAGAAATTGGTCATGTCAATCGGGCCAGAAATTCTGTGCGTATTTGTTTTGAAAAAGTGTAAAATCTCGTCATAAAGGCTGCTCATTAAAAAATTTCATTTTCACCCGCCATCCCCTGCAAACCTCTCCGTGAAATCCCCCGCTAACAGGCCAGTACCGAAAAATTTATAACGCGTAATCTGTGATTCCGGATGGATTAGCTCACGCTTCAGTCGATACAGAGACGAACGCGTCGCGTGTCGGAGGGTTCGAAAAATCTATAGGGATTCCATAGCAGACAAAATCTGATTTACTAGAACTTTTCGAAGCGTTTGGGCTACCGGAAGCCGCTTAACCAAAACAAAACACCCCGAGAAGTCAGTGGAACGCCCGACGGCGGCGTTCCCACTTTTTTCCACAATCCCCTAAAAGTTGCCCCAAAAGGGTCGCTTTTTCGGAGGACCACCGCCAGTCCATAAGTCATCCCTGGCCCGGGGGCCCTAAGAGAGTCAAGATTCCGGCCAAAAGGTGGGACGGCCGCACCAGAAATTGGCCATTTATCTCACGGCCCCCCACGCACCGCCAGTGGATTTGAATTTTGACAATTTCGGTGCAGGGTGGAATTGAAATTCGCCTAGCTCGTGATGATGACGAAGGATTTTTTGGGGGGTTGGCTACGGTGGCTGCAAGATTTTGAAAGGCTAGCAACCTGAGGGGGAAATGGAACCGAAAAAATCTATGTACTGCGTCGCTAGCGGGGGGAGGGGTGAAATTTTCGTCAAAAATACATTTAAAAAATGGTTTTTCGAGCCAAAATGACCGGTTTTCGAACAAAATTGAGTTTTTTAAAGTCTTCTAGATAATTTTTCCGCTTTAAATCTAAAAATTTTTCTTAAAAACACTATAAAACGCTTGCTACTACGTTATTAGTGTATTTCTAGATCTAAAGAAAAAATTACCACCCCCCCCCCCCCTCGGCCCCCCATAATGCCAAAGCATTTTAGTAATAAAAAAATACGGATTTATTTATGTTTTCTAAGGATTTTCTATACCTTAAAAAAAGATTATATAGGACGGCATTTTATATAGTAGGGGAGTTTTGACAAAAAATACGCCCCCCCCCCCCGCTAATGCTCAAGAACCGAAATCAGGAATTCTGACCCACCCCCACTACGACGACATCTTCTGCAGGGCGATTGCGTGGGTTGGACCGGGGGATATTGTTGCGTAGAGAGCTATTCGTATCAAAATGAAATAATTGGAAGTGGATGTGGAGGGTGGGATTCTTCCCGATCCACCCTCACACCCTCATTGGTGGACATTAGTCCCACAACAGCAACCACAGCCCCCATTTCCTCCATTATCGTATCGTCCGCCCGAGATTTGTGGTCTAGCGCAACGGAGGAAATGATAAAATATTTTTAAAAGACCTGACAAAAATCACAAAACAATGATTTGAATGGACCGGGTAAAAGTGCGTAGAGGAGCATCGCGTTCTCCAAACAACAGTACGCAGCACCACTACACCGTACACGTACCACATGCGCCCGTTGAATCTTACTTTTTACAGAGTTCTCGGGACGGGACTTGTTTTTGGGCTTTTCTTTAGCATTACCTGTCGTATCCCTTTACCGTTTTATTTTAAAACGAACCATTCGTCACTCATTTAGTGCCAAATTTCAGACACTAAACCCTCTAAATCGGATCGCCCAACAATCTGATTATCGCCAATATAGCCAAATCCACTTCGGCGACTCAATTTACCCTGAAAGGGGCGGATTTAGGAACATGGAGTAGTTTTTAGAAAACTCAGGATTTTTGAGTCCAAATTTGCGCTTAAAAAATTCCTAGGGGTCAGAAAACTAGTGAACCACCGTAAAATTATTTTTCCAAATGATGACCGCATTTCTGATCCGGTTACGCTACTAAAATCTACTCAAACTCCCGCTTAAGGTGATGCTCACCCAAAGTCAAATCCCGCTTAAGCCTCACCTTGTTTTCCCGTCTAGCTACTCTACGGAAAATCGAATCCCACTCCAGTTTGAGGCCAAAAATATCCATTTCCTCATTGCCAATCGAATTATCGTGAGGGAAGGGGGGCCGGAGTCCATTTTAAAAGGCTGCCTCTTCCAGATTTAGCTGGACCCCTGAAGCGGTCCCATGGCACCGCACATGTTTCGAAGGGGGGGTGATGACGTGCGATGAGGGATTTCAGCCATTTCGTCGGCGGCGCCAGTATTCAGCCGTAGGGACCCACCGTATATCCCCCATGGGCAGGCTATAAAATCCCGGAATGGTGATTGCCGGAATGGACTCGTCTCCCCTAGGGTTTTTCATTGGGTTGGACGAAAATTTAAAGTTAACGCGGGGGGGGGGATGAAACGATGGGTTGTCTAGCTGGTAGGGCATTTTTCTGGGGTTTAAAAATTTAGATCAATTGTCGGCTTTTTTATTAAAAAGGTTTTAAAAGTTTTAGGCAAAAATCGGTCATGTAAGTCGATGCTATGTTATGTATTTTAACAACAACTGGGAACTGTAATGTTTAAAAATATTCAACTACAAGCTATAAACAGCATATATCAATTTATACTGAAAAATAGGTATACCAACGACGAAATTTCCGCATGGAACGTCAGGAATTTGCGAAAAAGTTTAATACATTCGTTCCTCTAAAATAGGGTTGTTACGGTCCGGACCGAAAAAGTCGGTCCAGTCCGGTCCAACGGAATTTTTTTTGGACCGTTGGACCGTCTGGACCGCCTGGACCGACTTTTTTTTGGACCGTTGGACCGTCTGGACCGTTTGGACCGACTTTTTTTTGGACCGTTGGACCGTCTGGACCGTTTGGACCGACTTTTTTTTGGACCGTTGGACCGTCTGGACCGTTTGGACCGAAATTGTTTTGGACCGTTGGACCGTCTGGACCGATTGGACCGACTTTTTTTTGGACCGTCGGACCGACTGGACCGATTGGACCGCTTTTTTTTGGACCGGTTGGACCGGCTCGACCGACTCAAGCTATCCATATAAAACATTTACACAACATTTACAAAATTTAATTAGCCACTTAATGAAAAACGGCTACCCCAGTAAAATTTTACTAAATCTATGCAGTAAAGCTATGAAAAAGCACCCAGGGCTCAGCCTAAAATACGATACTAGTGGAAAAAACTTGATGCACAAACTAAAACTAAAACCTATAATACTTCCATAAATATGTTCTTTCCTTCTCATACTTTAATAGTACCAGTTTATTATATTTTCACCTTTTCTTCAATTCTTTACTCTTTCGATTAGTTAGTCTTACAAAACAATCCATCCATTCGGTTACGTTAGCCTACACACCCACACTATCCACACAGCCTGTACGCGACCGAAGGTGGAGATAGAGCTACCTGCTAAATCAAAGAAAATTTCAGAGAAGTGAAACAAATGTAACTAAAACTCATTAAAAAACACAAATTCCTAATAAAATTGAAAATACTTTACTATACAACTCAGAATTTAACCTTTTGAACTAGAAAACATCAGGGATCCAGCTGAGGAGACCCACCCTGATGTTAAATTAGCCTGTCTTGGTTAAGGGTTAAGGTTAATAACTTTGTGCAGAAGCGTTTTCCAAATGTTTTTTTCAACTGAATACGCACGAACTCGTCGGGATACATCGATTCCAGACGATTCCAGACATTTTGAGAACATACCGTAAAGTGAAATTTAGCCGCGGGGGGTGGGGGTTCGGGTGGGGGAAGTCGCCTGCGCAAACAGCAAAGAAGGTCTGGTTTTCTCAGCCATCTCTGCGGCCGCCCCGTTCCCTAACCTAAAAAAAGGGAGCCAGGGGAGCCCAAAAAGGGAACGAGGGAGGGGAGTGGTGCACTCTATAGCTCGCTTACGTCCAGAAGGTGGAAACCGTCGGACCAGTGACATGCCGGACCCTTCAAAAAAGCCGGACTCGTTAGAAAAAAAATCCTGCCATTCAGTCCGACGGTCCAGAAAAAAGTCGGTCCAATCGGTCCAGACGGTCCAACGGTCCAAAATAATTTCGGTCCAAACGGTCCAGACGGTCCAACGGTCCAAAAAAAAGTCGGTCCAGGCGGTCCAGACGGTCCAACGGTCCAAAAAAAAAGTCGGTCCAAACGGTCCAGACGGTCCAACGGTCCAAAAAAAAGTCGGTCCAGTCGGTCCAGTCGGTCCAACGGTCCAAAAAAAAGTCGGTTCAGTCGGTCCAAAAAAAATTTGGACCGGACCGACTTTTTCGGTCCGGACCGTAACAACCCTACTCTAAAAGTTCTCATTACGTCTATTCGAACTTACTGGAAAAGAGCAAATCTGTCATAAACAGATGTCTGCAACAACCTACGATGAATCACGCGAACTACGAACTTACTAACTACACCCAGTAATCCCCCTAAACCTTTTCCTACGTCGTCAAAACAAAATAGCTACGTCAAACATATTTTTTAGATATCCTAGACTAGAAGGTGGGCAAGGAAGGGTTAGAGGCGAGAAAGAAGTATTGTGGCTGCGGAGGAGGGCTTAATTTGGAGGTTGAGGTAAAGGGGAGGTTGAGGCTTCCTCAGGGTGTCCTCTCCCGATTTATGGCCAAAGAAAAGCTTGTGGGCGATGCGAAAAAACATCTTTTGCATCTGGGTAGCTTCTAACCTTAAAATCACAAAAAAAAAACTCTGCGTATGTATCTTATAAAAACGGAAAAACCCCCAAAAAAACGTAAATTCGCAAAGAGCGCACAAAATGAAAACCAGACATAGCTTAATTTTTAGCAATTATAACATCTTTTTAGTGTCTTTGATCTATCGTGATTTATCGATTGTCGCCTTGACTTGACAGCTTTAAAGTAACAAAGCAACTCTCCGGGCTCGTGCTCAACCCAATGAATCGGCACGTGGGTGGACTAGTGAGTGAGGAACTGCCCTCGGGAAGTCAAATGGAATGCTCCCCGGGGACCACCTCCTCAAAATATGTTATTTCTCTTTCATAGAAGAAGCCGGGAGCAGCCAGAAGCATAGCACAGCCAAACCGCACTCACGTTTTTACCGGGAAGTGGAAAGTTGGCAGCGGGGGGGGAATAGGAAAGATTGAAGACTGCTGGGACCGGCGGATCTCACAAATAACTTTCTCATATTCGCGCGTTCCTTTTAGGGGCGAATCATGGGCGAAAGGGCCCTCGTGGGCCACCGGCATCGCATTCTGACCCCCTGCACGACTAACGAGCCAGCACGTCGCGTGGAAATTGGCCAAATTATTATCGGGTTGCCGGTCACATCCTGTTTTTCCAGGGGCATTGCGCAGGAAAATGTTGCGATGTTCCAAGGAGCAAGACAGAATTTTTCTAACGTTAGAAGTATGAGTAAAATCGTATAATGTAATGCAATAGTTTATATTCCGTTTCAAGTCCTCAAATCTTCGAAAGAGGAAATGTGAGTGCTAGAGCTAAAAAATATTTTGTTTTCTAATGCTTTTGCCAATGCCGAAAGAACGCCACGCTGCCTAAAAGTAAAAAATTTTTTAAAGTTGGTTTTACCGCGCCCTAATTCTCGTACAATAGATTACGCCAAAAATGCGCCTAAAAAGACCGCGATGTCTAAAGTTAATTTTAAAATACAAAAACTTCTGAAACCGGAGCCCGCGCCCAAACTTGAGCAAAAAAAACCGTGAAACCCCACCGAATGAAATAAGCCACGGAGAGCCGAACCCCCGGCCGCCTCAATTAAATACCTGGTGTTGATTGTCGTGACATCTGCCCTCTGGTCGCCAGAAGACGCTCCAGAAGTGCAAGAGACGCTTGCAACTCCTCGCCGTCACCAAGACGCCCGGTTCATGATGCGTTAGGGCCAAGCGCTAGTCTATAACTACCTCCGTTCGAATCCGAAAATTTACAATTACAACATTTGAAACAAAACAAATTTCGAACTCGAAAATTTACAATTTTAACATTTGAAAAAACAAAAATTCTTCAAAAATCTTTTATTCGAAGGCTTTTAATGCACAGCAGGGGTGAGAATGGCACGGGCACACGGGTACAGATCGGCGGGGTTATAAGAGAAGAAGATATGGCGGACGTTCTTCATTAATTGTGAGCATCAATTAATGGCGGTCGGGCGAGGTGAGGGCAAGGTGGAGGAGCTGGATCACATCGATTCACCGCTCGAGTCCGGGCGTGCCGAGCCGGCCGTATCCGCGCGGGAGGTCGAGGCGCTGATGCCACGGGGGCGACGGCGGGTGCAGGCCAGGCTAAAACAATTCAAGGGTGAGCGGATCAGAAGCTAGCGCACTGTTTGATCCACATCGGAATGAAGCGGAAGAGGAGGCAGCCAAACAGTCCGGTGGCCAGCCATGAGCGAGATTTCTTGTCAATGTGTTGCTTCCGGTCGACGACGTCCAAATCTGAAGGGGATTGGTACTTTCGCAGTATCGGGGGGTCTTATAGTTTTAATTCTGACCAGCAAGGGTATAGACCACCGGATCACTCCTGGAAGACATGATGTGCATGCTGTGGGTGCTGGAATTTTGAAGATTTCTGCAAAGGGGCTTCGACTGACTGTTCATCCAGGGTGATCGTCTGGAACGTGTCACTTTCCGAGGTGCGCGTCAGAGAACGAGCTTCCTGGAAATGAATAGGTATTGAAATTAAAGCTTGCTTGCTACCACACTGTCCACACTGGTCGTAACGGCCGGACGGATGCCGGCAAAGCCCGTCGACACCTTCGAGTTCCACGAACTGCACGCGTTGGAGTTGACTGAAAAAGCCGAATTCAGCGAGGGCAGAAACATACAGAAAGTGCTGGTGATACTGGGCTGGCTGTTGTAGGGGCTGCAGAAGCCAGTGTCGGACGACAGCCTCTCCGGCCGGGCCATGAAGTCGACTTCGACCGGGTTGGCGGTACGCGTCAGCTCCAAAAAGCATCTACACATTGCGTAGATAAAAATTTACCTCCTCCTGCTGCTCGCCCATCAACGGCGACAAACCGAGATGGTCGGCGCTGGCTTCGCCGCACGATGAGCGGATGGGAATCAGGGCCATTGAGCCTAAAAAATTGGCATGTAGGGAGGGAGGGAGGGAGAGGGAACCGTACGCAACGAGCTCTCCACGATTGCCGGCATCCCGTCATCCTCAAATACAAGCGATTCCGATGAAACAGCAATCTAAACAGATCAAAATACACAATTGGAGGGCTGGGCTGTTAGTGGGGGGGAGGGAGCTATGTCAACTTAGCAAAAAAATTTAGAATTTTACAGTGCGAGATGGCTTAAAGGGCTGCCGACGGCATTTGTCGATCCCCCCATCAACAAATTGGCAAGGAGCCAACAGGTAAAAGAGCGCGCCCTGGGGAGAGGCGCAGAGCCATTTTCTTTCCAGCGCGTAACCGTCCACGGCATCCCTTTAACGTAGTTTTTCGTTACTAAGAGAGAAAAAACCTCCAAAATTAATTAAATTCAACATATTTGGCTCTCAACCAAATTTAGCACCACCGCTAACAGCACAGTCCCGCTGAAAGTACCTGAGAGCCTCCGATCGACAACGGAACCGACGTAGGGGAGCCGGAAAGATCGGGATCGCTCTCCCGCCCGTCGAGCTGCTTCTCCACGTCGTGGGCCGGGCGGTAGAACACTGAAAAAAAACACAAATTGAAATTAGCTTTTTGACGATACCAGAATCATCCAAGGAGCCGGACTCGATGGTGAGGTCGTGGCTCGTGGTGGCGATCTTCGTTGAGAGCAGGGGACCATTTCCAATAGACAGACCATCAAGGAGCGGCAAAGGCCGCTGGACCGTGGCGAATTGATTGTTGGCCGAATCTTTGCTGTAGAAATGGGTTTTGTAGTTTTGAGGATAGCTTACAGTTGTTTTGGGAAATCGGTCAGCACCTCTTCGAGGTCCCATTGGATTGCCGGGCCGGTCAGATGGTTGGCGATCGGTGTAGCCGGGGTGTAGGAAGAGTCTGGAAAGTGATTCAATACCAAAACCGCTTGTTCGGAATCCATTTAACACACTAAATACGTCCAAATTGGAATCAAGTACGAGATCGGAACATTGCTTACTAGAAGGGGAGGGCGTTCCGTGGGGGTGCATGTGATGATTGTGATGGCCGTAATTGTGGTAGTGATGAGCATGGTGAAGAAGATGTGGCGTCTCGGGGCGATCTCCTCCGGCTGCAATGTTCTGTCCGGCCTTCTTGAAGTCATGAAGGCGATGGATCGGGACATCAGTGGACTATCAAAGAAGGTAAAGCCATTGAAAACGGACGAGAATTTACCTTGGTCTCCATAGAATCGACGGGGGTACGGTGGGTGGCATAGTGGTAATGGTGCGGCTCTTCCAAAAGCGACACATCTGAACCCTCGGCTGAAACAAAAAATAATCTAGTTTTCCGCCCAATCCTCCCACATTCTCCATAGAATTCGCGAAACATGTCCGCCACGTCGCTCGGAGCAAGTTTGCGCCCAGCTTCTACCCGCTCTTCGACTTCTAAAAATCGAACAACAATCGTTGAAATAAAAATGAAGCCAACCATGCACACAGCGAAGCGCCGTATTCACCGATGGAGACGTGGAATAGCCGCTGGAGGTGTACTTGTGCTCGTAGTCCAGAACGGCTTTCAACGGATTGCACTTGTTCTAAAGGTAAAAGTAAAATAAAGACCCTCTAAAGAGTAAATATTTCGCAAGTGGGAAGAGAGGGTGGAAAACCCGAATCGTAGTCATGGGATGGATGGCTTGCGATCCCCAGGAGCTGCGGATCGATCTGTTTCTGCGCCGAAAATGCTAATCCAACCGAAGCGCGCGTAAAAAGAGGGGAAAGAAACAATACGCGGCCGCTTTTCATGACCAGAATATCTTTATCAATTACTCCTTAATTCTTCGAAAATTCCGGATCAACCCCCGTACCTTGAGGACATCATTCTGATTGGTGACGTTTCCCTTCTGCAGATCGAAGACGACCGATGGGACGCGAACCTTTGCCACCGGCTCGCCATTCTCACCTAAAATTGTCGGTAAACAAAAATAAATTGAAGCTAACGATAGCATTGGCCGAAGAGGAACATGACCGACATCACCGGGGTCTCGTTCGGCAGGGCCCATGAAGCCTTCAGCGGCGTCGCCTTCTTCAGATGGTGGCCCAGGGCCGTGTACTCGGCCTGTAACAATTGGGTAATCAAATAAAAAGTAAGTAAAATACAAAAAAAAATTAAAAATCGAAAATCCTTTAATTTTCAAACGAAAAACGCAAAAATCGAAAAATTTGAGGTTCTAGTACAGGAAACGACTATCGACAGTCCGTTGCGCTCCGTTCCCTACGCAATACGTTTGTTGAATTGTTACGTCATATAATTTCAGATGTTTCAAATTTTGTTTGTTTCAATCACGTCGCTCTTTTGTTTGGAAAAATATCTGATGCTTACCCGGTTTTAAAACTAAAAAAACTTAAAGGGGCTCAGAAGTCAAAATTAGTGCGTGCGGGGGATTGAACCTACTGGTCAAAGAACGCAAGGTTCACTGCCGAGAAGTGCCAGAAAAGTGATTTAATTGCGAAAAAACGTAAAATATTTGAGAAAATCCGGATTCTTTCTGGGGCGAAAACGACATTTTGAGTGCGCGGCGATTACCTGTCGTAATGCCTTGTAAGACACCCAATCTCTCGATCTCGGCGATTCCCTGGTCAATTTTCATAATTTAAAAGTCTGGAATGATCAAAATTCGGTGAAGATTCCAAAAATAGCGTCAGAATTTTTTAATTCAAGCGTTTTCGCGTCCAAACAGGGGCAAAAGACTAGGCGGCGCGGTCGCGTTGCGGCGGCATCTGGCTATTTGCCAGGAATCACAGCAGGGGGCCGTGGACCAGATTTCGGAGCCCCTTTAAAGGGCTGCCGACGGCATGTGTCGATCCCCCCTCATCAACAAATTGGCACGTAGCCAACAGGGGAGAGAGCGCGCCCAGGGGAGAGGCGCAGAGACATTTTCTTTTCCGCGCGTAACCGATTGACTATGCCGTCGGCATCCCTTTAAAGCGGCTCTGGCAGCACACCGATTACGGCATTTTGGGGACCGGGCAGAGACGCAGAGTTCTGTCTGCGTCTCGCCTCTGGGCGCGCTCTTTCTCTCCCTGCCGCGACGCACCCGACCGCGACGCCTCCACGAATCGTGGAAAAAGGGGCCTGCTGCCCAGAGCCCCTTTAAGCGGTCCCTCGTATAGTGGTCGATTTTTTTGCCTAATTACCTCCTTGTATAGCCCCGATTTCAATTAATTAACGCTACCATCATCGTCATCGCTTTCTTCTTCACAGACGCAGTCATCCGGATCACCGGATAGGCGACCGATTGAAACGGAGTCGCCGTTGGGTTGTCCGAGCGGCTGTTGATGGCTGTTCCCATATCACGACCCCGGGTCACACTCAGGATGCTGCACGGCTCATTCTAAAACTCATTCAGCGTTTTGTAACGTTAAAAACCTCTTCAAGTTGAGAGTCGAGTGGAAGGATTTTACGGGCCGGCGCGAAAGCCCCGATCTCACTGCAGGACCAGACGGCCTGTAGCGGATCTATACTCCGATGATTTAGCTTGGCTTGAACGGCTTACGGTGACCATATGGGCCTTTGACTTGTAGGAGTTGCTCCTGGAGCAGCGGGAAAGTGGCCATCAACGGGTCATCAACCGTGTAGTCATCGGAGAAAGACTCCGGCGGCGAGCTGTTCAGACACAATTCGTTTATATCTAGTCAATGGGGGGTCCACCTGATCGAGGTTTCGATATCTGGAGAAGTAACATCCATATTCGTAAGAAGCGTAGAAAAATGGAATTGTTTTTATTTCGTTCGAGGAGCCGGGGGTTCGGAAGTCTTTCCAGATCATGCTGATAGGCTTCAAATTCAAACTTCCTAAGGAGTTAAAGATGTTAATTTTACTTGTTTTTGGCATCATTTTTGCTTTATTTTCTAGGACTTTTCCATTTCTAGGAGCTGACCCATTGCCCTATCGTTCATCGGCCTTTTGGCTAAGGCTATCGGAAACCCGCTTTGTTTATCGCTTACTCTCCGCCCATCGATTATATTTGCTTTGGGCGGCTCTTTTTCCACGATACTCTCCTGCATTTCCTCAAAATTGGTCTGTCATGTGCGCATGTGGCCTTCAATTTTAGTTTTCCGCTTGGGTTTTTCCGCGGGGATCGCGTTCTCCCTTTTTTTCCACTTCGCCCGCCGCCGTCCCCTCGCAATGGATTATGTTTTGTCGGCCATGCGCCCCTCCGATGCCTTATCTCGGTTCAACCCTTGATTCGGACCACCGGCATGGGTCGTACTGTCTTTTTCAAACCTTTCAAAATCAATGGAGAAAAACTTTTTTTTCAGACTATCAACTAACACAGAAGCCGGCGCTGTCTCGCCGGTCAGTGGTAAGTATTTTTTGGCCGACTTCTTTAATCTAAAAAACAGTCTAAAAATCTAAATTCTGATAGTTTGGAGTCTTTATGAAGTTCTTAGACAGTGATAAAAACCTTGGTTTTTCTTTGACGAATTTCATAGTCTAAAATCAATCAAAATTTTTTAAATTTTCAAAAGGGGAAATTTTTTAGCTGGTCCCTGGCCGTTGTGAGCCACAACTGTCAACCCCTTCACCCCTCTTGCACCCAAGAAACTCGAGAGCTCTGCTCCCCACGAAAAGCACGCTTCCTAGTAGCATGCGTTTTTGGCCCCACGTGCGTTATTTGCTGGCCCTGCCGCTATCGATTCTTTTAAGGCTAACTAGGCCTTTTACATCTAAAAAGAAGATATTGCGACCATTTATTGTTGTCAGAATGAAAACGCTATTTTCAACTTATTTTTCGGTATTTTGCGCAAAAAATATTGATAAAAGCCTGACGCCATAAATATTTTTGTTGACGTTTCAGCTTTTTCTTCTAGAAATGGTATTCCCCGTAGAAAAAATAGAATAGAATAAATTGGATTTGTTGTGGCATTTCTAGCCGTGATTGCTTGAAATTGTCAGCTTTGCTGTGGGAATTTTTTTGGCTTTTTATCGGTGCCATGTGAGGTCCCCCCTCTTTTCGACCCTCCCTTCTTTGCGCCTCGTCCCTCTGCCAAGTCTCTCATTGTTGTTCGGTGGTCACCATTCCAGACCTTTTTCCAGGATGCGCGTCGGAAGTGAATTGCTGTGGAAGGCTCGAAGAGTTTTCTTCTTGGATATCAGGAGGATGGCTTCGCATAAGGTCTATTGTACTTTCGTGGTGCTATTAACTTGGTTTTCAGGTCCTAACGAGCGCTTCCATCAATCCAAATGTGGTCACGATGCAGTATGCAGTTCGGGGACCGATTGTGATTCGGGCTAATGAGCTCGAGAAGGAATTGAAACAGGTACGTTCGTTTAAAAAAAATCAGATTGCCTTGGCCTTCTTTTAGGGAGCGAAGAAGCCATTTACGACCGTGATCAAGGCGAATATCGGTGATGCTCATGCTATGGGACAACGGCCAATCACTTTTATTCGTCAGGTATACTCTTCTAACAGCGTTTGAATATTTCTTAGGTTCTCGCCTGTGTCAGTGACCCTTCGTTGATGGAAGGCGAAGGTCCTCTCTCGTTCCCAGCTGATGTCCTCGATCATGCGCGTGCTATTTTGGAGGATTGCGGTATGCAATTACTTTCTTTTCCGAAATAATCTCTAGGCGGAAAATCTACTGGTGCCTACAGTAACTCAACGGGTGTCGACATTATTCGCAAACATGTGGCTGAATATATCACTGTAAGGAAAATTTGGGTCGTCACAAAAAAATGCTTTAGAAACGCGACGGCGGTATTGCTTGTGATCCCGAAAATGTGATTCTTTCTGGCGGGGCTTCGGAAAGCATTCGAAATGTCCTGAAGATGTTTGTCAATCGGTAAGTCGTATTCCAAAACTTTTAATGCTCCCTAGTGATGCTAAAAAGAAGACTGGTGTGATGATCCCCATCCCGCAGTATCCGCTGTACTCGGCTTCGATCGAGGAATTCAACCTTGGCCAGGTGCTTTTGCTCAATTTTGGTAACGCTAATTCAGGTCGGCTATTTCCTGAATGAAGAGGCTGGCTGGGCTCTTGACGAGAAAGAATTGGAGCGTTCGTTGAAGGAGCACAGCGAGAAGTACGACATCAAAGTCATCTGCGTTATCAACCCTGGAAATCCTACTGGCCAGGTAAGTTCACTCTTCGTTTTAATTCTACCTATTTCCCCAGGTTTTGACGCGTGAGAACATCGAGATGATTATCCGTTTCGCGCAGAAGCACAACCTCTTCGTGTTGGCGGACGAGGTGTACCAGGTGAATTTTAGCGGTTTTGCTTTAATATTTTTTAGGATAACGTTTATGCCGAGGGCTCAAAGTTCCATTCTTTCAAGAAGGTTGTTTCCGAAATGGGCGCACCATATGACAAGTAGGTTATTTTTCTCTTACATTTAGAGGATCTATCAGGATCGAGCTCGCTTCTTTCCATTCCGTTTCGAAGGGTTACATGGGTGAATGTGGGATGCGAGGTATAAATTTTTGTATTTGCACTATAGACTTTCCTAGGTGGCTACGTGGAGTTTATGAATTTGGACCCGGAGGTTTACGTGCTTTTCAAAAAGATGATTTCCGCCAAGCTATGCTCTACCGTCCTTGGCCAGGTAATTTCAGTTTTTGTCTTATAACAGTAATAAATTTTTTTGTTATTTTTTTTACGGATTTTATTTTCAGGCCGTCATCGACACCGTCGTCAACCCACCAAAGCCCGGAGAACCGTCCTACGATCTGTGGAAAAAGGAGCGAGATGCTGTAAGAAGCTCACCATCAATATTGGAACGAGCCTGTTTTTAGGTCTTGGCTTCATTGAAGGAACGCGCGACTCTGGTCCGTGAGGCTTACGGCTCGATCGAGGGTATCACTTGCAACCCAGTACAAGGAGCCATGTATGCCTTCCCGCAAATTCACCTGCCTGAGAAGGCCGTCAAGAAGGCCGAGGTATGCTTATTTCTTTTTTGAAAACCGTGTTTTTTTAGTCCCTCGGACAGAAGCCAGATTTCTTCTACGCAATGCGCCTGCTCGAAGAGGCCGGCATCTGCATTGTCCCCGGATCAGGCTTTGGTCAGAAAGATGGCACCTATCATTTCCGGTTGGTTATTTCATTTTTATTTTTGAAAAAGATCGTAAAATACGTTACAAATTTTTCTTTGTGGTAGAAAATTTATGCAAAAATGGGTTGATATATTTTTTAATTGTAGTTTACTAAGGCTAAAAAAAAACCTGAAAATACGCTAAATTTAATAGGCGAATACCACTACACTTCCAGAATCCGGATTTTATTTGCTTTAGAACCACCATCCTCCCCCAACCCGTGCTAATGAAGGAAATGCTGGCGCGCTTCAAGGAGTTCCACACGAAATTCATGAACGAGTTTAAGTAGGCCCACCCGGATCTTTACCTTCTTGCCGTTTTGCCTGTACGCTCATTGCTTGTGCTTCTTCTGTACCTTATAGAGCAGTCAACCTGTTCCCCCTTCGCTGCCTCTTTGACAATTACGGTGTTTGTAAATGTTCCTTCTTTTATATCCTATCAATTATTTATTAGCACTTACTTTAACTAGGTAGGCCAATAAACTATCCACAATAGATTCCTATACAAACAGCGCCCGTACACTCTCGTAATCTTTCGATTTCCACATGGGGGACAGCAAATTGAGCTCGGAATGTCGTCGCCCTAGCAGATGATTCTTGATCAGTTCCGTCAGGCCGTTCACGACAATTTTCGAGTCGGCCGGCCTAGTTGGTGGTTCGACGAGTTTCAGGCCATCCTAGAACACAATTCCTGAGCGGAAAATTGCAACTCACGATTTTTGCGGTAATGTTGGGTAGAATCGACATCGTGTCAAACGTTGGAAAGAATGCAGTGACGGGCACGACAGCAACGCGCTGCCTGGCGTGAATTGGACCGACCATTTTAGCGCCCTAAAATAGTCTTTAATCTATTTAGAGACTCACTTTAGTCGCAAGCCCATCCTTTTGCCAAACGTCAACATGATCCCACGCATTGTACAAGGCCAAGTCAAAGGGCACGGCAAAGTCCAGCTCGGCCATAATCCGCTCGCACGTTGCCCATACGGCATAACGATAGTAGATGGAATTACATTGTCTCTAAAACAAGGAAAATGAGCAAATATAATGGAAAATACTAAATTAGGTGCAGTGAAGAGAATAGCATCATAGTCGTCCTTGATGGAAGAAAGCTTTTGATGCCATAACTGTAAATGTTATCTAAATGAAAGAAGCTAGAGTTAAAACTTACATTTGTTAGAAAAGGATGATCACTCCATCGGGCCAAGGCTGAGATCTCGAATGAGGCAGTATTGTTAGGAACGATGCGAAGATTACGGGAAGCTGGTTGCCCTTGCTAAAAACAGGATGGAGTATAAAAATTATACGTTACCTTGGGCCCAGCGACCGTTCGAGTCGACAAAAATTTAGACACTTCCTTTAGCAACAACCCGGCACGCGCCGCGTGAAAATGCGGGTAGAGGGGCAGAAAAACGGCTCTTTTTACGTCAGAACTAAACAAAAATTCGGTCATTTCGAAGTTTGCTCACTTGACTAAAGCTTCCAGTTGTGTTTCGAGCGAATGGTCGGTAAGCAAAAAGGCGGGTTCGCATTGAAGAGGTCCAAATTCTGGCACCACCTCGTTGACTGATCCCTGAAAGCAATTTAGGTTCTTTCGCATTATCGGGGAGACTAATTGTCTTTGTTGATGATCCAATTTTTCTAATATTAATAGCGAAAGTGTTTCTAAACGGTTTTTGACCAGCCCTAAACGTAACAATTCTTCAAATTCCTATTAAATAAAGAAACACAAAAAAAATATCGATTTTGGTCAAAATTTAGCCTTTTTTCGAAAACATTTTTAGAGTTCTTAGGTAGTTTTCTAGTTTAAATATAGCTGTATTTACTAAAAACGCTATTAGAACACTCCTTATTAAGTTAATAGACACCAGGGTTGAAAAGCCGCTTCGCGACTTTTCAACCCTGGCCCCGTCCGAGCCCATCGCTTTGCATTGCATAATTCGCCCGATTCTCTATCACCTGTTCGAAACTCATCTGTTCGAAAATCACCTGTTCGAACATCATCCGTTCGAAAAATCATCTGTTCGAAAATCATCTGTTCGAAAAGACATCTGTTCGAAAAATCATTTGTTCGAAAAGTCATCTGTTCGAAAATCATCGGTTCGAAAATCATCTGTTCGAAAAATCACGGTTTGCGAAGCAACAACTTTTCCAAAATTCACGTTTTTTTTTGAAAAGACTTTTTATGACAAAAAACTAAAAAAAACAAAAAGACATATTCATGAAGATTCAGGTTAAAGTTTTGGCGATGTTGTCGAGGAACTAGGCCATATATTCTTTGCTGTAGCTCTCGCAGAGCTGCTGCTGCTCGTCGATGGTCACCCTCGGGCGCTTATTTGGCTTGGCGGAGGATTCGATATAGCCGCGCAATTTCAGATTTTCCTCGAACTTCCCCACGAAACATGCAAAACACAGCATTTTAGTAGCAATAGCTTCCCATAGAATTTTTCCCCATTTGGGACCTTTTTCGAATAGGTGATTTTTCGAACCGATGATTTTCGAACAGATGACTTTTCGAACAGATGATTTTCGAATAGGTGATTTTCGAACAGATGATTTTCGAACGGATGATTTTCGAACAGATGGTTTTCGAACAGATGATTTTCGAACAGGTGATCGGCCACCAATTCGCCCGAATTTCGATGAAAAATAATGAAAAAATGCACTCTCTCCCTTTATATAGGCGGCCGCCACTTCCGGCGTATGCTAATTAATTTCTAACAAAGAGGGTGCCGGATTTTTTAACAAAAACATAATTGTAATGTCGAAAACTACTGATTTTGTAAAATCTGATATGCGTGCAGTCATCTCAAAGCCATTACGCACCTAATGACGTATCATACGTAGCCTAATACCCTTACCCCCTTGAGATATCCTCCGGAAAACCTGACGGAAGTTGCATGCAAAGTGGCACACACACAGACACTATTTTTTTTATATATAGTAGGATTTCCAGAACTGTGCAAAAAAGTAGATCTCACAATAATGCGAAAAAACCGTAAGATTTTTTAAAATAGGATTACCTGAACGCTCTGGCAAAGATTTGTCAGTGTCCCTTCAAGCGACTCGTTCTTCTTGCCGTACAGCTCTAGGGACCGTCTAACTCGATCGTTCACCCGGGTTGTGTTGTTGACAAGCCTGAAAAAGTGCTATGTAAAAAAATACAACGCCCTACTTTTCTGCGAAAGGCGGCACGTCATAATAGAGGTTGTTATATTGTGCCTTGTATTCTTTGGCGTAGAATTCCGACTTGGGTTGGCCAAGGTGCAAGAAGAAGATTTTGGTCACCGGATCTAAAGTAAAAAATAGAAACAGAAAATCCATCTGACCTGTTCGCCTTGCTAGGCCTATTTTGGAGATGAATACCATCGTGTTGCACGTTTATTCAATGCACACCATTACCCGAAGAGGCCTGCAAATGCATTAATTGTTATTAAACAAATAATATCAGCAAGTTTTCTCTAATGAAACGTTTTTTAAAATTAAGAAAAACCCCGCATAACTCCTAAGATAACCCGATCTTTTGCTTTGTGTCAAAACGATTTTTTTCTTTTTATCAAATTTTCAAAAACCCTTTTTTAAGACAATTAGTAAAGTTTATTTGGGCCCTAAAATTACTAATTTAGCCTGTAAAGTATGCGCTGAAATCCTAGATTATTAAATACGATGTATTAAGACATTGTTAGCTGATACTTACTTTTATTATACAAAGCTTAACTAGAAACTACTATTTTCCAGAGCGTCCTACAATTTGAATTGCCTTTTATCCGTTTTACAAAATTTTAAAAAGCTTTTTGCTATAACTTTTTGATGTTGTTTATTTTTTGCGTTACGAACCGCGGCGGGCGACCCGCCTACAAACTACACCCGTCCTTCCTTTTTTCGGCGCCTCGTGCACTCAATAACACTGTTGCTATTCCCCCTTTTTTATTTTGATTTATTCTTGTCCTTTGCCCCTTCCATTAGTCCAATCGTCAAAACCACATCAATCCCATGATAAAACATCGATTTCCAGGTCCAGCGATGTCTCAACCAAGATTCCCGCCAAGCCGCTCGCTCCTCAGCACTTCAACAACTTCTACGCGCTCTGCTTCGCCGAGGGATGGCCCGAAGTCCGTAGATATAGATGGCGGTGTTCGTGGGGGCGAAAAGCCCGCTTTTTCATTAAAACCTGATGCTTATAGTTTGTGCTTGGTCGGTAAGCCAAGCGGATGCGATGCCAGCTGCGGTGCTTTGCAAACTTTGCGCTCATTCCCTTGCCGCGGCAGTCTTCGGGCCTTTATGACCATTGCTTTGACAATATTCGGAAAAAGCTAATTTCTCTGGCCCAGCTGGAGATCTAAAATCAAATCCGACGCCGTGTTTTCTATTTCAAGAATTTCGAAACTGCATCTCTTTGCTGTCCTCGTAAACTTCATCTTTGGCAAGACTTCCAGTTCGAACATACATTCTCACAGGATCTTTTTCTAATTTATATCCTTTCTTTGTGCTTTTCCTTGAAATTGCATAATTTAATCCATGGTTTAAGGGACGGCGCTGACGTTTCGCGGAAGCGGAAGAAGTAAGCATTTGTCGACGTGCCAACTATTGTTTAGTGATGCGGAATGGACGAATTCGGCTGGCGCATCGGACAGTCACAGCTTCAAGCACGAAAGGTAAACACAGCCTATTCCCTAGAAATCCATTTCTAGGACGTTTCAACCGGAGCTTGAAGAATCGTTGGCCAAGGTCGGTAATTTTTCGTTTCCTTTTGATGGTTTTTTTAGAGGAAATATCCGACAGCCGGAAAGAGAGTGTACAATGAGTTGGACGGGGTCGTTAGGAATGTAAGCAATTTCGGCTAAGCAGACAATTTCCGTTCAGGACCTGCCGGATGAAGAAAAGGCAAAATCTGAGGTCGAGCGATTTGGGAAAATTGATGTGCGTAACTCCTTGTATTTTATATGTAGCCCGTTGATAGGCTCTTTGATTTACGCTTATTTTTTGTTTCAGGTTTTCGATCAAGACCACGAGCAGCTGATCGAGCTCCTGAAGGATGTCGCGCTCGTTGACCAGTCGCTCGACAAGTCATTGGCTCGAAAACTGGACATCATGAGGTATTTTTTTGGATTATTCGTCCCAATCCAGTTCTTTTTAGTGATATGAAAAAAATCTATGATCAGGAATACGATGACACGCGGCACTGTTTAAATGAGTTGGAGAAGGTACCTTCCTACGATTCTTTCGCATTAGCGGGGGATGTTTTCTTTGAATCCAATTTTTTTAAATATAAATAGCGCAAGTGTTTCTAAACTGATTTTTTTCGGTTCCAGAAGTGCAGACTTGACAAATTTTTAAAAGTGTTTGTATTTTATAGTTGAGATAGTTTTTTTAATCTTTATTAAAATACTTGCTTTGAAGTTACTAGGCATTTCTAGACTTATACATGAAAATTGCCTCCCCCCATAATGCAAATGACCCCTTTCTATTTATCTTTAGTTCGTCAATTCTCGACCCCCGGGAGTAATGGGCGGAGCCACAGGTAATCTACTCCATAGATACAGATTAACGGCTATCTAGATGAGCAGCGGCGGTACTTCCGAATGGCCCGCATGCGTTTCACTCGTTACGAATCATCGGCTGACAAGTGAGTCCATTGCGGAAATTGCATCATCAGTTTCTTTTAGGAAAACCGCGCTGCCGCTGATGGCATCACTGACACCCAGCTTGGCGGTGACCCCATCTACGCAAGCAATGACGCCGCGACCTCCACCAGCGATGGGACCAGCGTCCCTGGCCACCCCTCCGGCGATGGGACCAGCATCTCTCGCCGTTCCGCCTCCTGCAATGACACGCCCTCCGCCGATTCCGTTTAGTATAGGTACGCAGTAGTTCGAAGCTATTCGGTTTTTGTGTATCCGCAGGGAACCAAGCTTTTCGGTCCGTCCTAAAAATTTTATGAATAACAAGATAGACAGAATTTACATATTTAACTACCAGTTTAATTTTATGGAGAAAAAGTTTTTTTCGTCCCAAAATGGACGTCTTTTTCTACCTTTTTCGAAAGTTTTTTTTTGGGATAAATGTCCCCTCAGTTTAATTTTATCGACATTTCAATATGCCTAAAATCGGAATTTTGAATTGTCGAAAATCCAGCGTCTCGCGCGCCAGAAGTAGTGACGTCGCTGTTGTAATTTCCACTCAAATTAATTCTTCAACTTCCTCATTCGCTACAAGATGAAAAGAAGCCGTTTCCAGTTCCAAGCTTTTCCAGGGCAACGTCCCGCTGTAACGACGGTCTCGATCAGCTCTTCTCGGCCGCTACCCGTCGCGCAACCGCATCAGTTCAACCCCGCTCTGCCCCCTCCCACAGTCACAAGCCAGGCAGGAAGTCCTTTTTATCAACAAAATCCTGGTTTAGATCCCAAAGTTGATCGAACTCAAGGGTTCCCTACCCGGCGCGGCAACCGGCGGCTTGACGGGTTCGGCATCGGTCCCGAATCTGAGGTCTCTGCCCGACTTCTCCAAGCCACCTCCACCAATACCGAACGCAACGGTGGTCAACGTGCCACCTCCGATGCATTCTGTAACGTGAGTCCAACCTTGCGCTTCTAAAAACCTCAATTTCAGAAATGTGTCAAACGTGGTGCCCATCTGGTCTTCTCTGCCTGGGCATGGTAAATTGTTTTCGACTTTCTAAAAGGGTTTTTAGGTTCCGTACCTTCCTTTACCCAAAATGTACCACCGCCTGCTCTTGGAAACGTAAGCCCGTCTTCTGCTAAATTTAAGACCACATTTTAGGGGATGAATCCGATAATCAGAATGTCAGCTTCCGGTGATATGACGCCACAGCCGATGCTCAAATCTGGAGCATTCATGAGTAACTATTTTGTTTTGAGATCAGGAATAAGCGCAGCACTTTCGATTTTGCTTCCGAAATTTTTCCCATGTGTTGATTTATGTATAGAAACAGCATAGAATCTCTTTTATTGGATTTTTTTTGGTAAAAGTTTAGTTATTTTCAGGCGAAACACCATTTCGTAAACTTGCAAGTTGCAACTTTAAAACTTTAGAAATTTGAACTTTTGGCCGAAATTCCTTGTCTAATTTTTCATGGAGTTTGTGTAAAAATTTGCGCTTAGGAAATATTTTTCTCTCTTTATGTTAAAAAAATTCGGATATACCGGCGGAAATTGATGTGGAATTAAGACGTAGGCATTTTGCCATATAGTAACGTCGAAAGACAATTTTCGAAATCGGGATCGCCAAGGTTTTATTGATAAAAATTTCAGGTCTCTCTGGCCGTCCATCATACTGGTCCTAAGCATCCGGCAGCTTCTCCACGCACGTGCTTTTCCACCACAAGAATTTCTATTTTCATGGGCTGAATTGTGATAATTGTTGATCTTCGTCTCTAGTCCCCCCCCCCCGCCCTCTGCTGAGAACAACACTGTGGCTTATCTAGGCATCGATTAGATCAAAGCAGAACTTGGGCGCTCTCTGTGGTGGCAATGGTGGCGTGAGAAGGGCAATATGAAGGGGAGAGTCGCAAGTGTCTGCCAAACATATGCTCATCACATGCGCCCATTATTTATACAGCAGCCGCCGGGTCGCCTTATCCGGCGAAACCATTTTTGCCCATTAGCGGGCGTTCAATGCCTCGCACAGATCAAATCGCTGCGCTATAACCCTTTCTTTTGGTTCTGGTCCGTTCGCGGGGGGAGGGAGATTTAACGGAACCGATTTATCTAGTCTGTCTATACCCAATTAGCAGAATTTTAACGTTTTATATTGTCTTTAGTAGTCTTTAGTAGTAGTGTCACTAAAAAGTTATGGAACCCGTTTATGGAATGTTAAAATGTGAATTTTTTAGAAAAAATTTTTAGAACAAATATCTAAAGACAACAAATTTCGAAAACTTCAAAATGTTTAAATTTTTGATTATTTTGACATTTTTCCCAAATATCAAATTTCTTTTGGAAATTTCTTTAATGAAAGACGGGCAAAACTAGAAAAATGGATCCTTTTCTCGACTGGAACCCTGGATGACGTTAGGCCAAAGGAGCCCCCCCCGCTAACAATCCAGAACCCGTTTTTTCAAACGATCTAGCAGCCCTTTTCGATCTAAAAACTCCAAAATCTAGGGTCCACCCGGCCATGATTGCCTGGCCCATTAGCTTGCCCATCACAACGGTTTGCTATGCGGCCGACGCTACCGTGCCACCAGAGCTAGAATTCCACACTCCGGATAGCCTGGTTCGTTCTGTTCTTTTTTTCGAAATTTCCCCCGCTTTGAATTGTCAATTGTTTTTTTTTGTGTGCCAAACAGTATATTTGTCGATTCCTCCCGTTCTCAACTGGAAATGTTGCTCAAATCGATCTCGTTTTTTTAACCCCCGTGCCCATCCCTCTCCCTTTGTTGCACCGTTTTTATTGCAAGTCCATAGATTTGATAAAGGAGTCCTTTGCCCTTACCATCGCCAACATTTTTTGATGGGTATCTCAACCCTGAGAGAACCGGGCTTGCTTGTCGGCTGATTTCGATGTTTTTTGTATTAGGTGTCTGTTTGTATGTGTGCCTGTCGCGTCCTGGTCCCTCGATTCGTACACACACAAATAAGGTGCATTCAGAAGCGGAGACGGATGGATGAGCTTCTTCTCTCCCAGAATCTACGGTGAGTGTCATGACTTTCTGGGGCGGCGCGTTTGCATTATCGGGGGGCAGCTTTTTCCGTTAGGATCCAATCTCATATAAATGGAGTAGGTGTTTCTAAGCCTTTTTGGACTATTCCTAAACGTGAAAACTTTACAAATGATATTAAAAAAATAAAAACATTATTTTTGACGAAAATGACCGATTTTTGAAAAAATTTGAAATCATTTAAAGTGTTTTCGATAGTTTTTGCACTTGAAGTATAGTTAAAGTGATTAAATACGTGGCTAAAATACTTAATTTTACGTTACAATGCAGTTCTAGACCGATAGAAAATAAAAATTGGTCCCCCCCCGAGATAATGATAAGTCACGCCTTATACTACCGCTGCTTGGAATCCTAGTAAATTTCCAATTTAGGCGAGCACCAAACGGGTCCGGTGACCATCCACCCTCGAAAAGACATGTTGACCTAAAGGAGAAGCCCGGCATACCTTATATGGTATTGCCGAAAGAGCCACGATTCAAGGACCTCGTCCATCCTCGATTTGCTCTCGATATTGGTAAAAGTTCATCGGGATTTGCAAATATTATTTTTAGGTGGTACCCTCTGCAAACTCATCTATACAACCGTGTGCCACGAAAAGGTAAGACAGGCGTTAAATATATTATTAGCCTTTTTTAGGGAAGCGACCGACCAGAGACGTTACTCAACTTCACCAAATTCACCAATCTAGACGACTGCATCAAATTTGTAAAAGAGGTAGGCCGGCCGCTGCTTTTTTGTATCGCCCAATTTAGGAGTGGATCGGTCGCAAGGCGGAAGATACTTTACGATGCACCGGTGGCGGTGCCTTCAAATACTCGGAAAAAATTCACCAGGAACTCGGCGTCAAGTAATCCTGTATTTATTTCGTTGTATATGGTCTTTTAGTGTACACCGGGTCGATGAGATGGAGGCGCTGATCGAAGGGTGTGATTTTTTGCTTAATAATAATGAGGATGAGTCTTTCACGTACGACAATACGGCTGTAGGAATCGAAAAGTAAGTTTCGGCGCTGCAGACTGGATCGATTATTTTTACTACTTAAAACGAAAAATTTAGGTTCCAATACAAACCTATCACTTCCGAGATGGTCTTCCCCTTTCTGCTGGTTAACATTGGGACGGGAATTTCAATCTTAAAGGTGAGGCTTCCGACTGTTTTTGCAATTTCCGAGTAGGTAAACTCGAGATCTTCGTACGAGCGTATTGGCGGTTCCTCGATGGGTGGTGGGACGTTTGTCGGGTTGGGGAATATGCTCACCGGAGCTGGTAAGGGGATTTCCGTTATTTTTATGTAAACTTAAATAGTAGAAATTCACACAAAAAGTTTTTAGGATTTGACGAGTTGCTCCAAATGGCCAGCAGGGGTGACCACAGAAATGTTGACACGCTAGTCGCGGATATTTATGGAGGTATGGGCAAATTATATTGTTTGTATTTTTTGTAGGCTCCTACGACGCGCTGCGACTATCCTCTGACGTGATTGCTGGCTCGTTTGGCAAATGCAACCAGCACGTGCATTCGTCTGGGGTAAATTTTGGACTCAAATTTCTGAAAATCGACGCTTTAGGCGAGCCCCGTCAACAGGGATGATATTGCCAAAAGCCTGCTCCTCATGGTCAGCAATAATATAGGGCAGGTTAGAAAGATTTAGGTTTTACTGAATATCTTGTTTCTCTTCAGATGGCCATGCTCTATGGCAACCGCTACAACGTGAAGCGTATTTATTTTGGCGGGTTCTTCGTCCGAAAGCATGAGATTACGATGCGCACGCTCACCTATGCCGTGGATTTCTGGAGCAAGGTGATCCATTTTCACTTTTTTGCATGTACTTTAATTTTCTGGTGCTTCCCGTTTATTTGAAGCTGTAGCGAACTTATCTGGATTTGCCTATGCCAATTCGATATGATTCCAATGACTTAGGATTAGGAAAACACAGAAGATTATAAATTTGAAGTTTTTACTCATTTTTGACGACTTTTAGGTAGAAAACGACCATTTTGGCGATACTCTTCTTACTTTTCCGTATAGCTAAAAAGGGGTACTATTCTATAAAAACGTAAATAATTATCGCTGGATCCCCAAAAGATCCTAGGAAAATATACAATAAAATTAAAAACTAATAAAATCCTTTTGCCAAGTTTTTATTGTTTTTCCAGTTTAATAGAGTTAAATTTTACCAAAATGGCGACTAAAAGACGTACTATTAAGTTACTAGGCATTTCTAGAAATTTTTCACAAAAAGTGTGGTAGTTCCCCCCGTTAATGCGAAAGCCCCCAATTTTATATTTCGAGAAATCGAAAATGAAAGCAATAGTATTTTTCAGGGAGCCTGTGAAGCGTTCTTCATGAAGCATGAAGGCTATCTCGGAGCCGTCGGGGCATTTGTATCCCAAAGCCAATAGGAATTCACCCCCATCTCGCTGTGAATGGAATGCACTACATTCAAAAGAGCGAGTGAAGTAAACCGCCATTATTTTGCTATTCTGTACCCCCCAACCGTCGGAATTCTGTGATTCTGTCAGCATTCGCGTCTCCACATTGCCAATCTAGTGCTCCGCGTGATTCGATTTTTCACTTGCAATCAAAAGTTATGTGCATTTTTTGTAAAGAATATTCTAGCTATTTTGAATAATAATATTCACAGGTGCATAATCTTCCACCTCTCGTATAAAGTCCAAATGCGAGTTTGACCATGTTCTCCTCTTTGTTAGTCGTTGTCTAGTAAAATTCTGTGTGATATGAATAAAATTAGAAATTATTTGTTGTAACCAAAAAAAAACACACGCGTAACAACGGTTTCCGGGTTATCTGAAGAGGACAACGGGCTGCGGCTATGGACGCGGGTTTGTTAGAGGCTGGCAGCAGTGTATTTCATTGGGTTCAAAGGGGTTCATGCCCCGGTTCCATGAACAACCACAACTTTAGGTTCGACACCGCCGAACTGTCATTCTACTAGGAATATTCCAGCTTGTTGATGTGATGTTTTGCGTACGCAGCGCACTCGCGGGCCCGAGCATACGGCCGTTGAATAGAGTAACTAAAAACACTGCAGATCTATTACCGGAATTTTTAGTTTCTTGCCAAGAACTTCGTGCCCCAGCAAGCAACGCGGTTTCGGCACACTATTAATCAAACATCCGGTCTATTAAGGAAAAATGTAAGCTTTTTGAGCTTTAGTGGATCACTCCAGTTTAGAAATTCTTAATACAACCGTTTATACGAACATGCTTCCATCCGGGCGCTGGAACACAAGCGCCGATCCAGGTTTGGAATTACGAGTTTTTATGAGTTTTCGGAACTTTCAGAGTGCAGCAAATGTTAGTGGATGGGAAGTGGTGAAGCGGTTGCTCCGATTTGTGTGGCCAAAGGGAAACGCGCCGATACGGAAGCGTGTGGTCATCGCCATGGGATTGTTAATAATAGCAAAGGTATGGGAATATTCACCCCTTAACAAAAATGATTCAGCTGGCGAATGTAGCTGTGCCGTTCCTCTACAAGGACATTGTCAACTACTACAACGATAAATCCCCAGAATTCATGAAGCTTCGTTTTGATACGTCAGCACATGCGGTGCTCACGGTTGGAATGTGTATAATCGTTGCCTGTAAGTTTCTGCGAACTCGGGATTCTGTTTTATTAGCTTATCGTTATAACAGTAAAGTTTAGATGGTCTAGCAAGAGCGTCGTCGGCATTGATGAACGAATTGAGGAATGCGGTGTGTTTTTCGTTAGTTCGCGGTATCTTATTAATTTAGGTATTCGCCCGAGTCGCGCAGCATGCCACCCGCAAGATTGCGCACGACATTTTTCTCCACCTCCACTCTCTCGACCTGTCATTTCATTTGAATCGCCAGACTGGAGCTCTTTCAAAGGCCATTGGTAATTTTGTCATTATTTCCTGAAGTTCTTGTGTAGATCGAGGCACCCGGGGTATGGCCTTCGTGATGAGCGCATTGATCTTCAACGTCTTCCCTACGATTGTTGAATTAGGAATGGTAAATTCTGACTCATATATTTAAAATTGAAAATTTAGGTATCCGCAATATTTGCAACAACCCTGGGATCCGAGTTCGCATACGCTACGATGGGTTGCGTCGGAATGTACGGTGTCGCGACGCTTGGAATCACAAGGTAAAAAAAGATTGCCGCCTTAGAATACGGTTTTTAGATGGCGAACAAAATTCCGCCACGAGATGAATCAGGCCGATAACGATGCAGGGAATAAAGCTGTCGACTCGCTGATCAACTATGAAACTGTTAAGGTAGGTTTTGACTAGTTCAGTTTTTACGAAATATTTAGTATTTCAACAACGAGAAGTTCGAGGCAGCGCGATATGATCATTTCTTGCAAAAATATCAGGAAGCTTCGCTGAAGGTATTTTTACTCTGCTTTTTGTAGGCTTTATTTCTAGACAACAACGTCGCTGGCTTTCCTCAATTTTACGCAGAATGCCATCTTTTCGACAGGCCTTGTGGGAATCATGGCCCTTGCAGCGAATGGAATTCAAAATGGTGGGTGTTTAGCCAGAATTTTGACCCCAACTTTTTTAGGAACTCTAACCGTCGGAGATCTCGTTTTGGCCAACACGCTGCTCTTCCAGCTATCGATTCCCCTGAACTTCTTGGGTTGGTCATTGTTCGGAAAGCTTTATTAAAATCTTGTCAGGCTCTGTATACCGAGAAATTCGTCAAGGACTGGTGGATATGAACACAATGTTTGGCCTGCTAAATCTGAAAAGCAAGATTGTTGACGACCCGAATGCCAAGAACTTGGATATTACAAAGGTTCTTTTTATCTTATGCTAATCAAAAAATTTAGGAGGCCATCGCGATGTCGTTCAAAGATGTTCACTTCGAATATATTCCCGGTCAGCATATCCTGCAGGGGCTGAATCTGGATATTCCGGAGGGCAAGAAGGTCGCTGTGGTTGGAGGCTCCGGATCAGGGTAAAAAATTTGCTTTTGAAACCCTTGCGCAAATTTCTGGAAAAATTTCAAAAACCTGTTCTAGCAAGTCAACGATTGTCCGCTTAATCTACCGGCTCTACGACGTAGATTCTGGACAGATCACCATCGAAAACGAAAGCTTGAAGAAGGTATGCTCTTTTTTTAATTCTGAGATTTCACCTCCTAGGTGTCGTTGACGTCCCTTCGTGATCAAATTTCGATCGTGCCCCAGGACTGTGTGCTATTCCACGACACAATTTACTACAACTTGGCCTATGGCAACCCGGAAGCGAGTAGAGAGGAGGTAGATTAGCATTTCTCGATCACGTTATATTTGCTTTAGGTGATCAACGCAGCGAAAATGGCCGACTTGCATGAGAGCGTTTTGCGGATGCCGAATGGGTGCATTTCAGGCTCATTTTTACTGGTTTTTCTGAAGGAGTAGAACGAATCTTTACCGTATTTTATCTGATATTTTCCGAGATATTCTTATGAATTTTTGGGGGCTGTCACGGCTTATTTTTCGATAACATTGATCTCGGTTTTTAGCTATGAAACGCTGGTCGGTGAACGTGGCCTGAAACTTTCCGGCGGTGAAAAGCAACGCGTCGCCATCGCTAGAGCCATTCTAAAGGTTTTAACCATATTTTTTTTCCAAATCTTGCTTTAGAACGCGCCACTTGTGGTATATGACGAGGCGACCTCTTCCCTGGATGCGATCACCGAATCGAACATCATGTCCGCCCTCCGATCGGCCGTCAAGCAGAGGACGACGTTGTTCATTGCACACCGGTAAAAAAACACTTATTTTGGTAAAAAAATCAAAATTTAGACTGGCAACAATTGTGGATGCCGACATCATCTACGTGCTGAAGGATGGACGAGTGGCCGAACAGGGCACACATCAGGTTTTTCTTAAAATTTTTGGTTTTTGTTTGGGGGATTTTTCTCGAAGCATAATAGCTTCGAAAATCACATTTTTGAAATTTGATTTGAAAATTAATTTGGAAAATTTCTTTTGCTAGTTCTTGCCCTCATGGTTAGCTGAACGCCTATTTGTAAAATCCATTTGTAAAACCTGGTTTTTAAGTGATTTTCAAAATACAGCTTTTTGACAATATAGCTTTCGAAAAAGTGATTTTTCTGGAAATCTATCATTTTCGAAATGCATATATCAGTCATTTATTTTTAATGTTTCTAGCAACTACTGCTGAATCCTGACTCACTCTACTCTGAACTGTGGAAATCACAGAATCGCGGTGTCGACGCGGAGGTGAAGAAGATCAAGAAGGTCGAAGATGAGCTCGAGGTAAAAATTATTCCTTTTGGACTGACCTGGCGGGTGAAAAGCGTCTTTAGCTCAATTTGCACCCTGGCCACGGGCACTCTGGATGTTCGCGTTGCTAGGGAACCTGTAAGGAAGCAGAGAGAGAAATACTGATCCCATGCACCGTTGTATTCTGATAATGTGCATGGGTATTTTGTCACTAATACACGCAAAATGTTTTTTTTTCATTATTGGTGGGTAAAGCCGGATTTTTCTCTTGCGGTTCCTCTATTTTGAATCCAAATAGGTCTTGAAAACCTCCTTCTTTTCAAAGATGACTAAAAGCTGACAAATAACTGTGAAAACTACTGTATTTAAAAAAAAACAAATAACGGTTTGCCTGAAAATGATAAATTTTTGCAAAGAATTCCAAATTTTTAAAATGACGCATTTTTCTTTGCGATTTTCTAATTGATGTTTGAAAGTTTTCCCTTCGAAAATTAGTAATTTTACTAAAAAAACACAAGAAAAACACTATCATCAATTGAAAAAAAATTGATTTCCCCCATCGATAGGGAGAAAGGACGCGCAAAATTTGTATAAATTGTCCGAAAAACCTTAAAATATTCGATGAATTATTTTTTCAGGTGAACCCGCTGCTGATCCTGGAAGATCCGAAATGCTGCGGCAACAGCTCGTGCAGCAGCAAATAGGGTGTTTCGACGCCAAAAAAGCCCTTATTCGATTCGGGTTCTCGTTAGTGCTACACTGTACTTCTCCTCATCATCATCATCAGCAGCAGAACGATTCGTTTTTGTATTAGATTGTCAATGTGATAGTGCCCTCTTACTTGTTGTGATTGTTATACAGAGAACAGAATTATACCCCCACCATCCCCCCTCCACCCCCCAGAAGCCAGAGATTCCACCCTGCCCGTCCACCTGGAAATTAGGAGCCCTTATTTTGTAGCGCCCCTCACTTTGTTATCATATATAGCATTTTCATTTTATTCGATAGGTTATGCGAATTTGCCTTATACCCCTACCAAATTGGCGTGTACGATCAGAGCTCAATAAAGATTTTATTTGCCCTTTTTGGTTGATTTCCCGATGCCGTTTTCGACGGTTTCATATTTTTTTTTTGCTCCGTGCAGCGTAAAACAAAATTTCATAGATTTTCCGTTCTTTTGCGTTATCGGGGGGATCTGCCGTAATTTCCATTAAAAAAATTTGGTCGATACGTTCTTTTTGGTAAATACGTTTTTTACGTTGAAAAATAGTAAAAAAGAACGCAGAAAAACTTCCTATACTTTGTTATCAAAATTGATCCCTAACGAAAAAGTTGCCCCCCCCCCCCCCCCCCCGATAATACGAAAGCACCGGAGTTTCTACTTTTGTTTTGATAATGCTCAATTCCTTGTTTAGATACGACTATGATTGGTGAATTGGTATGTTGTCAAGCTCCTTTTTTAGTTTGGGCGTACCCGGGAGTGTTTTAAAGGGATGTGTTTGGCGTTATCTTGCAAAGTTAAAAAACAACGCCAATCTATCCCTATAAACCTTCGCGGTGTCTCTCCAGTTATTTCCTGGCCCCTACGTCCTTCGCTCATTCCTCCACAATTTCCCCCGCTCCGTCTGTCGCGCCTACACCGCTCTTCTGAATTCTGCACCGCTTCAGTACGCCGGCACCTTTATAAGTTTCCTTTCAGATGTCCGGCTGTTTGGACTCGATCCAGTGCAACTGCAACTTTGATCTCGAGGGCAAGCGCAATGCTGTCGCTTCCGTAGCGGCCTCCGCTCTCTTCTTTTCCGCATGGTTTGTAGCTTTCAAATCTAAAAATTCAGATATTTAGGTGGCTCGTCGTCGATACAGCCGCCGTTTACAGCAAGCTCGACTGGAACAACGTCTACTTCCTAATCACGATCGCGTCGTCGATAGCGATGTTCATGGCAGGGTTTTGAGTAGTTTCGAGGACTAAAGCTTTATAATCGTTCTTCTAATTAAAAATTTAGCAGATTTTGGCACTGGACTGTTGGCAGGGGGGGGCTATCAGGGGAAAAGTTATTTTCGCTGGTAATTTTCTACGATTCTAGAACAAAATATAACCCATTTTTTTATAGCATTTTACGAGTTTTCAGATATAAAATGCTCATAAATGCTTATAAAAACCCATGAAAATTTTTGTCTTTTTGGTAATCAGTGAATGAATAAAAAACTGACTAAAAAAGGTCAAGATTTGCGAATTTTCAGAAATCTTTAAAACAGCAATTTTAATTTCCGGAACATGGGTGGAAACGATTTTACGCCATTTAGGTGAACGCCGTGTCGAATAGTCAAGTCCGCGGCGAAGCGCTAAACGAGGGCCTTCTTGGAACACGAGGTTCATCTATTCCTTTATTCCTTCACTATCTTTAGGCTCTCGTCTCTGGCTAATGGCCGCCTTCGTCCTGTCGTTCTCGGCCCTGGTGGCCGCCACGTGGATCTTGTTCTCTGATTATGTACTTCGACAAGGAGATCATCCGGTAGATCCTATTTTGCCAACCAGCTTATTTTCTGTATAGGTCTGGCCCGGAGTGGCTCTCTTCGTCCACAACTTCATGATCTTTGCCGCATCTCTCGTCTACAAATTTGGGCGCACCGAGGAGCTTTGGCATTAAATAGCCCCCCAAAAACATTCTCAAAGTTGTACTTACCCACCTTGACCATGTTTCATGCTGTATTTTTAACTTATTTTCGCAGCACTCCAATCTCTCTCCCCCTCGCGTGTACTTTTTCGTCGGCTTTTATGGTGCGTGCTTCAATAAAACGTTATTTATCAAAGTGTCGTTCCATTCGCTTGTATTTTCCCTTAAAAGTATCTAAACGTAATTTGTCGCGGTCTTTTCTATAAATTGCCTCAGCTGCCACGCTGTCCTGCCTCGTACGGTCTGCTCCGCCGGCAGCACGACGGGCCCTCCAGACCGTCCTCCCTCGCTTCATAACATCTGGTGGGTGCCTTACAAGCTAGCGAGCTTGTTAAGAAACTGTTTATAATTTTCTATTTAATTTCTACCCTAGCTTTTTCCTGACATAGTAGAATTCAATTTAATAGTTCATCATTTCTTCAAATACCGCTGACAATGAGTCAGCGCTCGAAAATATTTTCGAGCGGCTTTAGTAAAAAATGGTCTTATATCTCTCCAAACCACCAAGCGCCTCCGCCATTTCCCCCGATCCACCTGTTAGTCAGCCAAAGCGGGGGGGGATTTGCGTGCGAGCTTATCGTTGATGCCCCTCCCCTGCCCACACGGCTTCGGATAATTACATCGGAGATTCACCCACCAAATCCTCGTTTCCATGGGGATGTCCCCGTCTGAGCTTCCAAGATCCTCTTTAGCGTCACGCTCAACGCCTTGGGATGCTGCTTTAAAAGATGGGGCTGGGTGTGCCATATACGTGGGCTCGGGCCGGCGGCTGCCCGGGGGACTGTTCTAGATGCCAGCTGGACCAACGGGTATCGGCCTGCGTCTATTGCCTGACCTCCGGTGACCCCAACCCACGCGCTCTATCGATGCTCCCCATCCAGCAAACACTATTACCGCTTGGGGACAGTCTGCTGCTTTAGTGGCATTGTTTTCTTTTACATCTTTTCAGCAATGGACACGCGGTTCTAAAAAATCACGGAAACTTTAAACTTTATAAACATCTGAATCCATGCAAGAGCTTTCTAGTCTATCCCCAAGCTAAATTCTTGGCGGTTTATAGGTTTTTATATTAGTCTTTAATTGCTAAACGTCATAAAAACCGTCTTAGAAAGGAAGAAAAAAAGTTTTATGTTTTAGAAAACACATTTTTGAACATTTTTACAATTTTTAGCAAAAAATTTATTGAAAAACGACGTTACGTCTTTTTTAAAGCTTCCTTCTATCCTTCCTCCACCAAATCTCGAGATTTCCATGGGCCGCCGGCGGTCGATTTTTTTGCCACGATTCACTGAATAAGACCCCCTCCCATTCAGCCACCTTTTGTTATGTCTCTGATCGTTTTTGCGTTATCACAACATGGGGGGCGGCACCGGATTAAGCCGCGTTCCACAATTTTTCCAGAAAACTTGGATTTTATTGACTTGCGGGAACCAATTTCTTCTAAAGTTACGTTTTGCAGAAGCGAGCACTGGAGGAGCCATGCCATCACGTCCGCTAGTCTTGTCGGGGCCATCGGGCGGCGGGAAATCGACCATCTTGACGCGCGCCATGCAGGAATTCCCGAAGAGCTTCGCCTTTTCCGTCTCGCGTAAGCTTTACGAAAATTGCGGTTTATCCGGGGTGGTAACCAATTTTGTCCTATGAAACCGTGGGGTTTTTTTATTTAATAAATAAACGAAATTTGGATTTTTTTGTAGACTTTTATGCATTTTTTCACTTTTTGTCTCGCTAAATGTAACGCCTTTACGCTGATGTTTTAGATACCACCCGGAAACCGCGCGATGGGGAACAGCACGGGATTCATTACTGGTTCACGGAAAGGTCAGCTTTTTTGCCAGCTAAAAATTTATATTTTAGAGAAGTGATGGAGAAGATGGTTGCAAACAATGAATTCCTAGAGCATGCCCAATTTGGCGGGAATATTTACGGGACAAGGTATTTCCTGTCTTTTTTCCGCTAAATGTTTTTTTAGCCGTGCCCAGGTCGAATCGATCGAGCGGACCGGCAAAATTTGTGTACTTGACATAGAGCTTCAGGTTGGTGCTCCTTTTTGAAATAAAAAGTATGTTTAGGGGGTTCGAAATATTAAAAACTCACATCTCGACGCGAAGTACATCTTGATCAAGGCGCCCAGCATCAAAATCTTGGTAGTTTTAAGATTTTGATTCTTACAAATTTTTGCTTTCAGGAGGAACGATTGCGAGCACGTGGGACGGAAACGGAAGAATCGCTGAAGAAACGGCTTCGACATGCGGAGGAGGACACCAGAGCAGGTTAGGAAACGTCTCCTTTGCTGAAAAAGGAGTACTGGTTCGTTAGCGGGGGGAAACATGACTATTTTACAGTATTTTTATCGGATGATCAAAAGTTGATAAAAAAACCTTCAAAGGATATGAAATTCATTTCCGTGTATCAAAACCATTTTCGTACATTTTCTAGCAAAAAAAACAAAATTGTCGGCAATTTTAAGAAGATTTTCAATTAAAAATGATCTTTTTAAATTTAAAACTAACACGACCAGAGCTTTTTCCCACTTCTAGGCTTTTATAACAAATTTTCAATTATTTCCAATTCTACTAAACCAGATGGTTACAGTCGCTTCGCGACTGCAACCATCTGGCCTTCGGGCTACCCTACATGTCCCACTCCACCACATCCTTTCCCACCTCCATCAATACCCCCGATAGCCGAAATCCCCTTCAAAAACCACCTTAATACTTTCCCGATCGCTGCAGATACCCCCCATGGCTGAAATCCCCTTCAAAAACTACCTAAATACCTTCCCGATAGCTTCAGATACCCCCCATGGCTGAAATCCCCTTCAAAAACTACCTAAATACCTTCCTGATGGCTTCAGATACCCCCCATGGCTGAAATCCCCTTCAAAAACTACTTAGATACGTTCCTGATGGCTTCAGATACCCCCCATGGCTGAAATCCCCTTCAAAAACTACCTAAATACCTTCCCGATAGCTGCAGATACCCCCCATGGCAGAATTCCCCTTCAAAAACAAAAATAACGACCGACCGGATGGAATGAGAGAAAAAGAATGAAATCCCCCGTGAAAATTTTCATCCACGAAACGCGCGCGACCTGGCTCACTATGTCCAAAATCACCCCAACCCCCTTCCCCCACCCCTTTTACTAAGGAAAAAACTTTCAAAGTTAATTTTAATAATTTAAACTAAAACTTTTTCTTAATTTTTTTATCAGTTTGGGGGTTTCTGACCACGCTCTATCCGAATCCGAAGAGAGCTAAGCTCTAGCTCCTTTCCCCTTCGAGTTGAATTCGGCTTCAGACGGACGGACGGACAGACGGAGACCACAGCAAAATTATTATAGTTGATACCCAATTATTTTAGTGGAAGCCGACCCATCGCTTTTCGACTATATTATCGTCAACGACGACCTCGAATCGGCCTACCGCCAATTCATCAACGCCATCAAGGAGGACATCCAAGCGACGCAGAACATTGCCACAAACTCGGCCTAAGATTTGCATTATCATCATCCTTGTGTTTGTTTGATCGTGTTTGATTGTAGTCAGACAGCTATGTGCAATTTGAATATGTCGCGCGTGATTTGGTTCCCCCGTTTTGGCCCTCCCCACCACCACTCGTTCGCATTTATAATGTGCAAGCCATTCCTACCTGTTTCTTGACCGGATACAAAGGAATAAATGTTTTTGGTAGTGCATGTCAATTCTCAGCAATGTAGATGGAAGCATAGGTTATCCGTCGTTCGGTTTGGAGGACAATTAAAGGGCGAGAGAAGTTCTTTTGCATATAAATCGGTAGAAAAATTCAATCGGTTGAATGGAAAATATTTATTTCGTATTAGCGGCCTGTTCTAAACTGTTTCTTTCTTATAAGCAACCTTGAAAATTACAGATTTCGGCCAAAACTGGACGAATTCGACCAAAATCTTCAAATTTTAAAATGCGAAATAATAATTCACTTGAAATATAGCTAAATTGATCGAAAACAGTATTAGCAGGCTCCATATATGATATTACCGGTCGTATAGGAAAACTTCGCGCTATTATCCATAGATTTCTTCTTTCTTTCTTTTATCTGTCTTTTCTTAATCTCTTCTTTTATCATGTCTTTTAATGTTATAGAAATGGCGGCTTCATCTCGACTTCCTCCTCTACCAGCCCTCCGTGATTTCATACACCTCTACAAGTTGCGAGCCAAGAAAGTCCTTTCTCAAAATTACCTGATGGACATGAATTTGACGAAGAAGGTGAGGTAGCTATTTCTTTCCAACTGTTGGTTTTTTTAGATCGTAAGATTGGCCGGGGTTAGAAGTGGAGATTGGGTCTGCGAGGTATGGACAGGGAATTTCCGGACTTTGCTTTTAGGTGGGACCTGGACCTGGTGGTATAACACGGGCCATCCTTGACGCTGGTGTCGATCGTTGCGATGTTGTTGAAATTGATCAGCGCATGATCCCGGCTCTTCGGGTGAGCGCTCTTAAAGTTTCTGTTTAAAATCTGTGGCACGGCATTTTTCGTATAGGTCTAGAAATGTCTAGTGGCTGAAACGGAAAGCTTTGTCCGTATTTTTAGTAGAATCTAACTTTGCATCTATAAAAACTTTTAAAATCAATTTTAAATCGAAATTTAGTGGAAAATGTCCAAACGGTATTTTTTATAAAAAGTTGTAAAGCTTTCACGTTTAGAAAAAGTGAAAAATAATTAAGAAACACTTTCGATATTTATCTTAGAAAATTTGGATCCTAAGAAAAGAAATCGTTCCCCCTTCCGATAATGTGAATGAAAGCTTATTCAGCACGTAGCGGAAGCAGCACCAGGGCGTCTACATATAACTCGCGGAGATGTGCTGAAAACAGAGATTGGCGGGATGTGGGAGGAAGCGGGGTTCGTTTCGAATTTACCGAAAACCGAATGTCTTTTTTTCTGTTTTAGCGTTTCTTCGAAACATTCTATTTAGTTTTTCCGGCGCCACTGCATGGTCGGACGAGCCACCAAGGGCGCATATTGTTGGAAATCTCCCGTTTAACATCGCAACGCCTTTGATAATCAAGTTGGCTCAATTCTCCGGGTCTAACTGATATGATAGGTTTCTACGGGATATGTCCTACAGACGTGGCCCCTGGAAGTACGGTAGAGTACCATTGACGTTGACGTTCCAGTCAGAAGTTTGTTTTATTCATAGAGATTTGATTCGGATCAAAAGACTAGAATTTTGATAAATTTTTGTTCCTTTCAGGTTGCGCAAAGAATCATATCCCCAATCGACTGCGAGGCTCGATCCCGGATCTCAATTATGTCCCAATACGTGGCCGAGCCCAAGCTGTTATTTACGATATCAGGTGGTCCTTAAATGAATCCGGGAAATTTGTTTAGGCAAATGCTTCGTGCCGCCGCCAAAAGTCGACGTTGGCGTTGTTCGATTTACGCCCCGGGCCGTACCGCTGATTGGTGTGGCTTTTGAGGTAGATCTGATCAGAATTTTTTTTATTAATTTTTAGGTCATCGAGAAAGTGGCCCGTCAAGTATTCCACTATCGGCAGAAATATGTTTTGAAGGTTTTCCATTTACATTTTTCCTAATTTTTTAGGGCCTAAAAACCTTATACCCGGAGGAAATTGCAGAGGAGATGGCGCATGAAGTTTTGAAAGAAACGAGGTATTGTTGCTTGTATTTTGCTGCACCGTTTTCTTTAGAATAGACCCGCGTACTACTTCGATTAAATTGGGTATTGAGCAGTACGGGCATATGGCTGAGGTGTACGAGCGGCAATGTTTGAGGTAATCGTGGAATTTTTAACCAGTGTTTTTACTATTAAACGTAGGCGCTTTATAAATGTTTAAAATTCGTAAATTAGAGATTTTTCGTTTCTAGGTTTTTTAGATAGTTTTTCCATGCAAATTTAGCCAGATTTTACTCAAGGCATTATTAAAACACATACAATATCGATCCTATCTATATCTGAACTTCCAAAAAAAGCTTGGGTTCTTTCGAAGATCCGTAAAAATTAGAAAACCATTCCTTGCTAGCATGCCGGGCCTCTTCCCCTACGACTATGTGAAGCCGCATTTGACTGTGGAAAGCCTGGCGCAAACCGAAAAGGCGCTACCGCCACGCCAGCCCTTCATAACTCAACTTCCCGCCGAGGGGATCTCCCTGAAGAATTTCGGATTGATCTCATGATGTTTTGGTGCTTTTAGACTGTAGATGTTTGGATAAAGACTTTCTAACATTCGATTTTTATTTTTTCTTCGATTTTTCAACACCTAGAAATTGACGGCACGTCAATGGCTTGTATCAATTACCGGGTCGGTTGTATGAGGTGTGATCTCTAGCGGGTCAGCGGCTTGCTTGAGAGGCTTGAGACCGAAGTGGGGCCGAAGAAAAATTGGCCGGGCAGTGGTCGGAGGCGGGGGGAGGAAGAACAGCCGTCTAGCTCGCCGGGCTAGCCCTCGTTTTTTCTTTTTGCAATTCGACACTTTGAGCCGGCGGCTATCCGGGGGCAAAACATTGGCTATCAATTTCATTTGAAACGGTTTTGTTGTTTTTGGAGCTGTACAAAAGTTATAACTGTTTTGGGAGCATTTTTATTTGAAGAACAATTTAAACACGTTGCTAAAAGCTTTTCTGTCATAATGTTTTATAGGATGATTTTTAGGGGGTTCTTTCATAAAATCTGAAGCGAACCAGCTTTTTTCCTCTATTTTTTGACAAATAAATAGCTGAAACGTTTTTAAATTGCTTTTTTTACCATTGCCCTGGCATAAAGATTTTCCGAATTTTTAATAAAAATTACAAAATTCCCCCACCGATATTGCCAAAGCAAAGATAACTTTAAACTATTTTCTCATTTCATAGGTTTAGAGCAAGTCTTAGAATGAAATGAAAGAGAGATGGAAAAAGAAATGTCACCCAAAAACCCGTTAAAAATACGATCACTACCCCCCTCGACCACGAAAAAGCCCATCCATCAAGCGAGCGGTGTTCGTCTGTTGCTTTTTCCATCCCTCCCGCCCGTGTCAACCCCCCAGTTTTTCCGCTTTTTGTGATCGGGACCCCGCGACCGAGCGGAAAGACTGAATGGGCCACTAATTAAGCTTTATCGTCGTCTCACCAAAACAAAACCGGGCCCCCATCCACTGATCAACATTTCCCGGGGATTGAATGGGTGGGTACTGCAGCTTTGTAGCTTTATCCGATCGCTAGCTCTAGACAGTCTTCTGAAATCATAAGTGCTAATTAGGACAAGGAAATTCGTTTTGTAGATAAAAATGCGGCTAAAACTGGTCCGGAAAAGTCGGAAACAAATTAAAATCCGTTTTAACGCACTTTTTTTGTTATTTATAGCAAACCTGGATTTTTGCGGTCTTAAAGCGTCTTTACTAGGCACCTTTGGTCGAGTCTGTCGTTTCAAAGTTGGAATGCTTTTGAAAAGAGGTTTAAAACGTATAACACATTTTTACGCCCACCCAACCCCTGGCCCAATCGGAGCGCTCCCGCTTTTGACCGACGCAACCCGGGTTCGACACCCACCGGATGCAAAACTTTTTGGTTCTTGCTTAAAAGTGGGACATTTTCCGTTCTTTTGCATATCTTTTTTGCAAGTTTCCGCTTGTCGCTGGCTTCTTCACGCCAAAAAAGCGTCTTCTCCCGAGAAACAACAAAAAACACAGCTGATTTTGGCGAGTTTTTGGAGTGGGCGGAGCTAACACGAAGAGGGGCACGGCAGAAAACTAATTACCCCAAGGAGGCATTTTATGACTCAAGGCAGGCATAATGATAGTTAGGGCGAGAGAGAGAGAGACAAAGAGAGAGAGAGAGAGAGACCGTGCTTCTTCGTGATGCTTTTTGATGGGTTTTGAGGGGTTATTTCGTGTGGTTGGTGTTGTGTCGCGTAATGGATTGTCGTGGAATCTGGTGGGGGCTTCTTTTGCTTCAGATCTAGGCAAGGAGGGGGGCTGAGAGGCCATTCCATGCTAATGGATCACCAAACACTGATCGCAAGCATCGGCTGGGGAGATGGGCGCACGACAGATTGGGTTGAGTTCTGGATGGATCAGCGGTTCTTACTTTTATATTGCCCCTTTATTTGTTTGTATTCAAGTCGATGACTCGGTCCCGACGATTTTTGTATAGTTCCTTGGCCAAAAATGGATCCTGAACCTGGAATTTTGCCAAAATTCTAGGTTGTTGTAATTTACGAAGTGCTCTATGCTAGTCCTCCCTTCGAAACTACAATTTCCTACATGATCACTGCTAGCTTGCCATTTCTTGGATGCGTTCGTTAGTCTTCTTTTAAATGGGTTTTTACACAGGTAAATCACACCTTCTTTTTAAAGTAGCTTTTTTGTGTGATTTCTCAAATGTTCTCTGCTAGTATGCCCTTGAAAGCAATATTTTTGCTTTGATTGCGTTTTCGAAGTGATCACTGTTAGCTGGACATGTTTCATCGACATTTTCTACATCTGTTTGAACTACTAATTTCCAGGTTTTCGTCACCCGCGGTTTTTTAGCTGATTTCACAAATGGTTTCTGCTAGTATGCCCGAGAATACCGGCATTTCCTTGAGCTTTTCTAAGCTTTAGAATTTTTTTGTAATTCTCACTGCTTGCTGAAAAAAAAATGAAAAATGAATAAATTGGCATTTTTCGGGTGATGTTTGAGATGTCTAATCGTGGCTTCTTCATGGCTCCTCAGTCCCAGCTTCTCCCCTCTCCCGTCCCTTCGAAATTTGCATAGCTCGAAGTGGGGGTGGGGGTGGGTGGCCAGCCTCTATTTGTTTTCGGGGTTCGCGGCGGTTTCTTTGAATTTTGGGTCTCGCTCTCTCTCTCTCTCTCTCTCACTTTTGTAGAAAAGAAAAGGGTGGCCGGGGGGGGGGGGGTCTCACAAAAATTCGTCCATTGTTTTCCGATGCACTCCGGATAGCAAACATTTCAGATTTTACCCTCGGGGCCGGCTGGTCGCTTGTGGCTGGGCACTCGCCAAGCCGCTTAGTGGTTTTCTTCGGCGATCGGCTTGTTTTCTGGGGGTTTGCAAATGTTCTCTGCTAGCTTACCTGGATTACAGACCCGTTTGTCTCTCTCTCTCTCTCTCTCTCTCTCTCTCTCGCAACCAATTTTCTTCCATTTTCTTTTTACTAAATGATCTCTGCCAGCTAGTCCCCATTTTCTATTCATCGCCTAGGGGGAAGGGTCATCCATGAGTCATGCATTCCGAATTTCATCCCCCCCCCTCCTTCCGGAATTTGGAAATATGGAACGCCCTTCCTAAAGGGATCGCGATCTAGAAGAAGAAACGAATAAGTATAGCGAAGAGCATCATCGAAATACGATGGCCATCTACTAAATCTCTAAGCAACGTAAAACGGAGCGAAAAGCGAAAGGAAGAGCGCTGTGGCTACTAAGAAAATGACTCTGCTTATACGAAATAGCGCATAAATCTTAGCTAGCAAAGATGCTTAGGGAAATCCCGACAACGCAAAACATCGCCAACAGCAAAAATCTTCTAGTTTATTTGACCCTAAAAGCAACAACCTTCTAAGTTTAAAATTTTTTTAAGAAATGCATATTCAGGGAGAATTCGCTCATTTTCATTCGTTTTAGGGCCTATTAGCAGTAAGCATTTGGGCCAGCAAAGTAAACGCGGGTCCTTTTATCCCCCTCTAGGGCCATCTAACAGAGACGATTAGGGAATTGACACAAAGGACCGGACAGCATCATCCTTTGCCCTTCCGAGGGGGTTGCGTGTCGTAATGGCGTTCCCAATCTGTCGTGGGAAACTGTAACATCAATTGGGGGGACAGACGGACAGACAAAGAAGCTCATCCTCACTTTTTGAACACGGCATTCCGGGCCCTTTTTTGAACGGCCATCCCCCGCCCCTTTTTCGCGGTGTCCCTCTCGGGGTCCGATTTTGAGTCATTTTATAGGTGTCGCCGGGGGATGATGGATACCGATACTTCTCTTTTCTTCTCGCGCTCTCTCTATCTATTTCTCTCTCGCTCTCTCTCGCTCTGTCTCTCGCTTTCTGTTGCACTTTGCGACATTTATTTCGATTCGTTGTGTTTGGAACATGACTGATTTCGGTTTTTTGATATTGCCTGATTGGTAAAACCCCTTGGTCAGGCCTAAGCCAAAATCTAAGCTAAGCCAAAGCCTAAGCTTATGCTTAAGACTAAGCCGAAGCCTAAACCTAAGCGATCCATAAGCCTAAGCATAACCCTAAGCTTAGGTTATCCCTAAGCCCAAGCCTAAGCCTAAGCCTAAGCCTGAGCCTTCGGAATTCATTCATTCATTCGGAAAATACCTTCATTCAGAAATCCAACCCTAAGCTAGGATTCTGCGGTGGCTAAGTGGTAGTGTGTGAACGTGCCAACCGGGCAACCCGGGGTCGAATTCCTCCCGCGGCGTAACTTTTTGCTTTTGCTCAAAATCCTCATAAATTCATTCCCGAACGGAGCACACCTTTTGACACGTTTTTCCGGTGATGACATATTGAGCCCCGGGGGGTGAGAAGAAGCCGATAAATCTGGTCGCGGAAAGATGGCATCAGCCCCTCCTCCACCCTCGCCCTCACCTCCTCTCGATTTATGGAATGATTTTTGGGGTGGATTCGAGGTGTATTCCGGGGTCTTTTCTCGGTTCAATTCGTTGAGAGCTTCATTCAAAATGTGGGACGGAGAGGGTATTGTGTATTTTTGGGTTTCTCTCGCTGTCTCTGTCTCTCTCTCTGTTTCTTTCTCTCTCTCTCTCTCTCTCTCTCTCTCTCGCTTTCTATTCATCGGCTTCATCTTGTTGCGTGACGGCCAGTATTGTCATTTTGATTGTTGTCTTGACAGGGCAGGCTAGCAGCGATTCCTTGAGAAAGAAGGCAGTCTTGCGGAGATCATTGAGGAGCTAAGGGCGGCGAGCAGAGAACCTTTGGGAATCGAAGCAGCCTGGCAGAGACCATTGGAGAATCGAGGAGGAGGCTAGCAGAGACCCTTTAGGAATTGAGGAAGCGCGCCAGAAAGTATTCGGGCAGTTGCCATGAGCAAGCTAACAGAGATCCTTTAGGAATTTCTCTCTATCGCTCTCTATCTTTGTCTTTCTCTCTCTCACTCCTTCTCTCTTGCTAGCCTATCTCTATATCTCTATCTCTCCCATCCTCTCTCTCGCGCCCTCTCTCTCTCTCGCCTCCCCATTGTGAGAAATGGTGTGCATAGCCAGTGCATTGCGTACTGTTTGTCCATCCTTCTGATGGCTGATGGTGGGCAGGGGGGAAAAGCTCAATTATTCGTGTCGCCCATCCACGGTGAGAGAATTGGAAGAGAGAGAGAGAGAGAGAGAGAGAGAGAGAGAGATGGGTCTCATGAACGCCCCCCTGTTTGCACTTCACATCTACCCCCACAGGGCACTTCGCGCACACGATCCGGAAGCCATTGGCTAAAGGACCGTGCCAGTTGGCTTTCGCCATGGATTTCTGAATTCTAGAAGCCTTCACCCTACCTTTAAAGGTACTGGCAAGCGAAAATTTGGCAAGCTAACAACGATTTCTTTGGTTCTTCTGTTCTTTGGCGGTATCAGGGGGGTATTTTCCCTGTGCGATCATATATATCCAGTAGCGTAATTTGTATTTTATAAGTGTCTTTTTGTAAAATTAAACTGTATTTCAAGGGGGAAAACTCGAAAAAAGTAGCAATTTTCATCGAAAATCGGAATCTGAAATTCACGCTCCCATTAAAAAAATAGTGAAAAATACGCCAATTAACTCAAAATTACCAAACTCCGCCCTTTTTTCCAAATCGCTGTGAAAGGAGTAACCAATGAAACTCTCATTTTGTGCATAGTATAAAGCGGAAAGGGAAATTTTCTCTTCCCCCTCTTCGTCTTCCACCTTTTCCTTTCGGAACCACTCCCCGATTATTCTCCTCCCCTTTTTTCGGTTGATTTATCGCCGTTCGAGTCACTTTTCTTATAGCTCTCTCTCTCCCTCTCTCTCCTCTCTCTCTCTCTCTCTCTCTCTCTCTCTCTCTCTCTCTATCTCTCTCTCTCTCTCTCTCTCTCTCTCTTTCTCTCGCTCTGCCAATAGACCGTCTAAATTGTATCCCATACTACGCGGGAAATGGTTACGCTATAGAATTCTTGTTACGGTGTTTGGGCACGCTAGCGTAGACTATTTGGGAATTTCTGCATGATCGAAAGGCGATAGTTAAGTTTTTCTTATTTTTTCTAAACTTAAAACTTCAGCGATTTTAATTACAATACAAATTTGAAAATTACAATTAGAAATGATCGATTTTTGGACAAAATGGTATTCGAGCAACATTTCAAAATTATTTTTTTTGAAGATTTTGGATAGTTTTTCCATTGAAAATATAGTTAAAATGTGTACGCGTCCCTTTAATCATTTTTCGTTGCCATCACATATTTAAGGTCGAAAGCCTGCCCGTTGTGACCTCTATCATTTCCGATTCCAGGTGGTGGGTAGCAAAATCCCCGGAAAACGCGTGAATTCGTTGGGTCAACCATATGCTTCTCCTTTCCCCTCCCTCCTCCTCCTTATCTCAACTCCAGTTTCCCCCCATTTTTTGTAGAACCCATCCCACCCATCCCATCCCTGTCAATCTGCCGGAAAACTGCAAAATAACACACTGACTGGCTGAGATTCGTGGCATGGCTTTCATTATTTTAAAGGGATTGGCAAGTGGATTTTCGCTGTGGATTTTCTAGAAATTCTGGTACTGGACTGTTAGCGGGGGTCTGATTTTATTGTCGATACTTACCTGGTATTCCCACCTGGCGTATTTCATAGCGTTTTTAGTAATTTTTGACTTCTAGGAAATTTTGACTTTTAAAAATGTATTTTTTTTACCCTTTTTCAATCCAGAAACTTCTGAAAATCCGATGATTTTATGTGTTTTCATGCATAAAAATTTTTAAAGTTATATAAAAATGGATATATTTCGGCCGTTGTCCCCGGGCTAGCCCCCCCCCGCTAAGAGACCTGTACCGAAATCCAATTATCTTTTTTTTTACGCATGTACCTTTTTTAAAGGGATTGGCAAGGAATTGTTAATATTTTTTGCTTATTGCCACTTTCCTCTGAATTTTTTCTTCCTGGCGATACGCAACGCGTGCAGTTGGTATATTTTAGAACAGAATAGGTCTTCCAAGTATCTTTAAGTTTTCAACTCCAATTCCGTCGTTTTGAAAGCGTTTATTACGTCAACCTTTGAGAGTATCCTCGCCCACTGAGAATTCTCAATGTTGACCTTTACTGTCAGCCGGCCACGGGCCCCCAGCTTTTCCCCCGGACAATTCTTTCCCTTCCGTTTTCCCCCGTACTCCCTGGATTCCGCGCTGATCCTGTTGACACTACGGTGGATTCTCTTCATTATCGGGTAATTTGGTAAGGCTTAAGCTTAGGTTAGGCTTAGGATTTAGGCTTAGGCTTAGGCTTAGGCTTAGGCTTAGGCTTAGGCTTAGGCTTAGGCTTAGGCTTAGGCTTAGGCTTAGGCTTAGGCTTAGGCATAGGCATACCCATCGGCTTAGGCTTAGAAGTAATCCATTACGCGCCAAAATTTTTGACGCGTGCATTGCGTGTCGCGCGTCGATTTTTTATTTAATAATTTTAATTTTTAATAGATTTTCTCCTTGTTGACGTCTCAAAATTCATAGTTCGGCCTTCGAGGTACCTTTAGCCCTTTCCTGAATAATCCCTGCTTGCCGCCCCCGCACGGCCTACATCAATGCCTGAAGAATAGGTGATAAACGCCTGAATAAATGCCCGGGCTGAATTGAGTCATCTCCCTCTCCTTCTGCTCTTTTTCTTCTTCTTCTTCTGATAAACCGTCCCCCTCTTCAAAAAAAGGTTTTATCGAGAGTCGGCTCCCCTTTTCGCTGCCGGGAATCTCTTTTCTGGCTGTTATTTTGATATTGTTCTCCTCCCCTCGGCGTTCTTAAATTTTTTGCGGTCGGAGACAATCTATTTTGAAGGTGACCTTTTGCCCCGGATGTGTCGAAATTTGAGGGCAGGTTAGCAGAGAGCCTTTGGGAATTTTCGACAATTTTTAAAAGTTTAAATTTTTTTGTGAAGGCATTTGAGCAGAGGCTATTTCAGCAAGCTGAACTTAATTTTTACAGTTAAAACCTTTGTTTCGATGTTTTAAGGGACCGCTAAAGCTAGCTGGAGCTCTCGTTAATGCGTCGAAGTTGGAGCAGGAAAGCTCGCAGAGAGCATTTGGGAAACCTTGTAAATTTTTGTAGGCGACAGCTTTCTTTTTATCTTTATATTCTCTCTGTTTTATCAGCTTTACCTCTCATTAATGCGCCGAAATATGTAAAGTGGCAGTTGGTTTTGCAGCCAATGGCAGGCTAGCAGAGACCGTTTAGGAATTCCAGCGCCCCAAAAAAAGTCGAAAGTGCATTTCCGAGAACGCGGCCCATCCGCACGGCCAGTTGGGCAAACAAAAGAAATGGAGGGCTTTTCGGTTTGGCCGTTCCGAAGCGAGTAAGAACCTGGCTATCGAATAGTTCTATTTATTCGTTATTCTTAACTATTTAATTACCATACGATCAATCGATGAGCACCTCACCCTCCCCCCCGATAATGCCAAAGAACCGAATAACCGAAAACCGCAAAAAATCCGTAAGGAAATTCATGAGCAACAGATTGAAGGCCTTGCCCGGTCCTTTAAACTCCAAAATTTCCATGTAATTTGCTGCCCCCATTAAATTCCCAGTAAATTCAGCCGAACGGCAAACATTGCGCTACAAATTACGTATGCCCTTGTGGGGGGGGCTTTTCTAGTGGGCCAGGGGGGTATCGGGTGGCATTCTGGAATTTTGGAGATACCAGGGTCATATTACGCCAATGTCCGGAGCCAGTATTCTCTCGTAGTCGTATATAGAATTCTTTATGCCGTTCGTAATAATGCTCACTTCCTAGAGGCTCTTTGCTAGTTTGCCATATTTTTGATTTTATTTAATTTTAAATTTGTCTTGGCATCTATTTTCCGCTAGATTTCTATGCGCTTATTAATGTAAAAAAAATAGTACATAATTTCAGAATGCCCCAAATCGCCTATCGAAAAACTAATTCACACTAGGATCTTCAATTGTTCTCAGATTGTCGCGATGGGCCACCGCCACGGGTCGACCCCCCGCAATTTGTGCATATTTTTGCTGGGTAGGCTTGCAGAGATCTTTTGGGAATTTGTTGTGTTTTAGTGCTTATCATCGTACTACCGCTTCTCTACCTCCTCTACTCACTTCTACACTATTTCCATCGCCCGATAACACCGGTGGCTAATGACGAGTTGACCGCTATTGGGGTGCAGCCGCCTAAAGGGATCGGTAAGCGATTTGATGTTAGAATATATGGAATTATGAAGGTCGTAATTCAGAATGATAAAAAGCCATTTAGATCCTTCCACCAAAGAGATGACCAAATTCAAGTTCAACCGTACCACGGGAAAATGGGACAAAAGTGTCGAGACGACGACGCAGTGTAAGTTTTTAGGGTTACTGTAGGTAAGACTCCAGATAACCCCCCCCCCCCCCCCCCCACAGCCGGCACCCAATTTTTGTACCTCGGCTCCCTGTTCATCTACACGTGTGTAAAGTATGCCAAAATATTCGTCTTGCTCTGGCGAGTATTTTGGTATACTTTACACACCTGTAGATGAACAGGGAGCTGAGATACGGTAGGTGGGGATCGGCTGGGGGGGGGGGGGGGATTTTTCGGAACTCTATCGAATAGCGTCGAAAGTTGGGACCTTGGGATGGCCGGGGGAAGCCGGAAGTAAACCTTCGCCCCCTTCTTTTCTACCAATTGCCTCATTTAGTGTCCCGAATCCCGACAACTATCGGCAAGGAAAAATCGGAAGAAGCGGCTACAAAACCGGCGCGGCCGGTCTCGTCAGTGCTACGGGGTCAACAACCCGCCAGGGAAGGACATGATCGTCATCAGCACATTCACGTACATCATAAAGAACATATGAGGTAGGAATTAAAGGGTGCGACATGGGTGAAAATCCACAGTTTTAAAAGTTGTCTCGGTACTTAGGAGGTGTCATTAATGCGCAGACGTAAATTCAGTAGCTTGTCGCCGTATCTTCATACTGTGGTTTTTGTATGTGCTCTTTTTGTAGTCTATTGCCCAGCCCCTAAATTGTAGCTTGTAGCCAACCGTGGTCAATCATTAATGCGTACGCCGTGGCCGCCCGGATCTATCGCGAGTCCCACGCTTGTAGTTTGTAGCTTTAGGTTTACCTGGTAGTTTTTTGTAACTACGGTTTTTGTAGTTTGTAGTCTGAATCTAGGCGTCTTGCTAGGCGCGAACGCCTTGAACTCGGTGATGCTGAGTCTGAACTTTTAATCTGCAGTCTGTAGCCTGCTGTGGTAACCCGTTAGCGCTTATAGTCACACCACCATAACTCCGGTGCCGACGACGACATCAACAAGTACAACAAGTACAACCACAACAACCAGAACAACGTCGACAAGCCGGACAACAACCACGACGCCACAACACAGAACGGCTACAACATGGCGGTTACGAGCACAGACACAGCATAGGTAGGGAGAGAGCGACACAGAGAGAGAGAGAAAGAGAGAGAGAGCGCGAGATGGAGAGAGAGAGAGATGGAGAGAGAGAGCGACAGAGAGAGACCGAGAGACCATGATTAACCTCCGTAAATGATACCATAACCCAAAAAGCAAAAATCCTATCCTCCAGGGGAATCGAACCCGGGCCGTTTTTTCAGCGCAAGAAAACTTACCAATTAGCCATTTAGAGTGCGAGTCAAGGATCCAATCGACGAATTGTTGCCGCGACAATTTGAGGAGGAGCCGACTACCGTAACCACCACCCGGATACCGTCTACCGTGGCAGCTACAGTACCAACACGGGGATTGCATAATCATAGAGGTAAGGCGAGAGAGCGGGAGGGAGAGAGCAAGAGATATAGAGAATGAGAGAGCGAAAAAGCGAAAAAATCATACACTTTAAAGTACCCCACCATCACGATCACCCGGCGACCACCCCCAGCACGACGACTCAAAGAATTGGGACGACAACTGAAGAGCGTCGACACCATCAGCATCACCAACACCAGCAACACCATCTACAGCGTCTACAACCTCATCATCAAGGTCACTGGCCGAATCGGGTCGTCCCAACGACTACCACTACTACCACCACAACTCCGAGCACTACAACCCGCACCTATGGACGGAGACCACCGCCAAGGGCCGACGAGAGGAATACGATTGGCAAGTCATTCCCTTGGTTGAACTGCTTGAACTTGTTGGGGAGCTTACCAAATTTCGTAAATTACTGAAAATTGATGGGCTCTTCTCAGAATTGCTTGAACTTGATGAAACCTGCTTACTCTTTGTTTCAGATGAAGCAGACGATCCATTCGTATTCGAGTCTCATCCGGTGGTAGATGATGATGAACCATGGTCAAGGCCGGCAGCCACGCCTCCAAGACAACACATACCACAATGGCCACCCTTACCTGTACCTGACTTGCCGAAGGGGTTGGAAGATGATGATGAGGAACAATTACAGAGGATTGATGGTAGGAGGGAGAGAGAGAGAGAGAGAGAGAGAGAGAGAGAGAGAGAGAGAGATAGGGAATAGAGACGGAAACGAGAAAGAGTCAGCGAGAGGGATAGTTTGAGCGAGAGGGACTCGGCGAAAGCCAGAGAGAGAGAGAGAGAGGGAGAGAGAGAGAGAGAGAGAGAGAAAAAGAGAGAGAGAGAGCTAGAGAGAGAGGGAGAGAGAGCGAGACAGAGATTGAGATACAGAGACAAATCTCTAGATTTTGATGAGCCCGAGCCAACCGAACCACCTACCACTACCACAACCGAGATGAGCACGACGACGACGACGATCAGATCACCATACTCACGTCAACAAACCCCTCATACGGCCCCGCCGCGTGTGGAGATGTACATAGGGTAGGCTGGCAGAGAGCATTTGAGGATTCCACAAGGATCTCTTCCAGACTGCCATCCATCTTCCCTTTTAGGGATATCACCATCGTCACCGCACTAATGGACATTGGCCGTGGGGACTGGTGGGAATATCGGAGACCGCTCGATAAATATCACGAATTTATGGAACGGGTTCTAAGGTAATGGGGCTGGATTTAACCTACATATGTGTCTCGTTTTTTAAGCCTTCGAAACAATATGGTCATCTTCACCGACGCGCACAGCTACGAGTTTGTCGTCGCGTACAGGCGGAAAATGGGGCTCGAGGAAGTGACAAAGGTGGGTTACGTAGTTTGTAGCGTAGCTTCGGCAATAGGCCTAGGATTAGGCTTCTGCTTAGGTTTAGGCTTAGGCTTAGGCTTAGGCTTAGGCTTAGGCTTAGGCTTAGGCTTGGCTTTAGGCTTAGGCTTAGGCCTAGGCTTGGCTTAGGCTTGGCTTAGGCATGGGCTGAGGTCTAGTTGAATTAATCACCTAGGATTAGACTTTTTAAACAAAATAAAATACACTTACAAATTAAAAATAAAAAAGTTTTTGTGGTCTGTATTTTTGTCGACAATTAATTAAATGTAATAGCATTAAGATAATTTTAATCGAATTTAATTAACTGGTTTAATTCAGCTGATGATTTATCGTAATTCATAGAAATATTTCATATTTTTAGAAGATTAAAGGTAACATATTCGAGGAAAATTTAAGTAATTTTAATGATTTAACTTTCTAATTCGGTGAGCTGCTGCAAATTTAATCCAGTTAATTCGAATTTAATAAATTCAAATTTAATCCACTTCGATGAAACAATAATTTTTTCAACAATTTTTCCAGGTACACCAAATGACACTCGAAGATCTGCCCCTGTGGCGGTACCACGAATTTGCATCCGAAGTGATTGCCGGAGAACACAATGATACCTTAAAGTACCCCGATACCGGATCGCCTATAATACGGAATCGTTTAGATACCGCAACGGTGGCTGGGACCCGCAGATGATGAATCACCCCGAGGCCAAAAGCGCCACCTACGATATCCTTGTCAACTCGAAAACGCACTTTTTGCAGAATGTTACGGTAAAACCCAGGCTACAAACTACACCCCTCGAATTTCAGTTGGACAACCCCTTCGACACTGGGTTTTTCGTGTGGATAGATGCGGGATATGGGCATGGAAATGACGATCATTTCCCACGAGATCACGTCTGGAGACCAATGTTCCCCAAGGGCAAGATATCAATGATAAAGGTATACAGTTTCCTTAATTTTCGCCTAAAAGCAAAAAGCTTTGCATCGGCGGAGGGTCGAACCCGCGACTTGCGGGTGAGGTGGGAGTGCTTTACCAATTGGCCAAAACGTCGTAAATTTCGGCAGATCAGAGCGATTTCTGGGCCTGTGGCGCATTGGTTAAGTTCTCGCCTCCCACCCACACTACCGGGGTTCGAATCCCGTGTCCGTCAAGACTTTTCGCTTTTTGCATGAAATCTCGGGAATCGATTTTCCTACCATGTGAAAAGCTCAAAATTGGTTCCTCTTATGCGTAAAGCCCTATTTCAGTGATTTTCGATCTGATGTCGAATTTTTTGCAGAAAATTAGGGGTTTTTCCGGACAATTTACTTATTTAAATTTCGACATTATGATTTTCCGCATTTTGAAAAAATCGACATTGTGATTTCCATATTCAGAAATTTCTACATTATGAAATATCGAAGTCATGAATTTCGGCAATTGCGACAGTATCATTCTCGAATTTTTTTCGACGTTTTAAAAGTAACCCCATTTCAGCTGACCCCAAAACACGACCCAATCTCGGGGTACGGTATCGACCGGCTGTACCGTCAGAATTGGTCGGTCGTCTCCGGGGGTTTCATTGCCGGTGATGCACACACCATCGGCCAGCTACACACCGCATTCTACCGGAAATTCGTCGAGCTCGTCCAGCGCCAATATATTGACGACGATCAGGTACCCAGACTCTCTCGTTTTTTGACCGAAAAACGATTTTTACGATTTTTACAGTTTACGGCCTCCAAACTACGATAAAAACTAAAAAATTCAGACAACGATGGTGCTGGTGATCAACAGCCATCCACATCTGTTCAACATCGTCCACGGCGACTGGTTCGACGCGTTCAGGGCATTTGACCCTGGGTTCTGAGACTAGAACGTTTTGAATTAAACTTTAAAGGGGCTCGCAAGGCATAGCTATGGATTTTTTCGAGTCTGGCTTCCTCATAAATCAGGATAGCATTCGCGGCACCCCGCGATTACATAGCGTAATCGATTACGCCATGTTTATGGCCTTGGAGATCTCGATTTGCCCTTTTTCTCCGAAATCCGTAGTTACGAGAATCCATTAATATGTCTTGTTGCCCCCTTTAAAATAGTATTTTTTAGTTATATTTAAAATTACTACACAATTGCTTTAATTCCCCATGTATTTCCTTATATTATTCACTTTGACAACTGATTCGTCACCCTTCACTTATCAAAAAATTTGAGGAACATTCAGGTCCCCGACTTTTCAAGATTTTACAGGGCCGCGACACGCGACGCGCAAGTAACCGCGAATCCAAGCGCGGCGTGCGCGTGGCGTGTCGCGGGAATTGCGATTTGGCCATGGCCGATTGGTTAAGCTCTCGCCTCCCACCCACACAACGCGGGTTCGAGCCCCTTTCGTGGCAAAACTTTTTGCTTTTTGCGCTAAAGCCGAGGATTGAATGTTCCTTCGACGTGGAAAAGCCAAAACGGATTGGAAAAATGTTTCCGAGTTGAAATCTGGCTTTTCCACAGTATTCCCTCTACTTCCGTAGGTCTCAAATTTGGAGCGGTTAGCATAATAATAATCCTCACTTTGACAGCTTTTCTAGGCGCATTTGGCGGTACTTTAACCGTTTTATTGGATGTTTATAATTTGATATATGTATTTTTGTCAGTTGGGCTTGATTTGCATTTTATCTTCACGCTTTTCACTGCGTCCGAATGAGAAGCTCGGGTTTCTCTCCCTCTCTCTCTCTCTCTCTCTCTCTCTCTCTCTCTTTTCCCTCATCAATTCAGCTGGTCCCACGTGCTGTGAGATTTCAAAAAGATATTCTTTCATTTTCCCTCTGCTCTAAAGGGACCTGGAAGCCTGAAAAACCCTGATTTCCGGATTGCTGCCTTTCCAGTTCCTTTAAATATGTCACCAGTTTTTTTTCTTGATTCTACGCGACTTCTAGTCGAACTACGCCCACGTTTTGAACGATATATCTATTTATTTGTGATTAACTGCCTACCGGAATAAATATTTTATTCTTCAAGGGGCGAACGAGCAGAGATCCTGTGGGAAGCAACGTCAAAAGAATTTAAGCATACCACGTTTAAGTGCAAGCACCGTACAAGGACCCCCATGGTCAAAAGGGAAAAGGGAATCTAGGGCTGGCAAGTGAGCAGAGATCTTTGATACCTGAATTAGCCTGATGACGTCATCGATTGGGCAACACTGGGTAAGAAACGTATCGTGAGCCCCGGAAATTCTCATAACACCCCACGGTTTGCGGCATTGTCTAAAAATTGGTCATTTCTTGGCTGGGTGGCTGATAAGCAGCTTTTATAAGAGCGTGTCGTGCGAGTAGCGATGTCTTAGTCTCCCGGAAGGCCCAGCCGCGTCAGTTCCGCCATGCTACTCTTGACGTTATTCGCTGTATTTATCGGGTTATCCTCGGCGCGAATACTCCCTGACCAAGTAGAAATTTTGAGATTTGCGAGCCTAACCCAAGCTTAACCCAAGCCTAAGCCAAGTCTAACCCTAGACACGCCCAAGCCTACGCCAAGCCTAAGCCAAGACTAAGCAAAGCCTAAGCCTAAGCCTAAGCCTAACTCAAAGCCGAGTCTACGCTAGGCCTAAGCCAAACCTACGTCAAGCCTAAGCCTAAGCCTAAACCCAAATCGCGCCTTTCCGTTCCCTTTAAAGGGGCCAGAAAGTGCGAGATTCTACCCCGCCCATCGACTGGGTATCGACAGCTACGTGCAGCTCCTCATGACACATTAAATTGAGGCGTTTGGGGCAAAAGTCAGCATCTTGCAGGCGGGATTTGGCAGGGCGGGTAGCTGTCGAGACCCAGGCATGGGATGGGGTCGATTCTTCCACTTCCAAGTCCCTTTAATGGCCCTAAGCTTAATTTAATGTTTCGTATTGATTTACTGTTCATAAATTCGATATTATAGATTATTCCCGCCCTATCGATTAAAGCGGAAGCAGCTTTACCAACGAAAAATGGGCCTTTAGACCCTGGCAACGCGGTATCTGACCAATACCTTCAAAATAACGCCTCTAAATTCAGATTATCGGTGGTACCACGGCCTATATCGGGCAATTCCCGTCGCAAGTCATGTTTCGAGTGAGGTACGGAATTAAAGGGACGTGCAAGGCATGGCTATAGGTTTTTCCGTTAAAAGCGGAGAGGTGGCCTGCCTTACCAGCTCCTTTAAAGGGACAACGACACTTACGATGCTCCTAATTTAGCATCACCTCTCAAACCGAGCAAATCTGCGGCGGGACTATCATAGGGGATCGCTGGGTGCTCACTGCTGCTCATTGCCCCATGTGAGTGGTTTTGGTTCTGTTCTATTTCGAGCGAGGGAAAAACTGTGCGGGGGGGGGATTTGTTTGAGCAGAGTTTCGATATTTTCGCTATTTTCTCGCAATTTCGATAGAGCATCAAAAAATATACTAAAAGTTTTTGTTGCAGCTTAAAATGTTGGAATATAAAAAAGTTATAGCAAAAACAAAAATAACTTTTGAAACTAGGGCTAGCAAGCTAATTTTCGATATTTTTGCTAATTTTTGATATTTTGAAGACGCGATTCGAGAGAGCATCAAAAAATATACTAAGATTTTCAATTCTATCTCAAAATAGCTTAATATAAAAGAGTTATAGCAAAAACAAGATTTAAACATGGTTTCGAGCTTTCGTTTCAACAATGAGCGTAGATGCGAAAGCTAGTTTTCGACATTTTCGATATTTTTACAAAATTTCTTCATCGTCATTCGAAAAAGCATCAAAAAATATACGAAGGGTTTTAATTACAACTCAGAATAACGTATTATAAAATAGTTATGGCAAAAAAACTAGCTCACCGCACCGCAACTCCCCGCCCCCGGACAGTTTTTCCCCCCGCTCGAAATAGAACAGTACCGTGGTTTTAAAGGGGCTGGGAAGTGCTGCAATCGACCCCCACGGTCGGTTGGATCTCGGCAGGGCTTCGATTAACCTAAAAAAACCAGATTTTCAGCGTTTCCGGCACGCAAATGATCTACGGGACGACGGTTCCGGATGATACGAAAGATTATGCGCAATTCGGGGAGGTAGGACCGACTCGACCCTGTAGCATAGTGTAGTCGGTTGGCTATTTGCCAAAAGTCTGCCACCTTTCAAGGGTGTCCAACGTATAGTGTCCCTACCCATTTACCAACGTACCGTATCCGATCCCAGGTCGAATCATTCATCCCTCATCCAGCATTCGGACAACACGGCTTCGAGGAAGACCACGATATCGCAATTGTTGAGGTTTGTCGTTTTAATATATGACTGAGTCGTTAGCGGGGGGGGCGTTATGCTCTTTCACGCCCCCCTTTAAAACCCCGGGAAATTGAATACCAGCTTTTTAAGCTGGAAGAACCGATCAACTTCACGAGGTACAGATCATACGTTGGTATCGCCCAGCTACCAATCTCCAACCAAAAATTCGACGAAGAGACGGGTGTCGTGTTGGGATGGGGAGCATATAAAGGTATCCAAATCGGTGTTATTAACGTTTTTTAATGAAGCTGGGTAATGAAACTTTTTTAGACGATGACCACGTGGTGGACCAAGTGAGTCGTTCGCTCCAATACGCCCAGGTGCCATTGATATCTTCCGGGGAATGCGAGTAGGTTTTCGATATTTTTGGAAATCTACCAACCAGTTACGTGATTTAATAACGGATACGAAAAATTTTTTTAAACTTTGTCCCTCGTTTTTTTGAATTTTCCGAAATAAGCAATTTTCAGGCTATAAAACAATATCAAAAGCCCCATTTTCCAGAGCCAGATGGGAAAAACTGCCGGCCGACTATTCGAGCGGCTTCCAGGTGTCGGGCAGCCAGCTATGCGCCGGAGCTAACTGGAAGGGAACCGGAAAGGTAAGTTGATTTACTTAATATTTTAAACATAACTCGTTACGCAATATAATTCCATCATGCGCCTATTTCCACTCTTTCAGGGGGACAGCGGCGGCCCGTTGCTGATCAAGCACAATGGCACATGGATTTTGGTAATTTTTTTTATTTTTAATGAGTAATTTACCGTGTTTCTGTAACAGATTAATTATTAAATGATATTAGCGTCTAATCCATTCACTAGATTGACAATTTTGAGCTCCTATATTTCAGGCAGGCATCACCTCGTTTGGGGCGAACGCAGAACCCTATTATCACGACCAAGGAACGGCGCCAGGTAAATCCATAGGAAAATATGGCCTTCAATGGCCCTTTAAAGAGGCCGGCAAGACGTTTCTATCGATTTTCTCGCGCTCTACGGCGCGCGGACGCAGGCGACACGCAACGAGCGCGATTACGTAGGGCACGCACGTGAGACAGCGACACTCAACGCGCTGGATACGGAATGCACGCAGCCGTCAGGCGACGCCCGTTGCACGCAACTCAGCGTACGGGAGGGCCGCAACGCAAGTGACACGCAGCGCGCCGGATACGCATGGCGATCGGCACGCGAAGCGCGTAAAACGCAAGGAAAGCGACACGCAACGCGAGAGCGCTGGATCAACGCAAGCAGCGCACGCGACGCGCTCGAGGTGACGTGACACGCAGCGCGCGTAATATGCGAAGCGACGGAGCTGAAAGCGCTGGCGCACGTGGCACGCGACGCACGTAGCGCTACGATTACGCCGCCTACCCAACCGCCGAGCAGCTTGGGCGTTGCGTGTCGCTAGTCCGTCAAACGATACCTGATCTTGACCGGCCTATCCATTTAACCCAGATCCCCGAAATTCCCTGCTAACCTACCCCCTTTTCCAGGTATCTACACCCGAGTCGCCTCCTACTGTGATTTCATCAAGCATAATACTCAAGGGGAAGTCACCTGCTCAGCCCGTGCGATCTCATACATTTTATCGCTCTTTTTTATGTGTATTTTTCTGCTTTTTAGGTTGTAATTTCTCGATTGAGCCTAAAAATAGCTTAAAAAAATAAATGTTCAACGATTCCGAATAAAGAAACACCCATTATCGGGCGTAAATTCGGCTTTTTTGGCCTGTCTGACTAATGAATCGCGATGGCCCGGCTTTTCCCAACTGATAAGCGCCACTTTTCGCTAACACGACGCCCACGCGTACTAGCTGTTTTCCGCCATGCTACTCTTGCCGTTATTGGCCGTATTTACCGGAATAAGCTCTTCTAGCCTTATTCCAGACCAGGTAAGAGTTTTTTCTTAGCGGTAGAGCCCCCGGAAATTTTTTTTACAGTCTATACTTAAGTGTTTTAACGCTTTGAATGGATTCAGAGGGCAATTTTGGACTTTTTGGTCAAAAAATTCATGAAATACGGCTAAAAAATTCAATAACTAATAAAAATACTTTAAAAATACATTATTCAGATCATCCCAGCCCTAATTATCAAAGAAGAGCCAACAGTGCCGTTGAATAAAACCAAACTACAGCCTGGGAATGCGGTAACGGGTTACGCGTTTTAATCCGAAAAATCGCTCCGCAGATTATCGGGGGTGGCGCGGCAAGAGAGGGTCAATTCCCTTGGCAAGTCATGTTCCGAGTACCGTGAGTTTATGTTCTATGGATTGGAGCGTATGTCGAAATTTATCGAAATTGCGTAGTGTCGAAATCTCTAAATGTGGAAGACTCTAATCGTCGATATTTTATTATACCGACGATATTTCATAAATGTCGAAATTCCGAAGTTACGATGGTCGTACTGCCGAAATTTCATAATGTCGATGTCTCAAATTTCGAAAATTGATGATACCTACATTTTATCAAGCCGAAGAACAAAAAAAACAAATTTCCATAAAATCCGCGACGCAATCGCGCCGGCGTCCGCTAGCTTTAAATCGCGTAATCGGTTGGCTGAGTGTTGATTCTGAAGCCGGAAATGATGAAACGATCTTTAGAGTGCCGAAGGAACCGGAACATCTGTGTGGCGGGAGTATCATTGGTGATAAATGGATCCTCACCGCGGCCCATTGCAAGATGTAAGTCACTTTAAAGCAGACATGGCAATCGGCCGGGCCGCGCGGCTTTTTCGGCCGCAAAAATTAGAATGCGGCCGGGCCGCGCGGCTTGGCCGCACTTCCGGTGCGGCCGCGGCTTTTTTTTCGTTTTGAGGCCGCACGGCGGCCAAGCCGCGCGGCTTTTAAGGCCGCATCCAAATGAGTTTTGAGAACTTCCGGTACGCAAATCCGAGATGTAATGGGTATTTAGCTTGCTAAAGAGGAGGATTTATTTTCGACAACCTTCATTTTCTCATTTCCATTTCCATTTCGCATGAAATTCGCGGATTTTTGGTATGTAGAAGAGCTACTTCCGGTTTGCGGCTTGGCCGCGGCGGCCCGGCCGAGCCGCGTTTTCATCGCGGCTCGGCCGCGAAGCCGCGTTTCCGGAAGTAGCTAATTACGGCGGCTCGTAGGGGGCCGCGTTTTTTATGGAAATTAGGCCGCCGGCCCGGCCGCGCGGCTCGGCCGATCGGAATTGCCATGTCTGCTTTAAAGGGACTGGCAAGCTGGAGATTCTACTCAACGAATCGCCCCAGCCCAAGCTGACTCTGACCAGTAAAAGTCTTATTATGCTAGGGCTGCCGGCACGGAAATGACGTACGGCACGTTGCTGTCGGAAAAAGGCGCCGCCAACGCATTAACGGCACAGGTTGCAATTTCACTTTTGCATAAAAAAAATATATTTTAGGTCGAAGCATTCATCCAACATCCATTATTCGGAGTACATGGCGCCGGGGAAGATCATGATATTGCGGTTGTGAAGGTATCGTTTATCGATCGGCAAATTCAGAAATTCAGAATTCACAGCAAAGTACGGTATTAGGGCCTGGGCGGCCTAAAATTGGCTTAAGCTGAACCCAAACTGACTTTTTAAATGGTTTTATTACGGCGCTATAAGCTTAAACGAGCTCGAAAGAAGTGTAAGCTTTTGCCCAAGGCAGGCTTAATCTATTTCAAAGCGTCACTTGTTACTTGTTTGTACTCTCGTTAGTCCACGTGCGTAACGGCCGCGTTGCGCATCGCGTTGTGTCGCTGTCCCACAGCTTTAATCCTTTTTTCATTCATTTCGTTATTTCCAGCTGACAGCCCCGCTCCAATTCTCTTCTGCTGCCAACAAGATCAGCCTCCCCAGCGACAACCAGCAATTCTCGCAGCATAACGGTGTTGTCACTGGATGGGGAGCGCATCTTGATCGTAGGGAAATTTGCTCGCACCTGACTAGACTGCACGGCTTCTCCTTTTTTAATTTTGCACCCAAACCCGATTTTCAGCGAATAACAATGTGGTTGATGAGGTGAGCCCGACATTGCAGTTTGCTGTCGTTCCGTTGTACTCACTCGCCGATTGCCAGTAGGTTCTAAGGGTTTAGGCTTAGGTTAGGTTTAGGCTAAGATCAGGCTTAGGCTTAGGCTTAGGTTGGGCAAGGCTTAGGTTTGCTTAGGCTTTTAGGCTTAGACCCAGGCTTAAGCTTAGGCTTCGCTCCCAGGATCACTTCTGGCCTTTTTTGCCAAACCTTTTCTAAGGGATCGCTGGGACAAGCTGCCGAAAGAGATGAACGAGGACGTGACCCTTACCGACAGCCAGTTATGTGCCGGCGCCAATGGAAGGGGAACCGGAAAGGTGGCAGCTTCGCTTTACGACAAAGCGCCCTTTTTAGGGGGATAGCGGTGGGCCATTGGTGATCGATAATGGGCATGAATATGTCTTGGTGCGCCCTTTTTTACTTTGTGCCATTTGTCCGTATTTTAGCTGATTTAATAGCCCCTATCTTAGGCGGGCATCACCTCATTCGGCGCCAACGAGGATAAGTATTACCTCGATCAGGAATTGGCTCCAGGTAAAGCCATGAACACCGGTCTTCAATGACCCTTTAAAGCCGATTTCCCAAATAACCCCTGCTAGCGTGCCCCTTTTCCAGGTGTCTACACCCGCGTCGCTTCCTATTGCGATTTTATCGCGGATAAAACAGGCGGAGATGTCACCTGCGCATCGCACACCATTTCAATCAGTTTCGCCCTAATTTTCGTGACAACTCTGGCCATTTTAAGGTTGTAGTTCTTGGATCAAAATGGAAAATAAATATTTAACGTCAAAGACGATGCTAACACGGCTGAAAAATTGTCCTGAACACATTAAAAACGAAAAAATATGTAGCCGATTTTGAAAATAGATTAAAATATCGAATTTCAAGCCCGGGAGCCGATAGAAAAATGCCGACAACGATATACGACGGAAAAACTTGACTGTCAAAATGTTGACAGAAAAATGACAAAGCAAAGACGCCAAAAAATAAAATAAAACTAACGATGGCTGCAATTCCAAATCTCGGTCGGTCCTTCGGCTGTCGGACTGACCGCTGTCGGTACTTTATTTCAATGTCGGTACTTTCACCGAGGCCGTTCTTTACAATTCGATTCGTTAAAATGCATAATAACAAGCGTAAGCTTGCTAAAATAGCCTCCGATGACTAATCGCCCGTTGAATTGGCTGATAAGGTTCCTTCCCCTCGCTTTCGCCCATCCAAAAACTCTCGCGTAATCGCTGTTGTTCGTAAAAAACGTGACGTTTACATCCCGCAATGATACTCTGCACGCTAATTACCATACTTTGCTGCTTAAATTCGGTGCTTGCTTTGCCTAGTGAGGTATGATGTTAAAACCAAGCTTTATGAGCTCAATTTAGAGCCTCAAAAGATTATCGATGAAGCCGAAAGCAGCAATAAACTTGAAAAATGCATCGATCAAACATGGAAGCGCGGTGGGGGCATTTCATTAAAAAAAAACATTGTGCTTTGTTGTCTATTTCTTAGCTTTTAGTATTGCCGCAGCCGCGACACGCAACGCGTAAGCCATTTTCCATTGCCTAATGGGTAACATGCAATCGATTACGCAATGGAATGCCAAATGTCAGTTTGATCGCGCGTAACTCTTAGGGAAACCGTAGCCACAACCGCCCATGGGTTCGGTCCCGATGGCTCCCGGGAAAAGGCGTACTGTACGGGTTTTTGCCTGGGGCGCGAAATAGCAGCATGATTTTAGCTGCGCAGGCTTGCTTTCGCAATGGCGCGACGCGTCTATCGCACGCGTTGCGGTCTTTCTTGGTTTCCAATTCTACCGGACGTTTTATTAGACGCCGGGCCGCTGTGTAGCGCGAATCTGCCTTTCCACTACGTAATCGATTACGCATGGAAATTCAGGCACGTGCGTTGCGTGTTGCATGGCGGCAAAACCCATTTCAATAGTCCGTATCCAAAATCCATAATTCGGTCAATCAGTCAGTCCCTTTAAACGGAGTTCTTCAGATCATCGGCGGAAATTCCGCTTACCCCGGCCAATTTCCTTGGCAAGTCCTGTTTCGCGTCAGGTAAGGTTTCAAGAACCAACCGCCTTTCTTAGCGCAGTCGGTAGAGCTTCTGCCCGCCGTTCTTGGGGTTGAGGGTTCGACCCGGCCGGCAGCCAGCTTTTTGCTTTTTGCTGACGGATCCTTAAAACCTGTAATTTAAACGTTCAATAGTGCATTTAGGGATAAAGCAAGGATTTTGACGAAAACCTGTGCCTTTTAGAATCTCGTCCCAAGTCGAGCAACTTTGTGGCGGAAGCATCATTGGTGCTAGATGGGTATTGACGGCGGCCCATTGTCCTATGCAAGTTATTTTCAAGGTATAGGCAAATCCGCGAGAATCCCTGCTCTCTTGCCCCAGAAATTTGATATCTTGCAGTATCCCGGGTACTGAGATGATCTACGGAACTGTTGACCCATCAGGAAATTCCCCGGATGCCCATATTGCAAAGGTGGGGGAATACGTTTGAATTAATCAATGAATTGTTCAATTAACAGTATTTATCTATTAAATTTTTTATTAATTTTATGTATTTTAGGTGTCATCTTTTATAAAGCATCCAGCTTTTTCGCAAAGTGGCAATGAGGACGAGCACGATATAGCCATCGCAGAGGTTCGTTTTTTGGCTATGGATTCCATAAGTACTTTTTCCGCCCCCGACACGCAACGCATACCCCGTGCGCTTTCGGCTTAGGCTTAGGTTAGGCATGGCTTCGCTTGGGCTTAGGCTTAGGTTTAGGCTTAGGCTTAAGCTTTTATCCCCTTCCTCCCAATTCTTCATAATTCCAGCTCCAAAACCCTATCGACTTCAACGCGAACATCGCCCAGATCAGCCTACCCACCGAAAATCAGGAATTTTCGGAAAGTAGCGGAATTGTCACCGGATGGGGAGCATATAACGGTATTTTTGCAAACGGTATCTTGAAAATCGTTTTGCTTGTTGAAAAGTGAGGCTAACTCGACTTCTAGACGGAAACGACATCATCGAGAAGGTCAACCCGACACTCTACTACGCGACTGTACCACTGATCACACTCGAGGAGTGCGAGTGAGCATTAAAAGTTAGCAATGAGCACGACCAGTTTTTCACCGCCTGCGTACCTTGATCGGGGATATCCTCCAAAGCCAACAAAACAAGCAGTTGTAATATCCAAGCACTCAGCCTAAGCCTAAGCATAATATAAGCCGTAGCCTAAGCCTAAGCGCTTTACAACAACTTACAGGGCAAGGTGGGCAAAGCTGCCACTCGACTATACAAATGGATATCACATTGCCGAAACGCAGCTTTGTGCCGGTGCCTATGGTAGAGGGACCGCAAAGGTTGGTTTTATCGATTACGCGATGTTATTCCGTGACACACCTATTCGCAGTATTTCAGGGAGATAGTGGAGGTCCGCTGGCCGTCATGCATCAGGGAAATTATGTGTTGGTAAGCTTTAGGCTTAAGCTTAGGCTTAGGCAAGGCTTTTCCTAGGCTTAGTTTATGGGCTTATGTTCGAAAACTACGGTAAATTTGCTGTAAGATCTATTTAGATTGGCATCACATCATTTGGGATAAATCTCGGCCCGCTGTATTATGATCAAGGCGCGGCACCAGGTAAAAACAGCAACCATCGACCGTACTTTCAACCAGATTCCCTAAAAATCCCTGGTATTCCGCATGTTTTCCAGGTATCTACAGCCGAGTCGCTTCCTATTGCGATTTTATCAAGCAGAATACTCAGGGAGACGTCACCTGCTCATCCCATTCGACCTCATACATTTTTTCGCTCATTTGTCTATTTATTTTTGTAAGTTATAAGTTGTAATTTATTGATAGAATGAATACAAAAATCGCTGGCTTGGTTGTATGGTGGCGGATGTGGTACTACGATTTTTTAAAGTTGCAGCGAGACACCCGACAAGCCCCCAAGCTTAGGCTTGGCTTAGGCTTAGGCTTAGGCTTATGCTTAGGCTTAGGCTTGGCTTAGGCTTAGGCTTAGGCTTATGCTTAGGCTTAGGCTTGGCTTAGGCTTAGGCTTAGGCTTAGGCTTAGGCTTGGCTTAGGCTTAGGCTTAGGCTTAGGCTTAGGCTTAGGCTTAGGCTTAGGCTTAGGCTTAGGCTTAGGCTTAGGCTTAGGCGGCAGGCTTAGGCTTAGGCTTAGGCTTAGGCTTAGGCTTGGCTTAGGCTTAGGCTAGGCTTAGGCCCAGGCTTGGAAGCTTAGGCTTAGGCCTAGGCTTAGGCTTAGGCCAGGCTTAGGCTTAGGCTTAGGCTTGGCAGGCAGGCCAGGCTTGGAGGCTTAGGCTTAGGCTTAGGCTTGGGCCCGGCCCAGGCTTAGGCTTAGGGGCTTAGGCTTGGAAGCTTAGGCTTAGGCTTAGGCTCAGGCTTAGGCTTAGGCTTAGGCTTAGGCCTAGGCTTGGGCTTAGGCTTAGGCCAGGCTTAGGCTTAGGCTTAGGCTTAGGCTTAGGCTTAGGCTTAGGCTTGGCTTAGGCTTAGGCTTAGGCTTAGGCTTAGGCTTAGGCTTAGGCTTAGGCTTAGGCTTAGGCTTAGGCTTGGAGGTCGACCCGTGAAATCGGCCATATCGATAGGCAAACAAAAAAATCTCGGATTAAAAAATTTTTTTTTGCGTTCAACTGCATCTCGGGCAGTCTTTTCACTTTTTTAATCCGAGACTTTATTTTGCCGATTTAATTCTTCAGTTATAACCTAGCCAACCCCTTGGGTCGAAACCCCCCAAAAGCCAAAATTTCGAAAAATCCTAGCAAATACCGGGCCTCCCGGGTTTCGTTTTCGTTTCGTTTCAATGACGGGCTTGCCGGCTGTCAAGGAGAAACTTCAAAAAATCTTAAAAACCACAGGCGCGAGGTTACCGCCATGCGCATCGGAATCAGCGTTTCAAGCCGGTACGATTGAGTCGACTCTCCCTTTCTCTCTCTCTCTCTCTCTCTCTCTCTCTCTCTCTCTCTCTCTCTCTCTCTCTCTCTTTTCTTGCCCAAAAAGCGTCGCTCTTCTTTCACGGTTTTCTATGAGGTGTTTTTATGGAATACCAGCAGATCTCTTTATCATCAGCACGTCCACACAAAACAACAATGACACCAGGGTTACGGTAGCAAAAATCGGGGGCACGAATACACAAATATAACTAGGACATAGCAATGTTAATTTTGTACAAATAAATTTGGGTGTGTGGGTGATACAGTACTAGAAGTGAAGCTGGGTGGAGATACGGTAACGGAAGGGGCAATAAATAGTGGGGAATACACAAAAATAGGCTTTCAAGAAAGGAGCAAAAAATGGCTTGTGCAGATAAATGTTATCACAAATTATCAGGGGTACGGCGAGAGAAAGAGAGAGAGAGAGTGAGAGAGAGAGAGCGAGCGCGAGAGCGAGAGAGGGAAAGGGTACGATACCTCAGTGAGACCAGGAAATAAGACATTTTAAGTATAGGGATTCAGAAAACCCATTTAAAACTGTGGGATGAAAGGCGGGATATTCTCCAAAAAAAATCGTAAATTCGACTTGGCGCGGCACCGGAACCGTAAGAATGTGCAAGAAGACATTGTGTGAATGGAAAAAATAGTAGAATTTTTCGAGGACCACGGCTCTCAAATGATCTCTGCTAGGTTGCTATAAAAAACCTCAAAAACCAATTAAAAACCCAGCCCAGGAATGTGTGCAATCGTTGTTTTTTGTACGGGGAATTCATAAATTTCTAACCTAGGGGCAATTAAGCCTAAGCCAAGCTTAGCCAAGCCTAGCCAAGCTTAGCCAAGCCTAGCCAAGCCTAGCCAAGCTTAAGCTTGGTTAACCCCGGAATAAGGCCAAGACGAGGAGCGGGAGGACAGAGGCAATAATTGTGGTCTTCAGGCTGGCCGTGCTCTGGACAGGCATTGTGAGAACAGAACGAGGAGCAAGACTCGGATGGTAGCCACCATAGGCCCCCACTTCCTCTCGGGTACCGTACAACACGAGATCCCATTTCACCAGCTCGGCGTCGACCACTGAAAATAGGGTAAGCTTTTAATAGTCGCTAAATCATCGGTAAACCAGACTTCGATTATGCAAAACCGTCTTTTTCAAAGGGTGGGCAACGCATAAATGACACCTTTCTACTATTCGGATTATCTCAGTATTTTTGCCGCGACACGCAACGCACGCGATTTTTCTTGGCTACCAGAAGCGTCGCGCCTCGCGGTAAAATCTTAAGTAAGTTAAACGATTTACATGATGTAAAACTGGCACGTCGCGGATCGCGGCAAAATTTGCACCAATTTGAACCATTTGCGCGATGCAAAAACTGGCGCGTCGCATGTCGCGGCAAAATCCAATGCCAATTTTAAGCATTTACTTCCTGCAAAAAAATTCAGGCGCGTCGCGTGTCGCGGCAGAACTTTCAGCCATAAGCTACCAAAAACGCACCATCCCATCCATCATTGTCAATTTCCAACAGCCACAGCCCGGCGGCGAATTCTCCCCAATTATGTGTCGTCATAAATGCCCATTCGGCAAAGCCAGCTCGTGATGAGTCTCTCGCTCGCTTTGTCAACAGCACCGACCGGGTATCTAAAGGTTTTTAGCTTAAAAACCTGCTGAAAGTGGTCTTACTGCTCGGGGAGGTGAGGTATATCTGGATATCTCCCCGCTTCGGAGCTTTCATGGTGATGATTGACTGGACATGCTCAACATATGCGACGTGGTCATCTGTGCCTGAGCATCCATCAGTGTAGAGTTGAAGTTGGAGACGATTGCCGTGGGGGATGGAACGTCTGGAAATGGGGGTTAGGAAAAGGACCCTTTTTCAAAGCTTAGCCTTATGCTTGGGCTTCATTAGCTTGGGCTTAGGCTTACTGTAACCGTTTTTTGTTGACCGTGAGATTTCGATACGTGAGATAGCACATTTTGTGCAGAATTTTTCGCTGATTCCGAATCCGTTTTCAAAAATTGCGGAACCCCTCTAGATAAAAAGTTACAGCCGGTCTTCTACCCCACAGGACCGATAATTACAAACCTTAAATCCTTATAAAAAACTCGTGGAACATTTTGTGGGATAAAATACAGCACTCCTAGGGGTAAAAAAACGTGCTCTTTCGAATGGGTTACCTCACGAACCCGTAGCTCAAAATTCATGAAAAAAAAGTTTTTCGGTGGACCAATGCCCTGGATGGCCAATTTTTGAAATTTTGTGAACTTTGAGCTACGGGTTCGTGAGGTAGCCCATTCGAAAGAGCACGTTTTTTTACCCTTAGGAGTGCTGTATTTTATCCCACAAAATGTTCCACGAGTTTTTTATAAGGATTTAAGGTTTGTAATTATCGGTCCTGTGGGGTAGAAGACCGGCTGTAACTTTTTATCTAGAGGGGTTCCGCAATTTTTGAAAACGGATTCGGAATCAGCGAAAAATTCTGCACAAAATGTGCTATCTCACGTATCGAAATCCCACGGTCAACAAAAAACGGTTACAGTTAGGCTTAGGCTTAGGCAGGCCTGAGCTTAGGCTTAGGCTTAAGCGGGGTTAGGTCTGTCCAAGCTAGTCAGGTAGGCTTGTTACCCTACTGTTGGGCTTTAGCTTAGGCTTGGCTTCGGTTAGCCTTATGATTTGGCTTTGGGTGCCAGGCCTAAGACCAGGCTTTGGAGGCTTGTCCTAAGCTTCGGAAAACTCACTTGAATCTCGACGGATAGTACTGCTTGCACTTCCGCTGCTCGGGTACTGTTGTCCAATTCTTTGCCAGTCGCACCATTGCTCCTAAAAATGGCATTGTTGCTGTTTCTTAATATAAGGTACGGGTATACATCTTTAAGGCAGAAAAACTAACCAGCATCCATGAGCCCATAGCCAAAAGAATGTGAAACATTCCGTCCCACCCCGTTCGTCACCCAATCGCCGGCCCGTAGATGAATCGGGCGAGCCGTGCGGACGACCAGATGCTAGATTAAGATACCATAATTACACGTACGGTAGAAGCTCAAACCTGTAGATCACGCCATGTCAATTGTGGATTAGCCTCTAGCGCAAGGGCCACAATGCCAGCAGCCAGAGGAGCAGAAGCGGAAGTGCCGGTATGGAGGGTGGTACAGCCGTGGTGGAGGTCGGTTGTTACCTGAAAATTGAAGTGTTTGGTTTGACCTTAAAGGGCCTAGGGATCCCTCTTCACTTCTGGCTGAATGGTAATGTTTTCGTCTCCCAGGCGTAGCACGCGGGTTCGACCCCAGCCCGGCACCAGTTTTATTTTATTTCTGCTTTTTTTTTTGAAACTGTAATTTTTCCCTACCATCGATGGAAAAATATAGAATTCAACTCACAATCATCTTCTCCCCGGCGGCCCCGCTCGAATACGCAGTGGCGAGTGTAGATGAACATGCCTCCGAATACCACGGAATATTTCCATTCTCAGTGGCCGACGAGATCGAGAGGGTGTAGATCGAATTCGTGTACCCGTCACAGTTACAAGAATCCCCATCCTTCCCGCCATTTCCGGAGGCCCACACGAAGATTGAACCTTTGCCGCCGCGGCCCTGGAATTGGAGGTGATTAGAAAGGAGAGAGAGAGAGAGAGGGAGAGAGAGAAATTCTCGAAAAAGTGGTTTTCGACCCTTTCAAATCAATGGCTAAATGGTAGTGCTCCGGGTTAGCAAGAAAACTATCAGGGTTCGTCCCCCGGCCGATGCAAAGCTTTTTGCTTTTTGGAAAATAGAGAATATGAAGTAGATATATGTGCAATGTAGTTTTTTGCCTACCTCCCGAATGCCACGCTCAAAGGCGGCACGCGTCAACTTTGCCGGCCCGTCCACGGTACGTCCATCGTCATCTGGGCCCCAGGAAGCGCTATGATACAGTGCTGTAGTTTATAGTCATAGTACACCACATACCTATAGACATCAATATGATGGATACCATGGGAGAGAGAGGCTGCTTCAACGGCATCTGTCACATCACCGTCCAGCATTCGGATGCCTGAAAAATCGGTTACTGGAGGTTGTCTCACGTCCGTTTTATAGCTATCCGGCCCTATTCCGCAGACTAGCTATGTGGAGTATTGGTATGCATCCGTGTCTACTAAGCTGCACCTCCACGGTTCGAGTCTTGCCGGCCGCAAATCTTTTGCTTTTTGGGTATTGAGACCATTTGATCACTTCTATAACGTGCTAACCTCCAATATTCGAATTGTAGGCGATGCCAACGATGCACAACGAGTTGTTGAACACGGCCGCCACTTCACCGGCGCATCTGAAGGCAATTAAGGTTAGTTTTTGCCATTTTAGTAGATTTTCCAAATTTTAGACCCAACCTGGTCCCATGACGATTCTCATCAGAATACTCGTATCTCGGGATCGGATCGTCATCTCGATCATTCACGTCATACGAGGCTTCCGGGTCCTTAAGTATATTAATTCAATATATAATCCTATATAAATACTTACAAATATAAATAACCGTAATTTTTAATGGTTACTTACGTAATTTGGAAGGATATCCGGATGGGTGTGCTCGAGACCATCATCAAGGATCGTGACGACAACGCCTGAAAGAAATTGGGTTTAATTGGTTTCGGAAAAATGGTAAAAAGAGAGGAAAGCTGGCAGAGATCTTTAGGGAATCAATCGGGTAAACCAGCAGAGATTCTTTGAGAATAGACACAGGCGTCGGTAACCCAGCAGAGATCATTTTAGAAAGGTTCAAAGCCAACTAGCAGAGATCCTTTAGGCAATTCTGATCCCCAAAAACGTACCTTTACCCGTATACCCGAGATCCCATGCCTCTTGCACATTATGGTCCATCCGTTCGCTCTGGTCGCCCCGATTCTAAAAAGAATCGAGTGGTTAAATAGGGTTTTTTTAGTAGTTTGGGTGCATTTTAGGCGCTGTGTCAGCGCAAAAACCTACCAAATACCACATGTCCGTCCAGAATTTGTCGTTCGGGTCGAAGTGTGGCTTGCGATTCCGCGATTTTGCTCGGCCCGGGTCCTGGAAAATGGGTTTTAAATGGCTGAATCGGTTAGGTAGCTGATTTAACCAAGAAATTTAGAAGAAACACGACGCCCACGCCGTTTTAAGGGTCCTAATCGATTACGCAATTGAAAGACATTTCGTACTTTGCGTTCCGGTATCCGGAAAAATCCCTATGAAACCTTTCGCCCACTGACCTTGGCGTTCCTTTAAAATTTCAAAGAAATGTAAGTTAAAGTTAAGCTTAAATCAAATTACACAAAATAAAGTTATAAATTAAAACCAAAAAGGGATTAAAACGATTAAAAAGCAAATTAAAGCTCCAGTAACCCTTAAAAAATTGCCCACCTCAACGACATCATTATCAGTCCGAAAGTCGCCGCGTCTAACTCTTCGAAAATCGCGTTTGACCCGTTTCTTGGCGACCTGTTGCTCCATCCACATCACTTCCGGCTCGTGGCCCAACCCGTTGGCCAGCAGGGACCGTGTCTTTCGCGCCGACTTCTTCCGCCCGTGCGGCTGCTCGAAGAGGAAGTACGGCTCGCCGGCTATCACCTGCAAAAACCGAACTTGACCCCAAAAATTTAACTAATTTTTAACCCGAAAAATTTTTTTCGAGGTGGTTAAGTGTTAGGGGGCTAGCTCGCCGAGTACAAGGCCAGAGTTCGAGTCCCACCCGATGTGAAATTTTTTGTTTTTTTTTGTCTGTTTTGCAAAAAACCCTAGGAAACTAGACCTGTACCTTAAACTTTCAAAATCGGCTATTTTCAGTACAAAAAAGCCCGGAATTGCTTCTCTTAAGCCCTAAAAGCTATTAAGAAAGCAAAAAACGCATCAGCTCTTAAAAACTACACATCAAAAACTACTTTAAAAAGTGTTTTTAACCAAAAAATCGCTTTAGGACCGGAAGGGCCTCGTGGCCAATTGGTAGTGCGCTAGAATGGCGCGCACAAGGTCCGGGCTCAACTCCGGCCCAGTGAGAAGCTTTTTGCTTTTTGGGCAGGAATGTCTAGACCTTCCCTCTTCTTCCTTCCTTCCTTCTTACTTACCCGTCCCCGGTTCTCGAATCCATGTTTATGGGCCAATCTGTCTGCCTCGCTGTCGTCATCAGTATCTATCCGGACGGCCCACTCGTTTTTGTAGATCCGCTTCGCCCCGCCACGATCCGGGGCCAACGAGTATTGCAACTAAAAATAATTTATAATCAAAATATATTAATTTTTGAATGCTAGAATTTCCGCAAAGAACCACTGCTAGCCTGTCCCCTACCTCTTGATCAGTCGCCGCGGCCAGGCTGACGAATGAAATTAGAAGCAAGGCAAGATGGGCCGTCCACTGTCGTATCCGCCATTTTCGCGAATTTTGGGAGATAGTAGGTGAACTTGTTGAAGACGTGCGGTCTCGTCGCATCGGCTGAAATTGAGTGGTGTCATACCACAACCTTGAATTCAGAAATTATTCTTTTTCAAAAATCAATAATTTTGCCGCGGCCGGGGGTCGAACCCGGGTAGTGTGGCTTGAATGCTAGTAAACTACCACTTAGCTATCCACATTTTCAGCAAACTTTCTCGCAATTTTTATCGTTTTTGCATAAATACAACCCCGTTTCACCCTTGGAAACCAAATTCATACTATTTCCTTAAACCGCCCTTCAAACTACAACTACAGTGGATCCGCTGACTAAACAGCAAGCAATTTCACCGCGGACAGGAGTCGAACCCTGGCCTTGCGGATGGTAGGCTAGCACACTACCACTTGACCACATGGTAAAATCCCCCAAAAAGGTTCACCGCAAAAAAATTCAAATTAAATTTGCACCAGGGTTGAAAAGCCGCTACGCGGCTTTTCACCCCTGGCCTTTGCGCGGGCATCTTTAAAAGTTGGGCTTTGTATAATTCGGGCCGGAGCTAGAGCGAACCCTAAAAATAGCAAAAGCAACCGGCCTCGAGCCGACAAAAGCCAAAATGAGGCTCCTAGCGCCTCGTATGCAAATTAGTCTATTTCCATATGTTTTTAAAACGTTAAAATAAGGTATAAAACAAAATTTTAGTAAAAATCTGATAAGCGTGCAATAATCTACGCCCTCGACTACCCCTAACTACCTTATTTCTGGACCAAAAAATTCTTTCCCCTTCGAGTTATGGCTGGAACCCGGGTTTTTATGCAAAGTGTCTACACACACACAGACACTATTTTTTTATATATAGTAGGATACCCTGCACGGTGCTTCAGCGACGTCTTCCGGCTCGGTTTGGGCCGATGTGGTGGGCTGCTGTTGGTCGAACATTATCGCAGGACCCAATATTACAATCGGCGTGGCATTCTGGAATTAAAAAAGCTAGGCTAATTGTATAGAATAGCTAGTGAGCGGGAGATAGATAGATAGAGAGCGAGAGCGAGAGAGAGAGAGAGAGAGAGAGAGAGAGAGAGAGAGAGAGAGAGTAGAAACTAGAAACAAAAACTGAACCTACAGTATCTAATGTAATTTGGATCGATACGTACTACTATGCGTCCATTAAAGCCAAACAATTTGGAGTTGATCCCAAAAATGAAAAATAAGAAAAGGCCGCCACGGGACCCCTAATCCGGGACGTCATCCCAAGAGAGTCGAAGGGGTCTTCAAAATGGGGCTTAAAAGGGAGGAGACCGGAGTGGTTGGTTTATTGGCTCTTTTTAAGCAGCTCTTCTCTCCCTCTATGCTAATACTTCTCTTATCAATCAAAACGACCCCTTTGGGCTCGATTGAATAAATAGGGAAATTATGACCGGAAATGGTCTAGTTTAGAGAGCTTTAGGCCTTAAACATTAAACAGAAAGCGAATTTCGTCTAAAACAAGAAAATCTGCAATGACGGGCGTAGTCAAATGGTAGTATGTCAGCCTGACACCCACACGGCCCGGGTTCGACGCCCGCCCGCAAAAAAAACTTGTTGCTTTTTTGGAATTTAGGCAGAAAATGAGGAGCCTAATGACGGGCAATAGAAAGGAGATGTTTTTTGTTTTTTTGAGGACCAGAATGGCTCGCTTTTTCAGAATTTAGTGGGACGATTTTTAACGGGTTTCTGAAAATTCTAATCGAGCGCTAGATAGAAAGAATGGCTCCTCGTGGTAGAAGGGGGGGCGGGGGATTATATAGAGTGACTAAAAGGGGCGAGAGATAGAGAGAGAGAGAGAGAGAGAGAGAGAGAAAGTGGGGAATATGCCCCAGGCTATTTAATTGGCCGAGCGGCGCCGGGGCCAGCCATCGGGAAAACAGGTGGAGCATGAGAGAGAGAGCAAAACAGAGAGAGAGCGGGATTAATTGAAAAATAGCAGAATAGCGAATTGCGGGGGAAGCCTATAGGGAATTAGGAATAACTCTATGGCTTAAAAACTCTATAAAGCCATTACGACATCAAAACCCATTAAGTTTTACTTTTAAAACGGCTTTAAAGCGGTAAATTCGCATGGTGTCCCCTCTGACCGGATGGCCGATTGTTAGTGCGCCAGCCTGACACCCACACGATCCGGGTTCGACCCCCGCCCGCAGAGAAACTTTTGCTTTTCGGTGGAAAGCTGGGGAAAGTGTTTTTTTTAAGGGAGAGTAACAGCGATGATTTTTTAAATAGTTTAATCGCGCAAATGGATAAAAACTCGAGGAAAACTCGTGTTATGCCTGATTGGACCTCATAAGAAATTATTATTATTTGGGGTAGTAGAGTGGGTAGTGGAACGCTAGAGAGCGAGAGAGACAGAGAGAGAGAGAGAGAGAGAGAGCGATCGAGAGAGAGAACGATTCTATAGGGTTTCCCCCACCTTGTTTGGCTGCCCCCAGCAGTCTCGTTGTGCCCCCGGGCCATATTTGTTATTTGTATAGTACGCGATACTACCTAAACACAGGCCCTTCGATTCTTTATAGTTTTTGAGCGTCAGAAACGGTACAATCCTAAACCTAAGCCTAACCCAAGACGTAGTATACCAGTCGGGGACTGGTCCTAAGCCTGAGCAAAGCCTACGCCCAGGACTCAGCCTGAGCCTAAGCTAAGCCTAAGCCAAAGCTTCAACCAAAGCCTAAGCCTAAGCCTAAGCCTAGACTAAGCCTAAGCTAAGCCTAACCCTAAGCTGTGCCTAAGCCTAATTTTTGCCTTGCCGGCTCCTTTAAAGTGCTAAAACCCGGTTTAGCAAGTGAAAGGGGCCGAAGAAGAAATGATTGAAGAACGGGGGCACCTGGTCTGCTTAAGGGGGCCACCTGTGGCTGTCGATTTCTTTCCAAGACCCCCCAGATGGCCTCCCTTCTCCCTCGCTTTCACACGATTCCTTGCCCTCCGGCCATCTTCTCATGGCCCAATTTAATTCCCGTTAAATTTAGGGAAATTAAACCTTTTTAAAGGCGCTAATAAGCTTTTAAACACACTTTTTTAGAACTTTATAACTTTGGAAAATCTATAAAAATTCTATAACCAATACTGTGGAAATTGACTTTTAAAATTCTGCTAAAAACTGAAAATTTTCAATCTCAAAATTCCCGTCCACTTGAACTCCGGAAGTCCGGAGGAAACACGCGGAATTGCGTATCGAAGCGGAATCACACGAAAAGGCCAAAAGGCTGGAAATTTTTTGGGCAAACTAGCAAAGATTCTTCAGGAAACCATTTGAGGCCAAGGGAAAACTAGCAGAAATCACTAGGGAATAGCTGGATGGTTTTTAAAGGGACTATCAACCCAAAAATCAAAAATCGACTGGCCGATTGGTGATTGAGTTATAGTGTGAATCGAGGGTCCCTGTTCGAACCGCGGAGCCGTCCACTTTTTGCCTTTTGAATTCCTAATAGTTTCGTATCTGTAGAAGCAAAGTTTGGCACCAAATTTCATCGGAATCGGAGGGGGAACCGGGGCGGACGGCAAGCGGAAGACGGGCCCGCGGCCTCCCGGGTGTCCGGAAGCGGATTTGCATGCTTTTCGGGGGGTAGGGAAAAGCAAGAGAGAGAGAGAGAGAGAGAGAGAGAGAGAGGGGAGTCAGAAAAGGCACATTTGCATTCAATGGGGGGTCCAAAAGGACCCCCCACTACTGCAAAGTGGACCCCATTCCAGACGCCTACACTTCACAGGGCCCGCCAAGGGGATTAGAAACACCGAAAAAAGCAAGAGGAATTGGATTTTGACTTTCCTAAGGGACCTCTGCTAGCTTGTCCTCTAGCCTGAAAATAAGCTAGCCATCAAGACGATTTGCATTCTCAAAGAATCTCTGCTAGCTTGCCCGGGGCCCTGAAACTACTGCAAGGTCCTAAAAAACTCCACTGGCTTGCATACTAGTAGCCGCATTCCCAAAGGATCTCTGCCAGGCTGCCCGGAAGTGGGGTTGTTTCCGGAAAGTTTATGGCAAAAATGACAAGCGGAAACTGCCAGGGGCAGAAAGTTCGAAAAAGTTCTGTTTATGGCAGCTGGGAGATACACAATTTTGGTAGGAGAGAAAGAGCGAGAGAGAGAGAAAGAGTGAGAGAGAGGGAGGGAGGGAGAGCAAGAGAGCGAGAGGGAGAGAGACAGAACCTAGCTCCATTTTTGGGCTTCAAAAATGGCTGTCTAGCCCGGATGGAGCGGCCGAAAAAGATGAGGGTCCTCGTCTATTGCTCTCTCTCTCTCTCTCTCTCTCTCTCTCTCTCTCTCTCTCTCTCTCCTCTCTCGCTATATGAGGTCAAGGGGTGTCTCGACAAGAAGAACGAAAGAATACAGACAACACCTCTCACCCAAATCCACTACACAATACACCAAATCACGCCCCAGATGGCCAGCTGGTCTCGGCCATTAGAATGATGGATTTTGGTGGATAGTACAGAATTCCCTAAGGGTGTCTGCTTGTTGCTAGGTTATTGGGATTCCTCAAGAGACTCTGCTAGGTCTGCTGGGATTTGAATTCCCAAAAGGTTTTTGCTGGCTGGCCTGGGCCGATTCCCAAACAATCGCTGCTATCCAGCCTAGAGCGTATAATTTCCTCAAGGACCTTTGCCAACCTGCCCTGGCTTTTCAGATTCTTTAAGTGACTCCGCTAGCCTGCCCCGTGCCTAAAATTCCTCAAGAAGCCCTGCTAGCCTGCCTTATCTTTTACATACGCCAGAAATTCCCTAATAACCTCTGCCAGCCTGCCTTCACGGCCCCTTTAATACCCTCTAGACACCAGCCGGAATTAGGCAGGCTATTTGCCCTTTTAGCCATGTGATTGTTTATGTTTTGACTAAGCCTGGGCGGGAGCGACAAATGTTTGGAAAGGGAGGGGAGGAAGGAAGGAAACGCGACAAGCGTCAGCCGAAACGGCCAGGGGATTAAGCTCGATTGAGGGTGCCTTTCAACGGCTAGAAAGGGCGCAATAAGAGTGACGTCTGGAATTTCTCTCAAAATCTATAGAAATATTCACGAAGACGACAAAACAATAACAATATTTGCTTGGATAAGTGGTAGTGCGTTTGGCTAAGAGGCGGCAGGTCAGGGTTCGATACCAGCTCGCGGCAAAACTTTTTGCTTTTTCGGTTTAGGCTTCGCACCCATAGTTCATAAAACAACAGTAAAACAAAAGTATCTGCGGGCTTATTCTGAGGGTTTTTAGTCCGTTTAAAGGCCCATTGAAGGCTTGTAAAGTTATGGAAACTTATGGATATCTGGCGATCGATGCACGTTCGCTATAAAACCCTAAAAAGTGCAAAGAGGAGCTCGGGCGGATTTCGTGCTCTCTCTCTCTCGCTCTCTCTCCCCTTTCTAGAATGACTAATAGAGTGGGTGGGCCTCATCAATTGGGCCCTCTCCCCGGATGGGGCCCACCTCATCCATCCCCCCCAAAACAGGAATACCGAAAAACTGGTCTATACGGCCGGCCCGAGCCCTAAATCATGACCCAGATACAGTAATCAGAGCGCCCATCGGCTTAAAGGAACGATGTCACCAAAAACCGATGCTGCAGGAAAGCCGGAAAAGCATAATAAAAAACTCAAAGTCCTGCCTTATCCGGTCCTTTAAAGGGGCTCAGAAGTCAAAATTCGTGCGTGCGGGGATTGAAACTACGGGTCAAAAAACGAAAGGGTCACTGCCGAGAAGTGTTAAAAAGTGATTTGATTGCGAAAAAACGTAAAATGTTTGAGAAAAACCGAATTCTTTTTGGGGCGAAAACGACATATTGAGTGCGCGGTGATTCCATGTCGTAATGCCTTGTAAGGCACCCAATCTCTCGATCTCGGTGATTCTCTGGTCAATATTCATAATTTAAAAGTCTGTAATGATCAAAATTCGTTGAGGATTCCAAAAATAGTATCAGAATTTTTCAA